TAGGCCTTTGGTGCTTGAAATCAGGTGTAAGTCTGTTTATTCAGTAATCAATATTCAAATTCAAATTTTTACATACTTCATTTTCCAAGCCAGGCTGTACAAAGCATGAGGTTGTTTTGGGTGCTGTTAAGAACGTGCTCAAAGGTATCAGATCCAAAGGGCTTGGCCTCAGCTCATATGCTGTGCCCCTTACCCGAGTACTGCCCTTGATTTCAGAAGGCTAAAGTACCATGTTTGGAAGAGTGGACGAGTACCGTAGAGTCAATCTGGATGACTTCTGGATATTGGACGAGTAGCAGAAAGGCTAATCCAGATGAAGTCCGAGACTAGAAACAGAATGGAGTAAGACTACCCTAAGGTAGAGCTGGAGATAAGTCAAAGGAATCAATCCTAAGACCAGAGGTGAACAAGAGAGAACTCAAGTTCAGACGGAGACAGGAATGAGCAGAATCTAAGATGATATTCGAACTGAGGTGTTACAGAGTTGTACATGAGTTTATATACTGTAGATAGCATAACGGAATGGTCAGTCAGCACAGAACAAAGGTATGTATGAAGCATGTGGAAAGTCTATTGTTAAGTCTAATGGATCAGAGGAAATGAAGTTTAGGCATGAATACATAGGGTGGATCAATAAGCAAAGCGGAAGGGAAGATAACCGGTGTACCAGAGAAGGTAACGTCCAAAAGGGGATACATGCTGATTTAAGGTTCTGGGTTCGGAATGAGTTGTGGACTGGTAAACTGCGTTGTGGACTGGATAGCGGATTAGTAGTCCAGATCGGACTAGTGGACTGGATCTGATTAGTGGACCGGATCTGTGGACCGGATATTGGATTGGTGGACCGGATCTGGATCTGATCTGAGATCTGAATGCATGGATATGACAGGTGCCAGTGTGGTGTTCAAACTTTCTGTAGCCTTGCAGAGGTAGTTTTCACTATGCAGGTCTTATTGACACTTTTCTTAGATTAGGTTCACACTTTTGCTGCTTACAGAATCACTTCACTCTTTACCTAGGACTCTACAGTCATTACCTAGTTTCCCTTGTTTCCAGTTCTTTGGTTGCTCCCCATTCACTTGGGTTATTCAGTAGCATCCCCTAGTTGTAGCTTTCCTAGTTGTAGCTTCTCAGCTCACCAGATAGCTCCTGGAACATAGTTTCTTACCTTGACTTGGAGTACCTTCTCCACTCTCTTTTCTTGAGCCTGAGCCTAGTCAGAGATCCTTTAGGGTCGAATGTTCTTGCTAGCAGGAGTAGCGGCTAGGCAGAGCAGGAGACTCATATATTTTGGTTTGGTGCTTTTACCTACAGCCCAGCCAAAACTTGTTTACCACACCAGCGACCGAGACCTACTTATGGGGTCATCTTGTGTATTGGAATTGACTTGCTCAGGATATATCTGGTTGTACATATAATTTCCCATGGAGTCGGCTGGCATGCCTTGACCATTTGCTGGGTAACACCATCCCAGGCAAGTTTTCAAGTTCTGGTCTAAGAATGAGTGATGTGCTGTTGTCATATCCAGAACTTCAAGAGCTCTCATTGCTGGCAGAGCTTGGACTGCAAGGCTACATTATGAAGAAAGGCGAAACTCAGCAGTGATTGAAAGGACAACAGGTATTCATGGTTGTTCTGCCGTCGCCCTTCAATGCAACTAATATCTCTTTGGTGATATTTCTCTATCCCTACTAATCAATAATCATACATTCCATTTGACTTTCAAGTTCACATGACAGCTCCACATATGGCAGCTCCACAGTAGCTCCATGGTGCTAATTTCATTGTAACTTAACTTGTACCCTACTGACATTAGCTGCGCGGTTCCTTGAAAATTTCCACTATAAATCAGTGTAGAAATCCTACACCACAAACTAAATTCGCACAGTTGAATTGCACTTGTGAGAGCCATGGACATGGCATATACTCTTCATCCCCACATACAATCTGAATTGCCTTCAGTACACTCACTTGAAAATGCCTCGCATCTTTTCCAAGTTCCCTTATTTAAGACAACACCCTCAAGGGACACTGGTAGTCCATCGGTGATTATCCATGATAGAGTGGGGCTGAGTACCAAGTTTTGGCAACACATAGTAAGTTATAGATCATTTTTTCCTGTCAAATTAAACAATGCTCACTGTATTTGTAGCATCACATGACTGATGTCCATGCTGAACATGTGTCAGCCTTAATGATCGCCAAATTATTGCATCGTGCTATTGGTCACAGCCAGGTTGCAGCTCAGGCTTGCATTGATCAGTTCTTGTTGTTGCTGAGAGCGCTTGTCTGAAGAACTGGAGGATTATAAGTGGAAGGAACAACTTGGAGGCAGAACAAAAATATCTTGTCTTTGGCTCAAAAGACCAACCCTCCAAATGTTGCTGCATGATGAAGTGTTCACGTTTGTAACTATATCTAACATATATAAGCATGTGTATTATCTGTAATCTTTAGCTCGGCATTGGAATGGTGCCCCTCATAACCTTGTGAATCATGCAAGTTTATAACCAGGGCACTTTCGACTTTGTCCTTGCCACCTCTAGTGTCTTATCATCTTGGGTTCTTGAGGACAACATCTAGACCATTCTATACTATGCTCTCATTAGGGTATATTGAAAAGACTTACGCCCAACAACAAGCAGCTACTGCCAAGAATACACTACTACCCACACCACCCACCACCCTGCTCACCACCACATGCTGGATTACATCCTATCGAATTGACAATCACACTTCTTGAGAATTTAGTCACATTCCATCATCAAGAATGGATATGGATATGTACCCAGGCCGTACAGTGTGATCGTTGTGCTTTTGACTTCAGAATAACTGCTGGCACTGTGTTCAAGCCTGTACATACAGATTTTTCATGGTTACATAGTATCAATTTTTTCCCGCCCTCATTGGATATGTAATGTTTTTTTAAAATGAACTTCAGTGCCAGCATTCAAATTCAGATATCAACAGTTTTCAATGGCAGAAGGGTTACTAGAGCGTAGTTGGTGAGTGTTGTATACTACACCCATGATCAGTTGATCATCTACATGTTTGATGCAGCTCCAAACAATTTGGATGTAGGTCCATCGCTGTGTGAGATATGTACATGTGACATTACGGCTTAAGTTGTGTTTCAACCAGTGTTTCTAAGCTCAATCTTGAAGGTGTCACCCTAAAAATCTTCAAATGGCAAGCTCCACAGCTCACCGTTACTCCCACTACTCATGTCTCAATCCCCATTAGTGAGTCATAATTTTGAATGACAATTCAATTGTATTCAAGTATGCTTGGTCGATTCTGGGATGCATGACCTACAGGTCATATTTTCTTGGAGGCATGATACTTTACGTTCAATGTATAAAGTGTCAGCTAGGTGTCTACCCTACTCAATTGCGACTATCATGATCCTGCAGCGATGAGTACCCAGGTTGATGGAGAAACAAGCTCCATGATCAGGTCACTCCTCCTGTTGGTACTCAGCTTGACCCATACTATATTGGTACTTTCAATCAGCCATTTTGCCCCCTGGCCTCAGTGAGTTGATGTGCCATATTTGACTTTATCATTGATGAAGTTCTAATATAATCTTTTAAAGCTTTCCAGACAAGTGTTTCATGACTTCCACCAGGATGTTTTTGAAGCAGTGATCCTGCAAAGCTTCAACATGCATCCTAGTGTTTTAGTTGATGAAGTGAGCTGCTACTTTAATCTTGCCATGTTGTGAAACAGTCCTTGTAAGATCATACTTGTCAGGCGCTGATTATTGTATATCATAGCAACAATGGACGTTAACCAAGAGGCCTTCAGCTCTTTGAAGGGAAAAGGCCCAAAATGGAAGCCCATGTCAATGATAACTCTAATGCATTGTCATCAAAGCATCCAAGGGTTGTTACTAAACCTGATGTCAAGTGTGCCTTGATTCTGTGGATCAGGCACATGGAAAATAAACATGAAACAGTGACTGGACCTATGTTACAAAAGAAATGGAAAAGGTTTGAGAACAAGTTTGATGTCCCAGACAATGAAAGCTGGTAGGGGAAGCATGGATTCAGTCATTTTGCAAAGCCTACAAGATCTGTGGACACCAAAGCTGTTGCTGCAGAACAAGAATGTTGTCGCAGGATTTAGCAAGTTTGCTCCTCGAGTCGGTGGAACTTTGATAAGACATCCTTCTTTCCATAGTGAGTGTTTATTTCATTTTATAATTCACAGTGCTTAATTTGTTTACTTTTAGTGCACCTCCAGATCATAGTCTTGCAACACAGCAAACGAGTGGCAAGAAGGAGAAATTTCGCATATCCATTGGGCTAGCTTGCAACACAGATGGAAGTGAGAGGCTTGAGCCTATTTTTATTGGCAAGGCAAAGAAACCACAATGCTTCAAGAAACAGTCACCAGAACAGTGTGGGTTCTATTATCAAAACAATAAGTAGGCTTGGATGACAGCAGTTCTATTTGAAGAGTATGTTAACATGATCCTGTGACTGTCAATGATACCTAATGCACTGTCTAGATGAGTCAAAAAGCTCGACCTTCAAATGAAGCAACAAAAACTGGCATATTTGTATGTTTATTGATAACTTCTCTGCTCACAGCATCTCATATCAACTGTCAAATATTAATCTTGAGTATTTTAGGCACAATATGATATCATTTGTGTAACCATGTGATGCAGGAATCATTTGATGCTTCAAGGCAATATATCGCTGTAATTTTTGCACACACATGATTGACCTTGAGGATGCTGGTGAATGAGACATTTATAAACTCAACATTCTTGAAGGTATGACAATGGTGAAGCAAGCATGGTATACCATTACATCTGAGACCATCAAACATTGCTAGAATCACACCAAAATCCAACTGTGAGTCAATTATTTGATGTTCTCATTTTCAGTGCTCAATTTTTCATGGCAGTGATCCAACAGCAGGCCTAGACTCAAGGCCTCATGTTGATCCTGCTACATGAAGTATTGTCCACAAGTTTTGTGACCACTGAAATGTCACTTCCAGCAGTTGAGAATAACCTAAAGGCTCATCTTCATGAACACTATGTAGATTCAGATTGGAGACTGGCTCTTAAAGTCATCATGGATGCCAAAGATGACACAGATATGGCTTTGAATGCTGTAAATGTACTCGCAGAAGCTGCGTCCCATCACACTGGCCTCAAAATTCACATTCCCATGTGTTCACAGCAAGCAGCTGACCAACTTTCCTTCACTGAAGCTGACCTTATGCAATCTGTCAACAATCTTAAGGCACACAATCATATTTTTGGTCGATTACTGACTCTTGATGAACTCCTGGACCCTGCTGAGGAAAGGGATATGGGGGAATTTCCCACATTTGAGGGTGGTGATAAAGTGATTGCAGATGAGTTCTGTCATGAAGTTACCATCACAAGTGGTGAAGTCATCAAGATTGATTCTGACAATGATTCTGACAATGATGATGATTCAGCAGCTGCATCAATCACATGGACAGATCTTCTCCGTTTGTGCCAGCAACTCAAGGTTGGATGCATGCAATATGGTGATCCACAGTTTTCACTCAACTTATCATCGGATCCTTATGTCAGTTGCCATATAATAATGGGCTTGCTTTGTTGATACATGGGATATACAGTGGCTCAAAAAACTGTCCGCATGTTTTTGACATTTTTCACTATCTATGATATTGTGTGAGAATGAACAAATTCCTCAAGGACATACTTATACCACATTGTAGTATGGCTTCAGGGCTTTTATTTGAGCCCTACACCGTGGGAATCGGTGGAGATATGGTGGAGATACAAGGCTCACAAAATGGTGACTCATGCGGACAGTTTTTTGACTCAAGTATTTTACAGTAATAACCAGGTATTCTAGTATTTTGTATGACCTCCCTTGGCTTTAATTACTGCCTCTATCCTTCTAGGCATACTCTCAATTAATTTCTGGCAATCCTCAGCTGTGATCTTCCCCCAATTCCACTGCTACTCATCTCCCAAAGCTCCCATACTCCTTTAGGGGGGTTTTCATAGGCTTGAAGCTTTTTCTTGAGTGTTCCCCAGAGATGTTCAATGACATTGACATCAGGAGACTGTGCTGGCCAGTCAAGAACATTGATGTTATGTTCTTCAAACCATTCCCTAGCTCTTCTGGATGTGTGCTTGGGATCATTATCCTGTTGGAAAATGATATCTTCTTCATCAATCCCTGATTCTGCCAAGCTAGGCAGCAAGTGGTCATTTAAAATGTCCACATACTGCTCAGCATTCATCTTCCCCTCACCCTCAGCAAGCATTCCCACACCATTCCATCCCATACAGCCCCATACCATTAAAGAACCTCCTCCAAACTTGACAGTCCCATTAACCTCTCTGTCTGTTAGGCTATCTCCCTTCTTTTTCCATACATACACCTTCCCATCTGACCCAATCCTATTGATTTGGTCTCATCTGACCATATAACATGCTTCCAGTCCTCTACAGTCCAGTGTTGATGAGCTAAGGCAAAGGCTAGTCTTCTCTGCCTATGTTTGATGGAGAGAAGAGGCTTTTTCTTCTTTGTTACTGCCTTGAGATGAGCTGCCTTGAGAAACATTCCTCACAGTTTGTGAAGAGACAGGGGTAGTGATGGTGGAATTGATATAATGGGTGGCTTGGACAGCATTATCAGCCTTTCCTGTAGTGATATGTTGGATAATAGCCCTTTTGTCAGTAGAGGTAAGCTTGGATGGACGTCCTCCACAAGATTTTTCCTTGTCTGGGTGGCTTTCTTTGATGAACTTGGCCACAGTGGACTTGCATATTCCAGTTCTAGAGGAAATTTGGCGAGCAGAGAGGCCAGCATAAGACAGAGAGAGGATATTATCTCTTTGAGCAGAGGAGATGGCTTTCATGGTGATTATGACTATGATACATGAGATATTCTGGTTTATATAGTTAGATATAGTCATAAAATAACATAATGACACCACTTTATAATTTATATAATAGTGGCATGATTTTTATGGTGTCATAAATAATGATTTATATAGTTTTAATATACACTCAAAAAACTGTCCACATGAGTCATCATTTTATAAGCCTTATATCTCCACCATATCTCCGCCGATTCCCACGGTGGTAGGGCTCAAATAAAAGCCCTGAAGCCATACTACAATGTGGTATAAGTATGTCCTTGAGGAATTTGTTCATTCTCACACAATATCATAGATAGTGAAAAATGTCAAAACATGCGGACAGTTTTTTGAGCCACTGTACACATGACAATGCAATGTGGCAGAGCGGAGTCCTGGACAGGAATCTCAACCATTATATAGTTGTTTCATCTCTCTTATCTCTTTCCTCAGTTCATTGTCCATGACTGAGGGTATTTTTCTTGTTTTATTGTACGATACCTAGACACTGACTCAACTACGATAGATTGACATTTGTCTAGCCCTTTTATGTTAGGAGCCCTGCTCACTCATAAAATGAGCAAGCAGAAAACCTTCTAGATATTGTCATCCCTACTGGACACCTATTTAGGCTTTTACGCCACTGGCGTTGTCCTGCATGATTTGGGAATCATGCATGGACATGACTACTAGGTATCCCCCTAAAAGACAAAGTCTGTTAGCTTAGTCCTCAGACTAGTCAACCCATACCTTGGTATCAAACCTTGGTCCAATAGTTTCAGTTTTCCCTCAGTGATTCATGAATCCACCATGTTTTGAAGAAAAGTCATATGTGAGATGGGAATCACATAATGACCTAGTTGATATGAGAAGCAAAATGAAGGTTAAGGTATTGCCTTTCCTTTGGCTTATTCACTTTGGCTAGAGAAACCCATAGAGAAAAGTTCAAAGCCTAACAAAAACCTATCTAAAAAGCCCGCGTATTGTGTACTATTATTTGTTCCATTATTTCCGAGTTGTTTTCTCTAGTGTTTCTTTACTTTACTTTTCTATTAGGATGCTCTGACTAATCAGATGCTTCATAAAATTGTACCTACAGGGTATGATGTCATAATGATGTCATAGGACTTCACCTACACTCCTGCAGGTATTTTGGTTGAAAGATATGATATCATAGTGATGTCATAATGATGTCATGTTCCATGGAATTTGCTAGAACATTCCAATGACTCATAATGACTCATAGTGACTCATAGTGACTCAGAATGATGTCATTATCCCACCATGAATATTCTGGAATGTTCTTTTGCACCTGCTAGAACATTCTGCTCCAGTTTTTGGAATATTCTTCTCACATTCTGAAGTCATTACATCACCTTTTTACTTACATAATATTCCCACACAAAATGTATATAAGGAGAGCCCATTCTCCCCCAAAAAATAGATCTCCCACTTGTTGCATTCAAGAACTCCCACTTGAGCAAATTGAACTCTCACCTAAGAAGCTTCAGTCTGAACAAATTGCTGCTTACAAAGCCCATTTCCTTTGTAAGAACTGTCCAGGCAAGTGCAGGGAAAGTGTTTCCCTTGAGATTACGTAAGTTTCTCGCGATAGAAACCCAGTTTTGTGAGACCAGTGTTCTCACCACGTAGTGTTTACTGACCAACACGAGCTTTGGTCACCGTTGTTATTTGTGAGACCAGCGTTCTCACCAGGTATTTGTATACTGACCAACACGAGCTTTGGTCATTGTTGTTATTTGTCATTGTTTTCTATTTGTCATTTGTTGTTATTTGTGAGACCAGCGTTCTCACCAGGTATTTGTATATTGACCAACACGAGCTTTGGTCCACGTAGTCACATTTGAGACCAGCTTCTCAACAGTTAACCGTATATTCAGGAAACCAGTTCAAGTGTCTAGACGGTATATCCTAGACAATCCCATAGTTTCAATCAGAGATAATAAAGCTCCGGCTAAGTTAATCTGACTGATTGGTTTAGCGAGCCTCCCAAGAACTCACACGTTATCTACCACGAAAGAAGAAAAGTTGTAGACCGTGTTAATCGAGGACTGGCAAGAAGTCTTATCCAGTGTAATTGTGGTGTCATTACATTCTTACACGTATTTATATAAGACCCTCGGTTATTAAGACAGCGTACAATGTCCCACCTTGGTCTACACAACATCATTTGAAGGACATCAACGCTATTCCCTCTTTCAGCGAGAAGCACTTCACTGACAGACACACTTAAATACTCAAGCCCATTTGCATTTTGCTCCCCCACACCTTTTCCTCCTACCACTATCACCTGGTATGGTGAAACACCATTTACGCTCTGATAGCACCAATACCAGCATTCCCAGACCGGTACCATCTACCGCTGTAGGTTCCACGCTGATCCCATCAGTTCCTGTAGCTGTTAGTACTATTACTGTGTCTGCTATGTCCACTTCAACAACTAAAATTATGGCTATCATGTTGAGCCACACAGACCTTGAACTTCTTGACCATGGCCAGAACAACTGGGGGACCTGGTCTACAAAAATGTGTAACTACCTAATCCTCAAACATGGTGGCAGGTATCTTCTTGGTATTATTCCTCATCCAGATGGTGTATTGGACCCTGTCAGCACCAGCACCTAGGACCTCAACAACTTATGCATTGTTGTGGCCTTGAGCACTTGTTCAAGCTCTGAGGAATAAGACTTTTTACTTTCCTTTGTCAATGTACACACTGCTTGGACTGAACTATATACCTACCATGAACAGGGTGGTCCTATCGCACAGATCCTTCTTATCTAGCAGGCATTTGCTCTCCATTACCATCGCTCCAAATGATTCGCTGCTATGAGCACTCAGCTCAATGATCTCACTAGACGCATATACGCTATTGGCATCCCCAAGGAGGGAGACTTCCTCACCATACTAATGCTCAATGCCATGAGCAAGGATCTCCCACATGTGCGCAACCATGTTGCTGACGTCATCACCATTAGCACCTCTTCTGCCCCTTACAGCCCTTCCAAAATATGCTCTCATCTCAAACTTGAACAATAGCTTGTCGATAACAACAAAGGGAAAGGGGGGTGATATTGCCCTCATAGCCACCAACAACAAAGTAAACCCAAAGGGAGGTTGGACTACTCAAACCAATGGTATGCCATGCACTGATCATGGGCAAATTACCCATACCAGCTGCTATACTACCTGCAGAGACTGGTGGTACTCTGCTAAAGATTGCTATAGGAAAGGAGGAGCCATGGAGGGTAAGAAGGATGAAATTGTTGCTCATCATCACACAGCGTGTTCTACCAATAACATTACCAAAACCTCAGGGAACCTCCTCCTCACGTCCTACAAAGGGTTGCATCTACCAGTAAACCTGGCAGATTATGCTATGACATGAGCCCCTTCAGTGACAAATCCCGTATTATACGGGTCACCCGACCTACATAATATCCCGTGTAATACAGGCCAGCGGATTATGGGCCGATGTTATGTATATACCCGATGTTGATGGGTGGGCCGGGGAGGAATATTATTTCCGATGGAGACGGGTGGGCCCATCTATGCTGATGTTATATATATCATCGATGATAGCAGATGGGCCGGGAGAAATATTATTATGGAGATGGGTGGGCCCATGTGGGTAATATGTAGAGTAGGATTGACATATATTATAGACCTGAGGAGAGATGTATAGCAAATAGTATTATATAGAAGGGTGGGCGACGTATCAGTATTATTTTGTAGACGGATGGGCCGAGGGAGCGGTGAATGTGAAATATTTATTAGATAGACGGGTGGGCCGACATAGGGAAATATTAGATAGACGGGTGAGCCAAGGGTGGGGTGAATTATTTATTACATAGACGGGTGGGCCGATGTGGGGTAATATTAGATAGACGGGTGGGCCGAGGGTGAGGTGAATTATTTATTACATAGACAGGTGGGCTGACGTGGGGGTAATATTAGATAGACGGGTGGGCCGAGGGTGAGGTGAATTATTTATTACATAGACAGGTGGGCCGACGTGGGGTCATATTAGATAGACAGGTGGGCCGAAGTGCAGAATTTTACATAGACGGGTGGGCCGACATCGGGTAATATCAAGTACCAAGTACTAAAACCCAAAACCTGAAACCTGAAACCCGAGCCCTGAACACCCAGACTCGGGACTCAAGAGACTCAAAACTCAAAATTCAAAACCCAACTGGAAAGTCATACATTTTTACGAGTTAAGAAAATTCAAATTTAAGATGATATACATTTTTGTCATCTGGAAATACCGAGTACCAAGTACCGAGACCTGATACCCAAGACCCGAGATTCGGCACTCGGTAGTCAGTGAAATGAGTACAGAAATACATAAGATACTACACATTAGTTTCAAATTTTGACTTGTGAATCACAAGTCTCGAGTCTCGAGACTCGAATCACCGAGTACTGACTACCAAGTACCAAGTACCGAGTGCTGAGTGCCGAGTGCCGAGTGCCGAGTGCTGAGTGCCGAGTGCCGAGTGCCGAGTTCCGAGTTCCGAGTTCCGAGTGCCGAGTGCCGAGTGCCCTGAGGCTTCCGGGTATTAAAACACAGATAGCCCTCGCTCTCAGGGGGTCATCAGAATTTAGATCACCTCAAACAGATGTGATTTGGGTGAGATATGAGCAAAATACTATATACCGGGTGAATTTCAGCATTGGAAGTTTGATGCTTTCGATGTTTTTGATGTCGGGTCTCGATGCTTTCGGGCATTAACATGTAGATAGCCCTTGATCTCAGGGGTGTGGCAAAATTTAGATTGTCTGAAACAGATATAATTTGAGTGAGATATATGCAAAATACCACACACTGACTACCGAGGGCTGAGTACCAAGTGCCGAGTGCTGAGTGCCGAGTTCCGAGTTCCGAGTCCCGAGTTCCGAGTTCTGAGTGCCAAGTACCCCGATGCTTTCGGGTATTAACACCCAGATAGCCCACGCTCTCAGGTGCCTGTCAGAATTTAGATCATCTCAAACAGATGTGAGATGAGTGAGATATGAGCAAAATACTATATACCAGTTGAATTTTGGCATCAGAAGTTCAATGCTTTCGATGTTTTTGATGTCTGGTCTTGATGCTTTCGAGCATTAATATGTAGATAGCCCTTGATCTCAGGGGTGTGGCAGAACTCACATTGTCTCAAACAGATATAATTTGAGTGAGATATTTGCAAAATACTATGTATATACTGACTACCGAGTGCTGAGTGCCGAGTTCTGAGTTCTGAGTTCCGAGTGCCGAGTCCTGAGTGCCGAGTGCTGAGTGCCCCGATGCGTTCAGGCATTCAATCACTGTCAGGAGGTGTTCCCTCATCCACCTCAGTGCCATCAGTGTTGCAATCAAGCTTTCTGCTGTGTGCTGAGTGCCGAGTGCCGAGTTCCGAGTTCCAAGTGCCCCGATGCTTTCGGATATTGACACCCAGATAGCCGTCACTCTCAAGGGCCCGTCAGAATTTAGATCATCGCAAACGGATGTGATTTGAGTGAGATATGAACAGAATACTATATACCAGGTGAATGTTGGCATCAGAAGTTCAATGCTTTCGATGTTATTGATGTCGGGTCTCGATGCTTTCGGGCATTGACATGTAGATAGCCCTCGATCTCAGGGGTGTGGTAAAATTCAGATTGTCTGAAACAGATATAATTTGAGTGAGATATATGCAAAATACCACACACTGACTACCGAGTGCTGAGTACCAAGTGCCAAGTGCCGAGTTCCGAGTGCCGAGTGCCCCGATGCTTTCGGGTATTAACACTCAGATAGCCCTCGCTCTCAGGGGCCTGTCAGAATTTAGATCATCTCAAACAGATGTGATTTGAGTGAGATATGAACAAAATACTATATACCGGGTGAATTTCAGCATTGGAAGTTTGATGCTTTCGATGTTTTTGATGTTGGGTTTTGATGCTTTCGGGCATTAACATGTAGATAGCCCTTGATCTCAGGGGTGTGGCAGAATTCACATTGTCTCAAACGGATATAATTTGAGTGAGATATATGCAAAATACCACACACTGACTACCGAGTGCTGAGTGCTGAGTGCCGAGTGCCGAGTGCCGAGTGCCGAGTGCCGAGTGCCGAGTGACCCGATGCTTTCGGGTATTAAAAGCCCTCGCTCTCAGGGGCCCGTCAGAATTTAGATCATCTCAAACGGATGTGATTTGAGTGAGATATGAACAAAATACTATATACCGGGTGAATTTTGGCATCAGAAGTTCAATGCTTTCGATGTTTTTGATGTCTGATCTTGATGCTTTCAAGCATTAATATGTAGATAGCCCTTGATCTCAGGGGTGTGGCAGAACTCACATTGTCTCAAACAGATATAATTTGAGTGAGATATTTGCACCATACTATGTATATACTGACTACCGAGTGCTGAGTGCCGAGTTCTGAGTTCTGAGTTCTGAGTGCCAAGTGCCGAGTGCCCCGATGCTTTCGGGTATTAACACCCAGATCGCCCTCACTCTCAAGGGCCCGTCAGAATTTACATCATCTCAAACGGATGTGATTTGAGCGAGATATGAACAAAATACTATATACCGGGTGAATTTTGGCATCAGAAGTTCAATGCTTTCGATGTTTTTGATGTTGGGTCTCAATGCTTTTGGGTATTGACATGTAGATAGCCCTCGATCTCAGGGGTGTGGTAAAATTCAGATTGTCTGAAACAGATATAATTTGAGTGAGATATATGCAAAATCCCATATACTGACTACCAAGTGCTGAGTACCAAGTGCCGAGTGCCGAGTGCCAAGTGCCTTCCGAGTGCTGAGTGTCCCGATGCTTTCAGGCATTACCACCCAGATAGCCCTTGCTCTCAGGGGTCCATCAGAATTTTGATTATATCAAACAGATGTGATTTGAGTGAGATAGGAGCAAAATACTATATGTATATCAGGTGAATTTCAGCATTGGAAGTTCAATGCTTTCAATGATTTTGATGTCGGGCCTCAATGCTTTCAGGCATTGATATGCAGATAGCCTTCACTCTCAGGGGTCCTTCAGAATTTGGATCATATTTTTGCATCAGGAGTTTGATGCTTTCAATGATTTCAATGTGAGGCCTAGATGACTGTGTTCATTGACATGTGGATAGCCCTTAATGTCAGGAGTGTCACAGAATTCATATGGCCTCACATGGACATATGAGGTAATGTAGGACATTCTCAACACATCAGGAGACACATAAAAACACATCATAAGGCACTACATCATGTCTTCAATAGTCATACCTATGTGTAGTATGATAGTGTGATCTTTAATATACTGTTCAGGCTGACACTCATCAAGTATCACAGGTCTATTGTACAGACTTAGAATAAAATACAGTAGTCTTAACTTGATAGTCATTACACAATAGTCTTCACTTGATAGTCTAATATGATTGTTGATTACTACATAATACATAAGCTGTGAGGGTTAGGATTATTATGGAAGATATGACAGTCATGGTTATTAAGAAAGCTTATATTATGCCTAGCAAGTTAAGACTATTGAGTTAAGACAATCATATCCTTAGTCTAGTAAGCACTGTCAAAGCTTGTGACCTTCTGGTAACCGTGTGGCAAAATCATATTTTGCTGATGTATATATCTTGTGATTGTAACTTTCTTGCACCAGTGCACAGTGATTGCCTTGAATTTCGAGTTTTTTTGTATTTAGAGATACATACCACTGACAGATACTGTTTCAGGGACTGGAACAGTACATTGGAAGCCAATCTATCATATTATACATAGGTGTGATCATAGCAAACCTGATGCAGTCCCTGATGATGTGTTTTTATGTTTCTCCTGATGTTTTAGAATTTTTCCCACACAAGGCTGACAACAAAAACATTGAACCTGCAAAGCTCAGACACACCCAATAAATTGTATTTTGCTCATATCTCCCTCAAATCATGTCTGTTTGAGGCAAAATATGATCCCCAACATCCCTTCAATAGTATATGCAATATATAAGGATACTAGGACGACAGGATTTATTCCTGTTGTGCTATGTGCTTACCCTTGGTGCAAGGCCTGACATCAAAAATCACCCCGATATGTAATATTTTGCTCATATCTCACTCAAGTCTTATCCGTGTGAGACGATCTGAATTGTGACAGGCCCCTGAGATCAAGTTCTATCTGCTTGTGAATGCCTGAATGCATTGAGGCTAGACATTGCAAACATGGAAAGCATTGACCTTACAATGCTGAAATACACACAGTATATGGGATTTTGCTCATATCTCACTCAACTCTTATCCATTTGGGATGGGCTAAATTCTGCCAGACCCGTGAGATCTAGGGCTATCTGCATGTCAATGCCTGAAGGCATCGAGGCTTGATATCAATAACATCAAAAGCATCAAACTTCTGATGGTGAAATTCACTTGGTATATAGTATTTTGCTCATATCTCACTCAAATCACATCCGTTTAAGATGATCTAAATTCTGATGGGCCCCTGAGAGCGTGGGCTATCTGGGTGTTAATACCCGAAAGCCTCGGCGCACTCGGCACTCGGAACTCGGAACTCGGAACTCGGCACTTGGCACTCGGAACTCGGAACTCAAAACTCAGCACTCAGCACTCGGTAGTCAGTATATACATAGTATGGTGCAAATATCTCACTCAAATTATATCCGTTTGAGACAACGTGAATTCTGCCACACCCCTGAGATTGAGGGCTATCTACATGTTCATGCCTGAAAGCATCAAGACCCAACATCAATAACATCGAAAGCATTGAACTTCTGATGCCAACATTCACCCGGTATATAGTATTCTGTTCATATCTCACTCAAATCACATCTGTTTGAGATGATCTCAATTCTGACGGGTCCCTGAGAGCGAGGGCTATCTGGGTGTTAATACCCGAAAGTATCAGGGCACTTGGAACTCGGAACTCGGAACTCGGCACTCAGCACACAGCAGAAAGCTTGATTGCAACACTGAAGGCACTGAGGTGGATGAGGGAACACCTCCTGACAGTGATTGAATGCCCGAACGCATCAGGGCACTCAGCACTCAGCACTCAGCACTCGGCACTCGGCACTCGGCACTCGGCACTCGGCACTCGGCACTCGGCACTCGGCACTCGGCACTCGGCACTCGGCACTCGGAACTCGGCACTCGGAACTTGGAACTCGGAACTCGGAACTCAGAACTCAGCACTTGGCACTCAACACTCGGGACTCATTCACCCTGTATCTTGGATTGTGCATATATCTCACTCAAATCATATCTATTTAAGACTATCTAAATTCTGATGAATCCCTGAGATCTAGGCCTATCTGCATGTCAATGCCCGAAAGCATCAAGAGCCAACATTAAAAACATCGAAAGCATTGAACTTCTGATGCCAACATTCACCCGGTATATAGTATTTTATTCATATCTCACTCAAATCACATCCGTTTGAGATGATCTAAATTCTGACGGGTCCCTGAGAGCGAGGGCTATCTGGGTGTTAATACCCGAAAGCATCGGGGCACTTGGCACTCGGAACTCGGCATTTGGCACTCAGAACTCGGCACTCAGCACTCGGTAGTCAGTATATACATAGTATTTTGCAAATATCTCACTCAAATTATATCCATTTGAGACAATGTGAATTCTGCCACACCCCTGAGATCAAGGGCTATCTACATGTTAATGCCCGAAAGCATCAAGACCTGACATCAAAAACATCGAAAGCATTGAACTTCTGATGCCAAAATTCACCCGGTATATAGTATTTTGTTCATATCTCACTCAAATCTCATCCGTTTGAGATGATCTACATTCTGACAGGTCCCTGAGAGCGAGGGCTATCTGGGTGTTAATACCCGAAAGCATCGGGGCACTCGGAACTCGGAACTCGGAACTCGGCACTCGGCACTCGGCACTCAGCACACAGCAGAAAGCTTGATTGCAACACTGAAGGCACTGAGGTGGATGCCCGAAAGCATCAAGACCCGACATCAATAACATCGAAAGCATCGAACTTCTGATGCCAAAATTCACCCGATATGTAGTATTTTGCTCATATCTCACTCAAATCACATTTGTTGGAGATGATCTACATTCTGACAGGTCCCTGAAAGCGTGGGCTATCTGGGTGTTAATACCCGAAAGCATCGGGGCACTCGGCACTCGGAACTCGGCACTCGGAACTCGGCACTCGGCACTCAGCACTCGGAACTTGGTGCTCGGCACTTGGCACTTGGTACTCAGCACTCGGTAGTCAGTGTGTGGTATTTTGCATATATCTCACTCAAATTATATCTGTTTCAGACAATCTAAATTTGCCACACCCCTGAGATTGAGGGCTATCTACATGTTACTGCCCGAAACCATCGAGACCCGACATCAAAACATCGAAAGCATCAAACTTCCAATGCTGAAATTCACCCGATATGTAGTATTTTGCTCATATCTCACTCAAATCACATTTGTTTGAGATGATCTAAATTCTGACGGGCCCCTGAGAGCGAGGGCTATCTGGGTGTTGATACCCGAAAGCATTGGGGCACTTGGCACTCGGAACTCGGAACTCGGAACTCGGAACTCGGAACTCGGAACTCGGAACTTGGAACTCGGAACTCGGAACTCAGAACTCAGCACTCGGCACCTCGGCACTCAGCACTTGGGACTCGGCACTCAGCACTTGGGACACATTAAATCACATCTGTTTGAGATGATCTAAATTCTGATGGGCCCCTGAGAGCATGGGCTATCTGGGTGTTAATGCCTGAAAGCATTGGGGCACTCTGCACTTGGCACTCGGCACTTGGTACTCAGCACTCAGTAGTCAATATATTGTATTTTGCATATATCTCACTCACATTATATCCATTTCAGACAATCTGAATTCTCCCACACCCCTGAGATCGAGGGCTATCTTCATGTCAATGCCCGAAAGCATCAAACTTCTGATGCCAAAATTCACCCGGTATATAGTATTTTGCTCATATCTCACTCAAATCACATCCGTTTGAGATGATCTAAATTCTGATGGGCCCCTGAGAGCGAGGGCTATCTGGGTGTTAATACCCGAAAGCATCGGGGCACTTGGCACTCGGAACTCGGAACTCGGAACTCGGAACTTGGAACTCAAGACTTAGTGCTTAGCACTTGGTAGTCAGTATATTTTATTTTGCACCTTTCCCGAGTACATACCCTTAATCTCAGAATGAAGTCCAGATGAAATCCAATGAAGTCCGAAGGACTTCCGGAGACTGGCTACTCTGATGGAGTGCTGGAGGACTTCTGGATGAGCACAGGAACCTTCCGGAGGAGTATAGAAACTTCTAGAGAAGTACAGGAAACTCTGGAGGAGTTTCACCTGCTGCATAGGGTCCGAAGATAAGACTTCTGAAGGTAAGCTTCCTAGATGGAAGCACATGGAGGAGAGACTGCAAGGGACAGAGTCCAAAGCAGGATCAGATAGGAGGAGTGGTCCAGAGGACAGGATGTCTGAAGGTTGCGCCATCTGAATGTTCAGATGTCCAAAGGTTAAGATGTCCAAAGGTTATGATGTCTGAAGGTCATGATGTCCGAAGGTTACAATGTCCGAAGGTTTTGATATCCGAAGGGTAAGATGTCCGGAGATCCAAAGGTCCAGAGATCCAAAGGTCCAGAGATCCAAAGGTCTGGAGGTCAGCAGGAGTGGACAGGATTATAGGACAGGAGAATAAAGGCTACCATGGACAAGGTCTGGAGTAGAAGCAAACAGAGGTAGGCTACACTTAGGTGGAGTCGGAGATAACAGGAAGTAGACATAAGTCTTGGAAAGACAGGAAGTGCCAGAAAGGCAAAGGTCCAGCTTAAGGAATCAATCCTTAAGCTTGGATAGAGATGGAAGGACAAATCCAAAGGTTTGGAAGTCCAGCCTAAGGAATCCTTCAGGTTGGACTCGGATCTCAGTACACTTCACTTGATTTTTGATATCCGGGACTCCATAGTCAGAACTTGAGTCTTGAATCTCGGGTGTCGGGTGTCGGTTGTCGGGTGTCGGTTGTCGGGTGTCGGGTGTCGGGTGTCAGGTGTTGGGTCTCAATGGTCGGGACTCAATATTTGGGACTCGTTGGTCGGGACTTGATACTCGATTGTTGGGATTCAATGGTCGGGCATTGGGTTTCAGGACTCAAATCTCGGGCTTTGGGACTTGGGTTTCAAGACTCGGTAGTCGGGACTCAATGGTTGATTGTCGGGATTTGATAGTCAGGGCTCAGATATTGGTACACTTCACTTGATTTTCGGTAGTTGGAACTTGGCATTTGGCATTTGGTAGGCTTGGATGATGTTGGCTTTCAAAGATCTATTATCATATATTGCTCAATGAAATACCAGACGATCGGAAGTGTGCTGGACATCACATATTCATTTGTCGAGACCTGGGTCTCGGAACTCGGTACACTTCGCTCGAGTTTCCACTTCACCCCTTTGCAAGGCTCCATGCCATACTACATCATTAGATGACTTTTAATTATTACCTCCATGATATACAACTAGCTGAGCTCCATCATGTCTACAATTATCATTCTCCTGGGCCCACCCGTTTATATTATATACCCCTACGTCGGCCTACCCATCTATGCAATATATGTCTACCATTGGCCCACCCGTATATAATAAATCTTTCACCGCTCCCTCGGCCCACTCGTCTACAAAATAATACCAATACGTCGGCCCACCCGTCTACAAAATAATATTAATTCATCAGCCCACCATAACAAGCACCCTTGATATACCCGGCTATTTGATACATATCTACCTTGGTACACCCATCTACATAATATCCAACTACCTCGGCCGATCCGTCTATTGAAAATTCATGTCCATCGGCCCACCCATCTACTTTACATATTCCCCACCTGGGCCAACCCGTCTCCATCGGGAATAATAACACTCCTGGCCCATCCGTCACAGTCGAGGATATATCTACCTTCGGCCCATGGTCCGCTGGCCCGTATCATACGGGATATTATGCATGTCCGTTCACTCGTATAATACGGAGATATGTTACTGCAATATGTGATGACATCAATGGTCATGCATACCTCCTAGATGCTGAAACCCATGAGGTGATCTTCATTGCTAACGCTCCCACAGCCCCTACCTCAGGTACCACTACACCCACCAAAGAGTTTACTGGGCTTGCCTATGATAGTCCTACATTAGTGTTTATCGAGGAACTCCCAGAGGATGTGTATGATGCACTCCTTGCTGCTGTTGACCTACAAGCCAGTATTGACTGGTGTACACACTCTCAGGCTGTTGACTTTGCGGGTCTCACCTATAAGGCACCAAATCAGTGCACATGTACTCCCATTGATCCATCTATCATCTCATTCTTTCTTGATAGTGGTGCCTCTGTGCATATCAGCAACACTAAAGCAGATTTTGACACCTTGTACCCCACCTGTCATATACCATATATCCGGGTACAGATCCAATCCAGATCTGATGGACATATCCATCGTCTGGTCCACAGATCCAATCTGATTCTTATTTCATGTCCTGTTCATATAACTCTAACTATTGTTCATCTCCTTTCGGTATTCCTGTACACCGGTAATCTGGTTATCTTTACTTCCGCTATGCTTACTGATCTACTTTAACTTATACTTCATTCCCAGTTCATGATTCGTGATCCATCCGACTTACCAATACGCTGTGCACATACTTTGCTTATACTTTGTACATAGCCTCACGCCTTTGCTTATTGATCATTCTGTTAGTTATCCGTAGTATATAAACCCTTGTACATGCGCTGTAGTAGATCAGTTCGAATATCATCTTAGATTGCACTCATTCTGTCTGGACTCTAAGTCCATCCGTTATCCGTCCGGACTTGAGTACGATACTCTTGTCTACTCCGAGACTTAGGATTGACTCCTATGGTCTGTATCTTCACCTCTGTCTTTGGACAGTCCTCATCTGTTAGTTTCTAGTTCGGATCCAATCTGGATTAGCCGTTACTCTATACATTCGATATCTGTTACGATACTTATCCATCTCACTAGACGCGATACTCTAGTACTCTGCAATAAGGGGCAAGACTCGGGAAAGGGGTACAGCACATGAGCTGAGGCCAAAGCCCTTCGGATCTGATACCTCTTGAGTACGGTCTTAACACCACCCCTCCCTGCATTATCAGTGTTGGCATGATTTATCTAATTGTTGCTAAAGGGATCCACCTCATGCTTGACCATGTCCTCTTTATCCCCAGTGCCACTGTACGCCTGCTATCCATTGAAGAGATAAAGGCTGCTGCTAGTGCAAGACAGTGGAGAGCAGGGGGCAGTATGAGCCTAAAGGACTTCTGACTAGGCTAAGCGAGAGAGAGAGAGAGAGAGAAAGAGAGAGAGAGAGAGAGGAGAGAGAGTGTGTGTGTGTGTGTGTGTGTGTGTGTGTGCTGAGACTGTGTATCAGGAGCTTTATAGTGAGCTATTGAGCTACTAGTAAAACTAATAAGCTGTAAGTCTGGGGAAGCTACTGAATCCTAGAAGGAGAGCTACCAGAAATATAATTGAAAGTCTAGCTAGTGAGTGGAAGTGTAAGACAAAGATTTGATGATTATGCAAGCAGTAAAAATACAAACATAAACAAGGAAAAAGTAAGAGTAAGTAAGGCTAAGTAAAATGTCAGTCTGCACCCAGAGAGAATTCAATCCCTACACCGTCTCCACTATGTGTGCAGCCCATCACTGTGTTGCATCTTTTGATGTAATGTCCAAGCCCGCAGCGGCACCATCAGGGAATTGACCCAAAGATCACATAGCTTTGTAAAGCTTTATCTATCATAAAATCTATACAATAACTATCATAATTGCGATCAGCTTGACAATGCTTTAGATAGGCAGCCTACACTGTGGAAAACTGCCAAGGACACAATCATGACACACATTGTGAATATCTGCCATCATTGACAAATTTTTATAATATCACCCAGCCTTGACAATGCTTTAGATAGGCAGCCTACACTGGGGAAAATTACCAAAGACACAATCATGATGAGCATCTATAATGCCAGACTACTTCAAATACAACTGCTACTAAATGTTAAGACCGTACTCAAGAAGTATCGGATCTGAAGGGCTTTGGCCTCAGCTCGTGCGCTGTGCCCCTTTCCCGAGTCTTGCCCCTTATTTCAGAGTACTAGAGTATCACGTATATTGAGATGGATAAGTCTCGTAACGGATCTGTTAAGGCTTCCGGATATTGAACGTATATAGTAATGGCTAATCCAGATTGGATCTGAACTAGAAACTAACGGGTGAGAACTGTCCGAAGACAGAGACAGATATATAGACTATAGGAATTAATCCTAAGTCTCGGAGTAGACAAGAGTATCGTACTCAAGTCCGGACGGATAACGGATGGACTTAGAGTCCAGACAGAATGAGTGCAATCTAAGATGATATTCGAACTGATCTACTACAGCGCATGTACAAGGGTTTATATACTACGGATAACTAACAGAATGATCAATAAGCAAGGACGCGAGGCTATGTATGAAGTATAAGCAAAGTATGTGTACAGCATATCGGTAAGTCGGATGGATAATGAATCATAACCGGGAATGAAGTCTAAGCTAAAGTGGATCAGTAAGTGTAGCGGATCAGTAAGCATAACGGAAGTAAAGGATAACCGGTGTACCAGTGTACAGGAATGCCGAAAGGAGATGAACAATAGTTAGAGTTATATGAACAGGACATGAAACAAGGATTAGATCGGATCTGTGGACCGGACAATGGATATATCCATCAGATCTGGATCGGATCTGAGATCCGGATCTTCGGATCTGTACCCGGGAATATGGTATATGACACTAAATTACTAAAGTCTCAATCTTGACACTCGTTTTATAAATCAAATCAAGTTTTATTTGGGGTTGGAGCACACATAGTAGTATGACTACAGAAGATATCGAAGGTAAGAGTCAAATTAAAAACGGAACAAAGAAAAGAAACAAAAACAAAAATGGGATGTAAAGGTAAGGGGAGGTGAGGTTGTGGAATATGGGAGATAGATGACTATCAGCACTGGGTAAGCAGGTCAAAACACGAGATCATGCACTCTCTGAGAGCGGGACATGGCCATGGCACTGTCAGCATCCACTAAGAAGCTCAAAAGACAAGATCATGCACATTCTGAGAGCAGGACATGGCCATGGCACTGTCAGCATCATCTAAGAAGCTCGAAAGACAAGATCACACACAGACTGAGAGTGGGACATGGCCGTGGCACCATCAGTGCCACCTAAGAAGCTCAAAAAACAAGACCATGCTGTGACAATCATATTGGCGCTAGGCATGTATACCTGCATAAGCCTTCAATAGGTGGACCAAAGTTATCCCTCATATCATTCACTACTCCCCTATCAGCAGTCTTCACTTGTCTCAGCCATAACCCTTGTCCAATGCTATTCCGCACTTTCCCGCACTATTCGTGCTCATTCCCGCAGCGCTACTCATGTTCCCACGACTTATCCGACACTATTCCCACGCTTATAGCACTGTCAGAACTACCAGCAATGTGTTTTAGGTGCATTAGCGCTTGTCCGCTCTATCCAGCGCGCTGTTCTCATGCTCTAGGAATCACTCGAAATGTCGGAATCCATCCATTGTCCATCCTACCTCATTGGTATGTAATTTGCCTTGCCTCGAGTTTGTAACAAGTGCTACAGTCTTATTACATGTATATCCTATCCCTTCCAAGTCCGAGATGGTATAGTTTACTAGTATAAGAAGCCTATGGTGATTACTTTGACATTACTTCCCTTCGACTGTAATTCCTTCTCCTTAGGTTTTACTTAGAAGTAGTCACCCTTTAGTTGCGCTCTATGGCCCCTATTTGACTTTCCTTACCCTTGCAATCAATACCCTTGATCTTTCTTGCTATCCATTACCTTCCTTTGACTCAGTGTCTGCTCTCTTGACTTCCGCTCTTTCCCACGCATTAGCGCTCTATCTTGCGACGCGCTATTCCTGTGCTTTAGCTCTCTTTTGGGTCTTTCTATCTTAAGTTGTCTTTAGTAGCTTTTCCCTCGGGTCGAACGTTCTTGCTTTATTGTTTGCAAGTATAGCAGCATAGGCAGAGCTTAGACATATACTGGCTAAGTACCTTTACAAGTGCCTAGTCAGGTTGTGATTTCCACAATGCACCAACTGAGAGTGGGACATGGCCGTGGCACCATCAGCGCCACCTAAGAAGCTCAAAAAACAAGACCACACACCAACTGAGAGTGGGACATGGCCATGGCACCATCAGCGCCACCTAAAAATGAGACCACACACCAACTGAGAGTGAGACATAACCATGGCACCATCAGTGCCGCCTAAGAAGCTCAAAAAATGAGACCACACACCAACTGAGAGTGGGACATGGCTGTGGTGCCATCAGCATCACCTAAGAACCTCGAAACACAATGTCACACAGACTGAGAGCAGGACATGGTCATGGCATCATCAGCATTGACTAAGAACCTCAAAAAACAAGACCACGCACAGACTGAGAGCAGGATATGGCCATGGCACGGTCAGCATCCTCTAAGAAACTCAAAAGACAAGATCACACACTTTCTGAGAGTGGGACATGGCCATGGCATGGTCAGCGTCACCTAAGAACATCAAAAGACAACATCACTCACCAACTGAGAGCAGGACATAGCCATGGCACGGTCAGCATCGCCTAAGCATATTGAAATATGACATCACGCACCAACTGAGAGTGGGACATGGCCGTAGCACCATCAGCACCGGAAAAACAAGGCCACACGCATTCTGAGAGCAGGACATGGCCGTGGCATGCTCAGCGTCACCTAAGAACCTTGAAAAATGAGATCACGCACATTCTGAGAGTGGGACATGGCCATGGCATAGTCAGCGCTGCATAAGAACTTTGAAACGCGAAATCATGCACAGACTGAGAGTGGGACATAGCTGTGGCATGGTCAGCGTCACCTAAGAACCTTGAAACACGAGAGCACGCATGACAGCAAAAATGAATGAGAATGAGCGCAGAGGACAAGTGCGAAAATGAAGCAAACTAGAATAATGAAATAAATAAAATGAGAACACTCACAAGTGCAATTGAACTTGAACTTGAACTTGAAATTTTTTGAAATGCACAACTTACCTAAGCATCTGCACAGCGCCAGGTGATACTGTCAGAATATTTGTTAGTTTTCTTGCCTTGTCTTTCAACATCAATTTGCTATGCTTATATCAAGCTTTATCTAGTGGGAATAATCTTATATAATCTGGTGTATTTTTGATATGATTTTACCGACTAAATCTGTAACATGATAATAAAATGTAATGACACTATCATACTGTTGTCTGCTTCCAAGACAAACATCAAATGATATTTTATTTTTCTGACATAGTCATATCATATGTTAGATATTTTTGAGACTACAATAATAATATTTAAGGCTAAAACATGACATGTAATAATGTTTTTTTGATTACCAATTATATCTAGTCATATCAAGTTCGGGTTGATTTCCTGATGACACACATGCTTACCAGTACTTAACCTCATGTCGCCTCTATGCACTCTCTGGCGGCCAACTATCTGCTGATCATGTGTATCTTGCACATCACACACCCCACTCTTGAGGCTTGGCACAAATGTCTTGGCCATGCCAACTGTCATGCCATTTATGATCTCGCTCACTTTGATTTAGCTACTGGTATGCCCATTGATCTATTATCTCTTCCCCCTGTTTGTGATGCTTGTATTCTTGGCAAACAGATGAAGATGAGCATACTGCAGATTAGAGAAGGGAATCAGGCTGATCGCAGACTTGGGATTGTCCATGTCAACTTGATGGAACACCCAGATACTGTATCCATCGCAGGCAATAAGTACATAATGGACATTATCAACAATTTTTCCTCTTACTCCTGGTCCATCCCTCTCACATCCAAAGGTGACGCTTTCCTGTCTTCAATGGGAGTGTGCATGTGAAGTTGAGATAGGCACTAAAGTGGGTATCTTTTGCTTGGACAATGGTGAATTAAAATCCACCACATGCATGAGTGGCTCCTCACCCATGGCACCCTACATCAATTCACTGCACCCTATATGTTGGCACACAATGGCCATGTTGAACGCCTCCATCATACACTAATGGGAAAAGCTCGTGCTATGTACACCTCCTGCAATATGCCTGCTAATTGCTGGGATGAGTCTGCCCTCACTGCTAACTATTTGTCTAACTGGACATCAGTAACATTGCAGTCTGGCCATATCCCCTATGAAGCTTGGTTCAGCTGCATACCCGACCTTTCTCACCTGCATGAAATCAGCTATCATGCCTTTGTGCTAATCCAAAACCACCACAACCTAAAAATCTTTAATTGTTTGACTGAGTGCATCCTTATTGGCTATTCTCTTGATTCTAAAGCTTACAGATGATACTACCATGCAAGCAACAAAGTCTTTGTCTCCTACTACTAGTATGTTTCCTTTATTGAATCCTTTAATGATCATAATACCTCTTTACACCCTGGTCGCACATTGTCTAACTCCCCAGCATCCTCTAAGCCTGATGACCCCAACCCATCTTCTCCACCTCCTACCTCCAAATGCACCTCTATCAGTAATGTGGAAGACAACACTAATTACACCCCTGCCCCTTCTACGCCCTCTCCATGTCATTCCTCTCATGTACCCACCCCCTCTGAAAAATGGTGTGCCATCAACAGTACCTCTTATGTGTCTGCCACACAATATGCTGCCTTGGTGTCCATGGCCACAGCAGATCATCTACGAGTGCTTGATAACCTCCCTGACAGTGCACTGAAGACTGACCTTTCTGCTACAGATCTTACAGACTTGGAGACTAAACTTGCACACCTCGCTGATGTCTTTGTGGCTGTCCCTGATAATTTCAATCATGAAGTCAATGATGACCCCCTCACTTACACAGATGCCATGGCCTCACCTTATGCCCACCAATGGACTACAGCCTTGCAGAAGGAGTTCAATTCATCATGGAATCTAGGTGTCTATAAGCTCGTCCCTCACTCAAGTATCCCAGCAGGCAGGAAACTTATGAAGAGCCATCCTGTTTTCAAACTCAAATGTGATCAAAATGGTGCCCCTGCACACTTCAAAGCCCTCTATGTCTGCAAAGGCTATTTAACTGTTTGGGGACAAGATTATACCAAGACATCTGCGCCCACCGCCCATCTTGAATCCTTCCAAATACTTGCACACTTAGGTATCATGCTCGATTGGGAGATTGAACAACTTGACATCAAAATAGCCTTTCTTTATGGCCTCCTGGGCTCTGATGAAGTCTGCTATATGGAGCAACCAGAAGATTTTGTCCCCAGGGTTTGAAGATCATGTCTGGGAATTACAGAAGGGACTTTATGGCATGAAACAAGAAGACTTAGTCTGAAACACAACCCTTAATGATGCTATGTTATCCTGGGGATTCATGCGCTTAAAGAGTGAGCACTGCATCTATTTCCACTGTTCTTCTGCTAGTATCCTCCTCATTGCTATACACATTGATGACTTCTTTACTGTCAGAAGCTCCAAGGCTGCCTTCACCGAGTTCAAGGTCAAATTGCGCTCCAAGTGGCAGGTAGCTGAGCTCGGTAATGCTCATTTTTGCCTTGGCATCGCTATCTCACGTAACCATCCCACTTATACTATCTCCCTCTCACAAACTGCCCTAATTGACCATGTCATTAGTCAGTTCAGCCTGAAGGATGCTGTCCCCCGCTCCATACCAATAGAACCTGCCCTATGGCTCTCACATTGTGACCACTCGCCTTGTAATGATACCGAACAAGATCTCATGGCACATACTCCTTACCACTCCCTTGTGGGCTCTCTAATGTATGTACCTAGCCATCAGCACACGACCTGATGTATCCTATGTGGTCCAGCAACTTTGTAAGTTCCTTGACTCCTATGGTCCAGTACATTGAGAGGCCACCAAACGTGTCATTTGATATCTTAAAGGAACATGCAATCTCTGACTCATTCTTGGTGGTGATCATGTGGCCCATCTACTTGCCTACACTGATAGCAACCTCACAAGCTGCATCGATACTTGTCATTCTGTGAGCAAATACTGTTGTTCACTTGGTAGTGGGACAATCACCTGGAGTGCACAACAACAAAAGACAGTTTCCCTTTCCACATGTGAAGCTGAATGTATCACTGCATCCAAGGCTGGAAAAGAAATTGCATGGATCTGCATGATCCTACAAGAACTCGGCTTCCCTCAATCATCCACCTCTCCCCTCATGTGCAATAATAATGGTGCCATCATACTCACAGAAGATATATCCTGCCACACCAAAGTTAAACATATCAATATTGCTTATCATTCCATCCGCGAATGGATCACTTGCCAGCAACTCAAAGTCCATTATGTTTGAATGCATAAAAATCTTACCAATATTTTCACAAAAGCCCTAGTGAAAAAGGACCATGGTCATTTGCATGAATACCTTGGTCTCCAGTGAATAAGTCAAGGAGGAGCTCGCATCGCATTGAGGAGGAGCTCGCATCGCATTGAGGAGGAGCTCGCATCACATTGAGGAGGAGCTCGCATCGCATTGAGGAGGAGTGTTAGCACACAGGATATGCACATGACAACATGACACAGCAGAGTGGAGTCCTGGACAGGAATCCAAACCATTATATAGTTATTTCATCTCTCTTATCTCTTTCCTCAGTTCATTGTCTACGACTGAGGGTATGTTTCTTGTTTTATTGTATGATACCTAGACACTGACTCAGCTATGATAGATTGACATTTGTCTAGGTACATACTAATCTAGTTCGTTGTCCACAACTGAGGATTGATATTTGTCTAGCTCTTTTATGCTTTTCTAAAAAAAATGAAACCATTGTCACATTTGGGTGCAACACTCGTTGAGTGTTTGTAGGTGAGACCAAGGTCAGTTGATATGTTTGTTCTTGCACTACAAGTTTATATGATTTTTTGACAAAAATTTTATTACTTTGCATGGTCCAGTTCTCAGTTTGAACCCTTGCTGAACCAGAACCAGACCATTTCAGACCGAACCAATGGTCTGGTCCATGGTTCTTCTCACTAGGAGAACCAAACCAGACTTACTTATCCATCACTATCCACTACTTACTAGCTCTAGACACATATTTTGTTACTTTAGCTATCACCAATCCACTGTTTTTGCCATTCTCTCTGTGTGATTCCTATTATTTTTCCTCCTCAAATTAATTTCATTTAATTGCACTAGGAAACGCTACACCTACTTATAGTTCGAAATTGTACCTGGGAAAAGTCAGTTCCACCAATCGTGTTGCTCCATCACCAGCGCCGTAAGTTCACGGTAAGCATCAAGCTTCTTTCTGGCAAGCGAGAAAACTGAGTCTTTCACTGATCAGTGCTACCAAACCATAATCTCCCCGGATGCATCTCCATTTCATTTTCTAAGCAAAATTACTCATCTTTTTCGTTTGTACTATAGCCGTGTCCATACATATATTCAGGCTCTTGTCGATGTCGATGTCGAGAAATAAATTACATAGTGTTAAGGTACATGGAGGTACATAGGTGTGATTTGTGGTGGCGCGGGGCCTACTTTTCCGTTCAGGAGATACTGGTTGATAGCTGTTAGATGCTATAAAATTTGGATTGTACCAAGTATCTCAGCGAGTTGAGAAAATAAAGTTACGCGAGTGGGGAATCCATAAGACAAATGATAGAAGAATAAAGTACGAGAGACATAATACAGCTGGACAATAGCGAATTCAATCTCGAGGAGGACCTAAGAAAATCACCGTGAGTTTTGTAAGGGTACCTTAACACGAACAGCAGACATACCTGGCAGGCAAACGTCATGCTCCCCCTGTGCCTCAACCCAGACAACGTAAAGTATACCCACATCCACCCTGCCAATCAAAAACCTCACGCTATAGCTCCTTCACACTGGCTGCCGCGTGATCCATCCAGTGATTTAGTACCCGTTCGTCGCCCCAAAGATAGTATGCAATGCGAGGTAGTAGTGAGATCTGACTGGGTATTACCCGAGACAGGCCGGTGAAGAATAGGAAAGTGAGTAGAGACATAACAATCACTGTATGTGCATGACCGTCAGGAGTGGTTCGAGGTCGAGCGTGCAATTACTCACCGAAAACAAGTTTCTCCCAAGGTTCCAGACCACATATGGCAAAAGTGGCTTCAAACATTGTCCATTGCTTCCATGCATACGCGCGGAGCGAATTGCATCGAAATCCAGTAGTATCTCTGGCCAGCGGGGGAGGCTTAAATGGGCGTGTCATGGTGGTATGATGTGGAAAGAAGAATATGAGAAACGTTGAAGGGTATAACAATATTAAATCAATATGGTGAGAGCTATCAAATATACGTGACTGTGAATTCTGTTGAATATATAAGTTATTTTTACTGGTGGGATGATCTCGGCGATCATCATAGCAGCCAACCAGAGGCGGTATATTACATAATAATTCCCTTCCAGTTTGCTACAGTTCGCATGGCCCTGGTGACCGGTAGAACTACGAGACATTGCAAATGCCAATCAGTGTTTCGTACGACGTGCTCAATACTCATCAGATATAAGCAGAGTCGTGATGGTTGTCAAAAGATAACGCCGACCAATGCCCACAAAGAACGACTACATGGGAGAAGATGAGGCGTGCAACTTCACGCACAGGAAGTTCCACGCCAGCACTAGATCCGTCGGGCTGTCACGCACTGCAGGCTGTAAATGTGTCGTTGTCGACATGTCATCCTCCAGAGTCAAGAGGCCCAGTTTCGTCACTGGCAGCGGCCACCTTATCTAGTCGTTGGTGGAATCAATCCCATGCAGCAGTAGTAGAAGATGCATCGTGCCCGAGGTCCGGCCTTTCGAAGACCACGTCTTTCGAACTCCGAAGCAGTACTACTGGTGCCTCATGCTGCCGGAGTCATGCATTATTGAATAGTTAAGCATCTTGGCAGTCATCGTTACGTCGAACGTCGAACGCCACAGCGGCTACACATTATGGATCACGATGACGGACCGCCAGAACAAGTCGAAGCCATCCACACAGATGAGGAGATGGATGGTGATCGAGAAAAAATCATAGCCAGCAAAGTTTCAGTGAACAAGGACTCAGCGAACGCCAGAGCTACCAAGTTGGCGGCCATCCGCCTGGCGTCAGTAGCGTTTCTCCCTCAGCTTCAGCGCTCACCTTTTTATAGGGCAGAACTTCGGGGGGATTCCTGGAGTCCCGGTTGGGGCTAAATGGGAGAATCGGTGTGTACTTTCGTTCTCGTTTGATACTTAGCATCAGTCAGTTCATTTGTCCGTGTCTTTGCAGCCAAGATTGTTCTCGTGCTAGCGTGCACCGCCCTCTTATGGCTGGTATACATGGCACTGAAAAAAACTGGCGCCTTCTCAATTGTTGTTTCGTGTCACTACAAAGATGACAAGGATTTCGGCGATACGATGTAAGCATCTAGCACAGCGCTTCGTTTCGGAATGTGATTACTATATTCTGATCCTTACGTGTATATAGCTACTATACAGGTACAGGTGTGTATTCACAACCAGGGCTACACTATTGTATGCCAACGTGGTAGCATCAGGGGGTCGCAAGCGGTGGTCTGATGGCTGTCCTCCGAAGCGTGTAAGTCGCTTTCTTGCACGTATAGCACGACTATCCATTTAGAATCCCAAAGCTCCGGTTAGGTCCGCAGGTTTTTGATCAGCAGTGGTCAGATCAAGGAAACGAAGCACTTGTCGTGAGTTTTTCTTTCTTCGAACGTAAGGTCCCAAAATGACTGCAGAACAGAAATCGCGTGACACAGGCAACGCCGTGCGCGTCATCCGAAGCCACAAAGTGCTTTCTGATTTTGCGCCTGCCAAAGGCTATCGGTATGATGGTCTGTACACTGTTGAAAGTGTAACATTATTTCCCATATCTATGGAGGATGCGCCAACACTGATATTCAACCTTCAAAGGCATGGAAAGAGAAAAATTCCAAGGGTCTGGATATCTGTCGCTACAGGCTAGAGGTAAGTTGCATTTTAAATCATGGGGCTCTGATCAGATTGATGGTATGTCGACAGAGGGTTCCAGGTCAACCTCCCCTGCTCCGTCGCTCGCTTGGAGATACCGATCATGGGCCATCTCCCGCCTCCGTAGCCACGTCAGACACCGTCATCTCGCCATCGTGTATGTTGAACAGCCGTAAGCGCAAGGCTCAACCACTTGCACCCCAAGGTGATCCCACGATCTATTCCGATGCGGCGTCTAAGAAGCGCAAACTCGCCGACCGAGCGCCGCCCCAACCATTGTTGTCTTCATCTGCTGTGCAGCCACAAGTTCTAGTGCCGGTTCTGGGGACTATTGAAACCCCGCTGCAAAAGCACAACCAGCGGGTGCAGAAAGAGATGCAGAAAGAGAAACAGCAACACTTCCCTGGAACGAGCTCTTCCGTGAAGACGCCTGCCACCCTTGTAAAACCAAGTATGTTGTCCAGCCAATCCCAGCACAATGACTTCCTAGCGAGGCCCATGTGGAGCATCTCTTGCGATGAGGACGACGAAGATGTTGATATGCCACTTGATGACGAAGACGAGGATGATATACTACTTGAAGACCTCGAAACCACGGCTTTCCCGTTTTCATCTTTCTTGCCCCCCTCGCCCTTCTGAACGAGTCAGTTGCAGCTGTCAAATATCCACTATATCCCGGCTCCTCTGCTTTCTTGTTTTCAAGACCTCGAATTCATGTTTCTCATTCACTTCGCCCTTCTGATAGGACCAGTCACAGATGTACAGTACCCGGTTTTTTGTTTTCTTGCTTTGAAGATCGTTTGGAATGTCCGTCTACTGATACTGCTCTGCTAGGTTTGTCTACGACCAGTACATTGTTAAACCTGTTTCTGTAGCCCCCATGCTTGCACAATTCAGAAATTCACGCAGAACTACCTGATGATCCAAGTGTGCAGCCTCGACTATTCGTCGTTGGAGTAACCTTAGAGCCCTTAGAGACGACTACGGCTTTCGAACTCCGACTCAGCAGCAGTCTATGTATAAGAGCCTCATTGTCGGCCTCGTGTACTTATCTCCATCATCTTGACAGTCACTGACGACAGAATACTCAAAATCGACTCAGAGATGAAGACAACAAACAGTGTCTCGGACGAGAAGATGAAAGAAGATTCAAAAGAAATATCCAGCGAGAAGTACAGGAAGGGCAGCGAAAGTCCTGCCAGGCCGGTGTTAGTAATGCTCCTTAGTGTCTCTCCCTCAACCGCACTGTTTACGCACTTTCTTTACAGACACCACTTCGGGGAATATCCCGGAGCGCCTTTCGGGACAACATGGAAGAATCGGTGCGTACTCTTAATTTTCGTTTAACAACATCAGTTACTTCATCTGTCTGTCTGTAACAGCACAGAATGTTTTAATGCTGGCGTGCATCACAACATTGAAGCTGGTATAAGCGGCACTGAGGCAGATGGCGCCTTCTCAATTGTCGTCTCGGGTCAATACAAAGATGACAAGGATGACGGGGACACGATGTAAGCATCTCACAGCGCATATTTCGAGCCGGATTGGTAATCTGATCTGTGCATATAGCTTATATACAGGTTCAGGTGTGTATTCACAACCCGGGCTACAAGATCGTATAGCAACTTAGTATCGTCAGGGGGTCGCAAGCTCGGTGATCGTGTACGTTGCCCTTGTGCTTTATAGCTTGATTACTGATTAGAATTCCAAAGACGCGCGAGCTGACTCGTGACCAGCAATGGTCGGATTTTGGAAACGAAGCACTTCGTGTCAGTTCTCTATCTCAGATAACTGTGAGGTCGGGAATTGACGATACAATAGAGAACTTCTGAAACAGGCAAACACGTGCGCGTCATTCGGGGCTACGAGCTTGATTCTGAATTTGCGCCATGGAAAGGCTTCCGGTATGATGGCTTGTACATCTGTAAAGCTGTAACATTGTTTTCTATATCTACATACATCCGTGAGCACTGATGCTTTGTCTTCAAAGGCGTGGAAAGAGAAGGATAGAGACGGTTATTATGACATCTGTCGTTATATCATGGAGGCAAGTCTTCCTAATGATCATGCTTTGACCAGACTGACCAATGTCAAAAGAGGGTTCCAGACCAACCACCCTTACGTCGTCGTTCAACGACTGTCGGCCTTTACAAGCCATTACCGGGCTCCGAAACCGTGCAGCCGCCAGCGCCAGTGCCAGTAACTGGACGCCAAAGAATCAGGCAACGGGAGCAGGCGCGGATAAACAACATGGATACGTTTCTAGTAAAGAGCTCCCCGCCCCCTGTAGAAAGGCTGAACGCTGAGCTCGCTTGCAAAAGCATGCTGTCCGGTGCTCCTGTGTCTACCACGCGCAAGCGCAAGCTCGCCGGAAATCAACGAGAGAAAGTGAGGGGCTCGTACGGTATCCCCCGAGTGAAAGTGCGATATCATTCTGATGACGACGAAGTGCTGTGAGGAAGAAGATGAGGCAGATGTAATAAGGACTTTTGAATATTGTACCAAATAACCACTATGATATGTAGCTGCAACTTTCGATGCATTACCCTCAAAATGTGCACCAGGGCAGCCTACAAAATTAGGCATGATCATGTACCAAGTCTCAGACTAGCATTCAAATGCCAAGATCCCGTGACAGAAGAAAAATCACTGCAAAGATGAGCTGGCACTTTGCTAACACGTCTATAGGGTATCCGTGAGAGCACCAAAACAATGTATGAAATCATTAGCTACGATATATAAGGACGAGACGGTTGGCTCTGTAGAGGCAATTTGCGTATGTGTGCAGGTATATAAAGTATGCATTAAACAACGTTATGACTAGATTGCATGCACTCGAGGGATGGAGCGCTCAACGTTTAATCTCTTAGTTATGGTTCATCACAGTAAGCTGTAGTATACGTTCTGTCAGGAGCACTTGGGGCAGGATAAACAAGCGGTCGTACACCAAACAAGGTCTGTTCCATATGAAAGGCTTGTTGTAGTACAGTGCCATGATCTTGACCAGGATTTGCCGTTATTTGTCCATGTAGATGAATCGCAGGATTTTCAGTTCGGTAAGAATCGGTATATGATCTTGCAAGGTAGGTGTCGCAGAATTATCAGTTCGGTATATGACTTTGCAAGCAAAGTGACTTAGCGTTTTTCCATCTGGGGTCACTTCAGCAGTCTAGTTCTCCGAGTCCTTGTAACCACCAGTACTCGCGATAATCATGGGTCGCGTCTGGCGAGTAGACGACGGTATTACTGCACATAGTACCCTATCTTGATAATATTGGTGGGAGGATTATCTCGTCGGTCTCCGCGTTCCACTGCCTTGCGGCCCTTGCCCCATATTCCATCTTGCGATGACTTTGCGTGTGTCGACGTCCCACAACCTCACTTCTGCTGACCACTTTCTTCCCATCCAGATTCCGGATACAATGCTATGGTCTGTACTTCACTGCCTCCATCCCGCCAGTCCTCTCATATCTATTTTCCACTCTTCAAGTCCCATATCCGCAGCGAGCCGTCTGTTGAACAAGTCATCATCCGCTCTCCACCTGGCAAATGTATGGCGCCAAGAACCAGATTGGTGTGTCCTTCAAATTTCTGGCTGGGAGTTACCGCTGATGTCTCCCGCTTCACAACGACGGGTGAAGACATAATCAACCATTAGATGCAGCTCCGTTGCAGCTTTCATCCAACAAAGTCCAAAACCATCACTTGCTACAATATCTTTCTCAACAGGTCTTGAAGTGTTGACACCAAAGCACAACGGGCGTTTAGATCAGGTCAGTGTTCTTCACAGCTGCTGGTATAGGCTGTGTTGCAGCTGGAGCGCGCAAGCATCATTTCTCGCATTCCGTCAAACTTGATCCCCGTTTTTACTGCCTGGCCAATGTTATCATATTCTAAATTTCGCCTCAGATCGTACATCTGCCTTTCCCAGTCAACTACTTGTCGCACGCGCCCGTCATCTTGGAGTCGCCCATACTCAATTCCCATCTGGTGCGTAAGATGTACATTTGACCGTGCCTACACTCACTACACGGGAAACTTTCCTAATCATTGATACCAGTTACAATGATATTCTATCTTCCCCCACTTTGGAATAACATCGCTACGCGTGAACTTTGCGGTGTTGCTTTGGCGGTGGATCACCGCTGTGGCTTCCAAATCAACAGCGGATCGCTTGGGGCTGATGTCTTTCAGATAGGCCTGCCATTCATTGCGCCTCAGTCGGGGAATGCAGCTGCTGAAGGTCGTATTTTTCGATTACAGCTCGTCTGCGCTCTACCATGTAGATGTCGCCTGTATTCATCGGAATCAATATATGATTCTGGTTATCCTTGTATCATGTAAACTCTATGAAGACAGAACTTGAAGGTGTGTCGAGACTGGACAGGGGTTTTATTCACTGCATTTCGGATGCATTCATATGCAACGTCCTCCCGAATAACCGTGGGTCAGGCCCTTTCGAGGATTACGGCTTTCGAACTCCGACGCAAGCAATGACCTACTTATCTCCATCGTCCTGACAATCACCAACGATACAATAAACAACGTTCGCACTAGAACGACTCGGAGGCGAGGACATCACAGTGTCTGGGACGAGAAGATTGACGACTCACAAGAAATATCTAGCAGAATGGACGGGTCTGCGTAAGTTTCTCAGTGTTCCTCCCTCAACCATTCACGCACTGTCTTTGCAGGCAGCACTTCGGGGAAATTGCAGGAGCACCTGTCGGGACGACATGGAAGAGTCGGTGCGTACTCTTAATTTTCGTTTAATAACATCAGTTATCTCATCTGTCTGTCTGTAAACAGCGCAGAATGTTTTGAGGCTGGCGTGCATCGCCAATTAGAGCCTGGTATACACGGTATTAATACAAAGGGCGCTTTCTCGATTGTCGTCTCGGGTCAATATAAAGATGACAAGGATTACGGCGACACGATGTAAGCACATAGCGGCACTTATCTTCGGGTCGGTAAGCTGACCTGTGTACATAGTATATATACAGGTTCAGGTGTGTATTTACAGCTCGGGCTACAAAATTATATGCCGACTTAGTAACATTAGGTGGTCACACCCAGCACAGTAATGGTGTAAGTTGCCCTTTTGCTCTCACAGCTTAACTACCGATCAAAATCCCCAAGACGCGCGAGCAGGTGCGTGATCAGCAATGGACGGATTTTGGAAACGAAGCACTTCGTGTCAGTTCTCTATCTCGGATAACTGTGAGGTCGAGAAATGACGATGCAATAGAAATCTTCTGAAACAGGGAACCCCGTGCGCGTCATTCGGGGCCATGAACTTGATTCTGAATTTGCGCCATGGGAAGGTTTCCGGTATGATGGCTTGTATATCTGTAAACGTGTAACATTGTTTCATATATCTACCTGCACCCGTGAGCACTGATGGTTTGTCTTCAAAGGCGTGGAAGGAGAAGAATAGAGACGGTTATTATGACATCTGTCGTTACAGCCATGGAGGCAAGTCTTCCTAATGATCAGGCTATGAGCAGACTGACCAGTGTCAAAAGAGGGTTCCAGGTCAACTACCCTTACGCCGTCGTTTAACGACTTTCGGCCGTTATATGCCATTACCAGGCTCCGAAGCCGTGCAGCCGCCAGCGCCAGCGCCGGCACCAGTGACTGGACGCCAAAGAATCATGCAGCAGGTACAGGCGTCGCTAGATAGTGATGCCTCGCTTGGAATGCCCCTCAGCCGTTGAGCTCGCTTGCCAACGTGACATGCGGGAGGTCGTCTTACACCTACCACGTCCACGCCCAAACCCAGGCTTACTGAAATTCAAGGCAAGGAAATGAGGAACTTGTACGGTAGCCCTCGAGTGAAAGTGCGATATCAGATAGCAGATACTTATGGAATAAGATGAAGCAGATGTAATACCTAAAGACCTTGAGATTGTACAAATAACCCCTATGATATCTTTCGAATGCCATGTATTACTATTAGTATGCCGGTGCATCACCTAGTCACCACTACTTTTGTACAAAATTTATCACACAAGCAAACATGCTTGACATCCTTATTCTTCTTACAGAAACAAGTACTCTAAATAAGCACAAGAGTTGATCTATCAGACCAATTTCCCAGTATCTCAAAATTTGAGGGAGATATATATGAATTTCCTGCGTTTAAGATTTGGCCAGGTGGCAAACTGACGGGCGAGTCGTGCACTGACAGATCCAGAAGGTCCCTTCCATCAGGCTTCCTCATCCCCAGCGAAATCTCCAGCACCTTCCGTATTTACACCCATAAACAATCAACCCCGAAGCCGCAGCTGTCTTACGACCTGCCTTTCTCTTTCTCGCAGCCTGTCAGCTGGACATAAGCAGTGATTGTTCTACAACTTGAAAAGAGGGGACAGGACGTTGCCAACGCTGCCTGAGAACTTTTTCACACATACTATGTGTGAAAAAGTTCTCAATGGATCCATGGCAGGCTCAGACGGTTAGGGTGTGATGCATATATGCCGAGATTGGTCACAGGTTTATGTATACATTAAGGAGAACCAGAGGGGCTCTGTCACGGTGTGGGTAGAGCACAAGACATCAGTAAAAAGTCAAGTTCGTCGTAGCCCTGGTGACAGCTATATAGAGCTATATAGCCACCATAGCGCTATGTAGCCGCAAGGTTTGCTACATACTCCTACAGTAGTCACGAACCTAAACAGTGTGTTATAGGTAGCTACAGGACGCTACATGTGGCTTCATTGTGCAGTAGTGGGTCTCCATGACATTCTGCAATCTAATTAGTATCCACTGAAGTGCAAAACATCTCGCCGTCGATGAACTCATTAAAATAAAAATCATTCGCGGCCTCATATGCATCTCCACTCCTCAACCTTGACTCAACTGACGGTCCCATCTTTGGTATTAAATGACATGGCCTAATGATTTCGTCGACATGAATGACAGCAGCATTGTGGCGACAATGGCAGGTCGAGCGCGACACTAGTCGCATTCCAGAAGAAGGGTCAGGTGTCCTGAAAGGTGTGAACCACTCAATGTATGCGAGGGCTCTGGTGTATGTGCCAAATTGACAAGGGAGGGTGAATATAGCACGAACTTGCGCCACTCTCAGACCTGCAACAGTGATTATTAAACACCACCCTTGAGACAACTCCCAAAAACCTACCATGCAGTGTCTGCAAACGCACAGGATGAGGACCGTCAGATATCAACCCCATATCAAACCGAGCCGGACCACCAGGCTTACGGCCTGATGACAATCTCTCAGGTGTGGCTCTAATGCGCCTCCATATCGGTGTATCACCAACTCGGAGGTCAGGTGGCATTACAACGACGACTTGCTGATAAACGTCAAAACGGTCCTGCACCCCTGGTACGACAGTGCAGCCAGGGAGATTCTTCTGTATGAAAGATCGGAGAGCTGTCAAAAAGTCGGTAGCACCATGTGATGCTACAATCTCTTGACCGATCGGTGTGGATGCGCTGGAGCCTTTGCAAGGACATGTGTCATTTGAAATTGCTTGGCAGATGTAGTATGGGGAGTAGCCGCCTCTGTTTCATGTGAGTCCGAGTCCGAATCTGAGTCGGAGTCGTATGTGTTTGAATCATCCTCAGTCCGGCCTACAGCTGAGAGAGGCACTTGTGCCAGCCAATCCAGATATGCACCCTGCAGAAAGATGGCATCCTGGCGCTGGAGCCACAAGACCATTTGCTCTTCATAATCACATTTATTGGTGGCACGGTAAGCATCCTTGGCAAAGTCTATATGCAAGCACTCAGGAAGTTCTGTATTAAAACCATCAGCTGCACCAAACAATGTTATTGACTGGATGTAATGAGTGAGTTGGTGGATCTTTGGGATGTTGAAATGTTTGCGAATAGACAGTTCCTTGAGGACATCCTTATGACTATGGAATACTGATAGTGCTGTTTGTAAGGCTTTGAGCGAATCCATTGTGTGAATCCGCAGCTGCACGTAATACAAGAAGTCCAGAATTGAACGAGCAACTACCAAGACCCGACTGGCAGGGATCCAAACTCAGCCACATATTCCATCTTCGACACCTGAAATACACATACCTAGGAACCACTCCGGTGAGTAAGCCAATGAACACTCGCTGCATTTGTTTATGTTCGCTTCTGTTCCATTGCTTGACAGTCAATATTCCTTTCTTGAAGTGACGGAGCCCTGGGTAATCTGGCATTGCCTTGAATCATGCGTCCATTTCTTCCTCTCCGATTATTTGCTGACACCACCTCACCAGGTGGTCTTAGGATCACACATCTCTGAGTGCAGTGCATCCCCTCGCTCCTCTGCTGCAACAAGACACTTCGGACACTGATTTTCCTTACAACAGGCCACCAAACACTGTTCTGGGAAATCGGCCACGTATGCGGCCAGAATCGGGTACACACGATGTATCCATGAGTCAGCGCACACGATCTCGACACCATCATTGCTGGCAGCAATCAGAGGATGGAGCAGGAGGGCCATGCAGTGATGGAAGAGACGGTATCCAGCCAGGGAGCGTTCCTCAGGAGTGAAGCAGTCAAGTTTCCCCGCAGGTAAGTAGCCAATAAGCACAGTCGCACGCGCCGAAGCCTGATGCCTTTTTGCTTTCGCAATGTTTCCAATAGACATGTACACCGGCCATGCTGACTTATCACCTCAGAACTGTGACAAGGTTGTTTTGTCTGATGATAAAATAATCGGAGCGATAGTCGCTCCTTCAGGCAATGCTTTCTGCATAAGAGGTCAGTCTATTCCTTCAATGTTTCTCTAGATCAATCTTACCTGTTTCTTGCCCCACCAGTCTGCTGTCCACATCTCGTCAATAACTCTATGTTGCCCTCTATGGTCAGCATATGCTCTGGCAGGTGAGTATGCCATGTCCACCTTGAAACCAGTGTTTCCAATGAGCTCCTTAACACATTCAACAGGATCTCGACTCCACAGCTCAACTTCTTCTTGCAATAGCTCTCCATCCTCATCCTCACGATTCCCATGGACATTGACCTTTTGACAGCTCCACCCTGGACCATGGGGAAGCTCGTCTACTCTTTGCAAGAATGAATGATTGTTGTGAAACGATACCTTCGTGCGGTTTTTTGTCTTTTGACAGGATCAATACGGTGAGTTCGACTTTTGTTCAAGGCTCTTGACGTACTATAGGTAGTTTTAGAAATTCATCAGTCCATGTTTGTCCCAGATTTTGGACCAGCCACTGCGCTAGACCCCACTCTTCCCTGGTGAGTCATCTACTTAGTACATTTCTGGCCAACATGTCCAAGGACTTATGCATCCTCAAAGGGAGCCCACGGTTCTTCGCCACCTTCCTGTTGTTCTCTACTACATGTTTCAAATCTGGTCTCCCCTTCGCCCAATGCCCAGCCCGCATCTGGCTGGGGTTTGATATACCAGCCAAAATTGGTGAGTGATGTACCATCCTCATCATCGACTTCTTCAACTGAAACACGTCGGATTTTGTTGAGTGTAGGGTTGGTGTCCATTTCAGGACCTGAGCGCGCGCAAACATGGTGTGGCGCTATGTCTTCATGGCAGAAGTCTACATCGGGTGTGTCCAAATCCTCCACCTCTACACCTTCAATCATTAATGTCCACTCCCTTCAGCATTCAGGCTGGCCTACAATGTGTCTCTTGAGGCCCTCGGGTGTCAATGTGACCTTCCCGCAAAACATACAGTCAGGCATGGTAGGATGGTAGGTATGTGGTTGCTAACAGGTCTGTTCACTTCCTAATACCCTGGTTTTCAGGCACTAGAACGCAGTTCATAATGGTGCGCCACCTTTCATTTCACTGGTTGGTTGCTAAGCCGCCTCCTCCTCTTTGGTCAGTTCCTCTTGTTTCTGCTGAGGCTCAGGAAGGGCTTTCCCATTCTTTGAGATAGAATAGTGTCTGCTTTAGGTCTGTCCTCCTCTTTGGTCAGTTCCTCTTGTTTCTGCTGAGGCTTGGGAAGGGCTTTCCAGTTCTTCGAGATAGAATAGCATCTGCTTTAGGCCTGGCGCAGTTCATAAAGGTGCGCTACCTTTCATTTCATTGGTTGGTTACTATCATCTTCTTACTTCTCTCATCTTCCCGCCTCTTCTCGCCTCTTCTATCGTGGTCAGTTCCTCTTGTTTCTGCTGAGGCTTAGGAAGGACTTTCTGGTGCGCCCTCCTCTTTGGTCAGTTCCTCTTGTTTCTGCTGAGGCTTAGGAAGGGCTTTCCGGTTCTTTGAGATAGAATAGTGTCTGCTTTAGGGCCCGGCGCAGTTCATAAAGGTGTGCCACCTTTCATTTCACTGGTTGGTTACTATCATCTTCTTACTTCCCGTATATTGTCTTGTCCGTTTCTTCCCGTTTCTTCCTCTTGTCTCATCTTTTAAAATGTGCATCGCATTGCATGTTCATTGTCTTGTCTGTTTCTTCCTCTTGTCTCATCATTTAAAATGCGCATCGCATGTTCATGTTCTTTGGCCCTAGGCTTTCTGATTTCGCCCATTTCAATACCTGTATGCCATCTTTCATAGCCCGTTTCTGACCATTACCACCTTTCAGTCTTTTTTTCATAGCCCGTTTCTGTCTTTCATAGCCCGTTTCTCTGACCATTACCATCTTTCATAGGCCTACGCCATCTTTCATAGCCCATTTCTGACCATTCACCTTGTCTCAATTCAATACCCGTATCACCATCTTTCATAGCCCATTTCTCTTCTGGACTGTTTCTGGACTGTTTCGCACATCGGATGGCCTTTCCTCTCCTCCTTGGGTTTTATTTGTATTTTCTTCAATCCCTCTTGTCTTCTTTATTTCATACCCGTACGCCAAACATTCATACCCGACTGCTGACTGACATCTATTTCATGCCTGTACACCATTATTCATACCCGACGGATGACTGACTGCTGACTAAACTAGACTAGTGATACCATGAGATGCAAGTAGGATTTCCAACAGTTGGACTTTGCGTGCTTCTTCGCACTGCTTCTTCTCTGTGTTCTAGCGGCCAACTATTAACTCCCTTACACATGTTTGGTGAGAAATAGGACCTTGCATGCGTTCTGAGAGTTGCACTTTGCACGCCTCGTCACAACGCCTGAGCTCAGCATCCCAACGCTCTAACACCAGAGTTCGCAGGTAAGTCTGCGATGTGGGAATGGGTCCTGGGTTCTGACGATGCGGTGTCAAGGGATACTGAACCTCAGGAGGATGTGGTCCCTGCTTGGTGTGTTTGTGTCCTTCCCTAGCCTGTCCTGGGGCAATGACCACATGGAACGGGCAACTTGGAGGTGGAACGGGTCCTTCCCTAGCCTGTCCTGGTGCAATGACCACATGGAATGGGCGACTTGGAGGTGGAACGGGCCTGGTAGATGGTCAGCGTTCATCATGGCAGCTCTCGGTGGAACATACCGTTGGCTGACTTCAAGTACATTTTCCTTCGTGTCGCCAAACGGCGAGAAGACATGTCTACGACATTGGTTAGTGTGTGGTGAGTCTCAGAATACCTGGCCACTGACTGTTTGTTCATTTGGAAATTGTAGGGTTAATGGTAATGTAATTCAGTCACACTTTATATACTGAATGAAAATACTAACTTTGAAATCAACAGAACTCAAATTTCTTTGTTGATCAGACCTTTATTGATCAGACTCCACGGCACCATATTTAAAGGCATGTCATCCAAGTCTTGGGCTGCTGCACCCTACCCTAAACCTCAATCATGGCAGCCAAACTTGCCTCTAAAAGGGTGGCCCAAAAGGCCATATTGAATGCCCAGGACAACTTATGTGCCCAGATGGTATCAACTGCCGGTCGCACCACGAGTGGTCGTCACCGCCGGCCCACTGAAAAAGAAACTTATTGAAGTATGTACTACTCGCTCAGCATGGTTTTGACTGACTTCTGCCTATCAGTTTTGAAATCTTGGCAAGGTGATGATCACCAAAAAGCCTTGGAAGCAAAAATTGGCAAACGGAACTTAAAGGCACTGCGCACTACATACAGAAAAATCCAGAGGTATTTGATAATGAGCCCACTGAGCTGCTGAGCGATGTGGACATTGATGAAGACAACATGGTCAGCATCATTTTCATCCTTGTGTTCCTTTGCTCACTTCGACGTATCAGTTTAGTGATCGGCTGTGTACCTGCCAGGCCATATGGGGCGTCACAGGTACTTGCTTTCAGTTCAAGCAAAACGCTTCCTCCAGTATTGGCTCAAAAGACAAAAGGTAAGCAAGGTTGGTTGGTTGTGTCTTATACTAACTAAGTTTCGTCAGTTTCACCAGCATTGGCTCAGAAAACAAGAGGTAAGCAATATGGGCCGGTCGTATCGTATACTGACTGACTTTTGTCAGATTCAGTGGCTATGGTGACTGCTGGTGATGCCAGCAGTGAAGACAGTAGTGATGGTGGTGACAGCAGCTCTGACCGTAACGATGAACCACCCCATGGCAAACTATTTCTCAGCGATGACAACTCCATTGGCCATGAAGAGGTCGAAGACACTTTACAACACTTTGACAGTGTCAGGCACCAGCTGGAGGTCTCTGATGAAGACATCAAAGTGAATATCCCAGACATCAAAGCAAATATCCCAGGTTTGAATGGAAGACGCCAGCGATTAAAGGCAGGCAGATTTTGATCATGTCACCAAGGATGTGCTCACCACCGCTACATCCATTTACCACTGTCTTGTGGTCACTCAGGCACCTTTTCCCAAGATGCTGTTGGTCAAAACCAAGTTAGCGAAACATGCCTGGCGTGAGGCATCTGATATTACTGGACTTACTGTTCAACTTACGCCTTCATTGGTGAAAATGGCAAGCACTCTGTTAGGTTCTTGTCCTGACCTTGATTGATGTTTTATGACAGTGTAGATAATGAGGCGCACGTCCCATGTGCGTGGGGAGCTCAAAACAAAGATGTGTGGTCTCACGGCCTTGTTTTTTGGGTTCCGGGCGACCCGTTCAATGGCGGCTGTTAAGGCCAACCATGACTTGGCTGAGTCATTGAAGGAAGGGACATCATTTGTTTTTAAGGTATGTCAGCCTGATCATCGTTAGGCAATGTCTGACTGTGCGAGTGAAAGGATTGGGAGATGAAATCCGGCATATACAAAACAGAGTTGATCCAGAAAGCAATCAATGATATGTGGTTTGCAAACCGCATGGATGAAGGTATACTCTATGCTAAATACTTCGATCCTTTACCTGTGAAAATGATTGCGCTGGTACTCACGGTGGTGAGTACTTTGGAGGTGTCAGATAGTTGGCACAGCAGCTAAAGTCCGACAGATGGAATGTTGTATTGACAAGTGGTCCACCAGAGTAAGGGACGACATTAAATTCTCTTCGGTGTCTTATGCTCCAGTCTACCTGGCCCATCTGGACTCGTTGCAGCGGTTCGACGGGCGCACTGCTCCTTACAAGTTACTGGAGACAATTCGTGATACTCTGCTTGACGTGGCTCAGTGCGTATCTGGCTACTTGCATTGATTGTTAGCCTAACCTAACACTGACGATAAGGTTACATGCTGGTGGTATAAATCCACTCAAGACAGCAGTATCTGTCAACACCTTCGCCAATGATGTATTCGATGATGCAATCCGAGAGTTTGAGGTCAAAATGGGAGCGGCGCGAGAAGGGCGTCCTGAAGGGGTAGAGGCTGGTGATGCTTGATGCTTCAGGAGGCCACTGGTTCTTACAAGTGTCGGAGGTATGGTTATTCAAGTCGTTGCCACCCTGAATACATTCAATTTCGTTGATGCGCGGTTCTGACGGGTTTGGTATGGCGAGAGCTACAGTGCCAACATGCAGGTTCCTGGTACTACTACGTTGATTCCTGTGGTACTATGTAGAATGTGTAGTGGCCTGTAGCTCTGTAGCTGTTTGCTATAAGAAGCTATTGTAGTGCTATACACCTAACAGTGTGACTATATAGCAGGGTATAGTAGGGACTTGACACATTGGACTATATGTACTATACTGACTATATAGCAACCTGTAGACAAGGGTATTTTTACTGATGGACAGAGATGCAATCATAACGCGAGGTCAAGTGGGAGGATTCAATCTCGCACCAATGATGGATGGGATCAACTTGTTAGATACTTACTTATATACCTCAGTCGGTGCTCAAAGCGGTAGTCGAGTCCCAATTGTTATTCAGTGTCGAGGATCGATCTGAGTGACCAACCGAGTGCCAAGCCAGCACTTCTCTGTGCACCATGATTGTATCATCAAGGTCTTGGTCATTGCCTCGGTGCTTAAAGGGGATGTCAAGCGCAGCCAGTGTTATTCTATGGAAGGTCACTGGACTGATAGTTAGACTTGTGTGAGTATCAAGTAGAATCAGGAGGGTCCAAAAATCGTTCAGGGTGATAGGGAAGTATGAACGCTGTCACACCACGAGCGGTGTCGGAGAAGACACATGCAACACAATATGTCATATTCATTCATGATCCATAACAAGTACAATGAAAGGCTCCAAGCCCCATCAATCAACTTCCATCCAACAAGCATATAGAATATATACCGAGTAACATATTGAGATACCATAACTACGTCTAGCGTGCAATAAGGATTATCCAATAAGCATATAGAAGATACACCAAGCGATAATGAGGAGAGGAAAACACACTAAGAAGAGGGAACATTCGGTGCCAAGAGTCTCGGTGATCTGACCAAATATATATACGATAGAACGAAACGAGTGTTGTAGTCATAGAGGGAGAAGAGGTTCGCGAAGAATCGGAGAAAATACTAGAGCACAGCAGCAGGAAATTAGCAGCAGTGGCAGATACAGGCCAAGGGGGACTTACAATCGTACGCTGGACTATGTCGCGTTGCGGGCAGGAACGATATACCCATAGACCAGCTTCTTCGGGTCTTGGAGATTGAACTTGCGACCTCCCTTCTTAGCGCGGGCCTTACTATCAAGGAGCGGTTCGCATTTCCGCTGATGCCGATCCAAAGAATCGGTCCTCGACCACTGCTTGCCGCAATAGGGACATTCACAGGATGTAGTATAGTGAACGCCCTCGATGTGACGGCCCAAACTGAGCATTGCCCCCGATGTCGAGCAACCCTCGAATTTGCAGGTAGCTGTGTCTGCGGATTTGACACCGTGCCAATGCAACAGGTGATGTGTGACGCGGTTTTTGTTCATTTCTACAAACAGCCCGCAGGGCTGGTCCGTCCATTCGCATGCTCGTACGCAAGTCATCTGTGCGGGTAGTTCATTCGTAATCTTGGCGGTCCGGTTGGAGTAGGAATCATCGAGTTCCATCGCCCCAAATCTCCTCGTTCGAAGAGGATCACCGCGAGCACCATGAGTCCTGCGGCTGCTGATGTCTACCGGCTTCGGATCGTGAACGGGCACAGCCATGACTACGGCACTGGCGTCCGCTAGTCTGTAATCACCAAACTTCCCCTCTTTGACTTCGTCCTCGTCATCGTCCAAGCATTTGCGCTTGCGCGTGGTTGGCGCGAGAGACGAACCCGAACTGTCGTCCTCGAATTTAGCGGTATGGCGAGTTTTATGCTTGGGACCGTTGGCACACGCTGGCACATCAGGAGCAGAGGAAGATGGCTCCAAGCTGTTGTCATCATTCAGATATGTTGTTGCGTTGGAGTCTGGAGCGGACGGTAATAAGGTTTCGGTATTCGTCATCGTGTCCGTGATGGCACCAGGGTATGCATAGTCGGTATGTTCTGCAGAGGGGATAGACATTCCAGTCTGGACGTGTGCGTTTTGTCCTTGTAAAGGGCCATACGCGCGAGGATCCACCGCTGCCCAAAGCTCCAGGTCGACGATGGGGGGATAGTAATTTAGATCAAAATTTGGTCCATTCGCATACAAACCACCATCGTCTTCAGGCTGGGCCCATGTGGAGCCTTCCAGCGGCGCTTGAGGGACGGCAGGGAGCTGCGGAAGATCGTATTGGCTCTGGTCCATGTGGGGAAACTGAGGGAGACCAGCCACCGGAGCGGTAAACTGGTCCAACGTCGGAAACGACATCTGATTGTTTTCAGCGTTCTGGAAAGACGTCGAAGACCTAGGAAAATAAATGAGCCATGGCAGACACTCAGTTGGGGTGGCACATACCCTTGTTGCGCCTTTAGGAACTCATCTTCTGCACAGAACTGAGCCCATCTGCCAAAGGCCGTCAGTTTGAGTCGATGTTTTGAATAAGGCAGAACCACATACTTAGCCAGCGTGGCGGCCAGATCGTCTGGATGAGCAAAATTTTGGTCGTCTTCCGAGACCCTGTTAGCGATGGCTTCGGGGTGGATTTCAGGTCGAGAATACGGAAGGATAGACTCGCTGAGAAAATTATGAGGTGAACCACATCATCGTACTCGAGATTGAACACCAACCTATCCAACAACATTTGAAGACTGATGTATGGGGCACTAGATGCAGAAGGCATTGTCAGCATATGAAGATCCCGAGTCGACATGTAGGTAGACTTACATAGACATATCGATGACTTATTATATGAAGTGGTTAAGATGGCAAGATGAAGTTCGAAAGTCAAGAGGACGAGTGATAGAGAAGTGAAGGGGAGAACAACGCCAGCTTTTAACCTCACGAGATGTGGAAAAGCGCGACTGTGGAAAGCTGCGATACAAAGGGAAAGTTGTGGTTACTTTCACATATAAAACGCATCTGTGGCCTCCGTTATTTCCGTGTAGAATCCACCGCTTTGAAGCATCATGCATGCATTAACCCACAAGAGCACAAACCTTCCACCGTACGTCGCTCATATTTTGTAGGCCTAGACGCATGTGGGTCGATAAAGTAAGTACTGACGCTTCTTCACTAGAGGATATGACATTACAGGGGTGTGCAACAGTGCAATCCACTGAGGTTTGAAGTATCGCAACAATGGCATTTTCGTGGAGCATGGTCACAGCACACTCAACCACAACGGCAAGCTTTGGCAGCGGTACCCGCTTGGAACAGCAGCAAGTGACCACCAGCACAATCGGGCAATTTATATATACAGCTCAATGTTGCGCCGTAGAGAAACAGCAGATATGAAGGTACGTAGCATCCCAGGCCTGAAAATTTGATGTGTAGTGTCAGTCGCATGTTTAGTTGTAAACGTGCAAAGACACTTACCGTCGCTGTTCATTGCGTCGCGACCCAGTCTAGTCCTGACCTTTTACGTGCCACGGAGTTGGAGAACTTCATATCATCTTGCCAATACTTTTCAGATGGAAATCATGGTTTGACATTACCATTTACATGAAGATATTACGAGCTAACTTGCGATGCAACAGAGGTAATGTAGCCCGTAATATCCTCGTTATCGTGATATGAGGGCAGAATTCTCTGGGCTAGACGTCAACAGTTGCATTTTGAATCAGAAATACCAACTTGAAGATACTACATCGCATATTTAATCAGCTCAGCTTAAGATAGGCATATCAACACGTAGGACTTTGGTTATCACGATTCGGTCAGAGGCATGAAGCTGGACGCATAACGAAAGGGTTGTGTTGATATCAGAAGCCGCCTTAGCAATTAGTTGTGCTAAACCACCAGTGCATGAGACAAGCGTTTGCGTTGTTTTGGTCTGTTGTCCAAAGGCTTCCAGGAGTTTCCTCATCCGGAAACTGCACTTTGCAAATTAATTCACGAAGTTCTCGACAAGTGCTCGACCACGCAACCTCGTGTAGGTTTAAGCACCTTAAAGCAGGCCACACGACTGACAGACTATTCACTGAGACTCTGATTACACTAGTACTGGTAGACTATGGTAGCCTTTCTGCATAATGAACTGAGAGGGAACGTTTGCCGTTTGAACATTACTTATATACTATGTTCTCTACGTAGAGTGTGCCTCATAACCACCGCAAGACAGACAAAGTAGTTCCACTCCTGCAGAAAGACCGTTCGAAATTTTGCTTAAATGATGAAAACGTCAAATTGGAACTTGAATACAACCTGAGTGTTGAATATTGAATCGTGACTGCGTAGATGGAAGATGGCTACAAGAAGATTCGGACCATTGAAACAAGCCATCCATAGACACCGGAAGGAGAAGAGCATGCCTATTTGTGCGTGGAAATCGGCAACATGCGTTAGCTGGCCTTCTGTCTGGTATACATGCGGCAGGCAAAAGCAAGGTGTGAAAGAATGGGAACGAGTGATTAACGTCAGTGAGACTAAGAGTCTGAAATATTACACGTGTGGTCTCACAAGGTGAAGAGGCTCGGACAAGAAGACGAACTTGAAGAGAGAATAACTCAGTCTTAGTGAGAAAGACTGAGGGAAACCAATATCGTACGAAGAAGGTTTTTAAAAAATCGTTGAGACGGAGAAAGGTGAATGTGAATGGAAAGCGTATCGATAAGTGTAAAAGAAAGCACGTACGGGGACATGATCTACCAAAAAAGAAACCCACTGATGCCAATCGATGGCTATTACTGCCGTTGTGTCATATTGACGTAACGCATGCCGAGGCCGACCCACACAATGAAAGCTAATAGACCCATCAATAAGGCCACTAGATCGTCCACCCACATCATTGCATCCAAGAACAGGGCGACCACAGCCGCGGCGGCAAGAGAGGTATTTAAATTAGCTCCCAAAATAATTGCAATAAAACCTAATAAAATATCAAATGTCAGCGCAAACTTTGAATCCAAACCGAAAAGGTTCGCTTACCACCTGCGAGAAACCCCACAGAGCAGACAGCAGTAAGGGTAGTCATGCGAACGAGACTGACATGAGTCAGCGCTTTTCGACGCGACAAATAGAATAGCTTCTGCATCTAGGTGAGTCGTTTGAGTCAGTGACAGTGCGATACATGGTGGCTCCGCCAGGAAAATACCCTACCCTCTGATTGGTATGCAGCTCGATCGCCGTGTCGGATCGCCAGAACAACATGTGGTAGAGTAGCCCATGCAGCGAAAATATCAATGATAATCTAACCAATGTATCGTAATGTACGGTGGAAACACTTTCGACGATTTTAGTGTGAGGTGGTCTCCACATGAGATAGAAATAACAAAGTATGGCCGATCTTTGCTACAAAAGCGGAGACGTCAGTCTTGCAAGACAGAAAGATAATTAACAGTATACTTACCATGCAGAGGTAACACAGCACTAGGGTCCGGAAGCGCTCGTTACGCTTCTTCCAGCCCACCTCTCTCACCTCCTGCCAAAGTTCCTCAAGATTGGGCTTTCCAACAGAGAAGTAGCAGAGGGCAGTGAAACAAAGCCTAACATAGAACCGGGATGGTGGTTTCCAGTCCTCAGAAAGATCTGGTTGCATTTCTATCTCTTTGTTAGGTGAGGAAGGTGACTTGACACTGGACTCCATCGGGACACCTGAGTGGTCGCTGTCTGAGTCGAGAGAGGAAGACATGATGACGAAGCTATCACGATTTTTATCAAATTAGCAACGTGTCTTGTTCAGCGGTCTAGGAGATGAACAGTGAGAAGAGTAAGCGTGAACGACGAAATACCTACCTCAACCTTGTGGATTAAGCTTTGATATTGTTGCTTCTGTATGATCGTGGAAGATATGTAGGGGACGAGAGGAGTCGGATATTGGCGGGAGTAACTGAGTCATTGTCAGCAATATGTCGGGGGAACGGGTGATCGAGAACACGAACCAGAGGAATCGTGTGACTGATCCGCTAGGTGTCTGGGAAGTCTGGTTTTCGGGATTGTGTGGGACAGATCTTTGGAGTGTATTTTGGACGAAGACGCCTACAGACTACAAGGTCTGAATAGAGAGGTGGGACGAGATTTGAAGTTGAAAGCTGCACCCTAACAAAGCAGCATGCAGCGCCGTACGAAAAAATGGGGATGCGAAAAGGAAGGGGAAAAGAAACGCAATCACAGAATCTTGGAAGCACTGGTCGTTTGAGAGAGCGCACGGACCAGTACCATTGTCGAAGTACGCCATGGAGGATCTTCAGGGGGTGTATGTGCAAAAAAGGAAATTATTGTTGCGCCAGGATCTGACGAGGATCCGAGTCTTCACAGAAGCTAGTGCTATTGAACCTATAGGAAATTTCCCAAAGCGACTTAAATGGACCAGCTGATATTCAATAGTCACACTATAACCCTTGGCCCTTACCGCCATCATGTGGTTCTCGATTTTGTCTGGTCCTCCTAATCCCAGGACTTCGATGACTTCAGCAGCGCCACCTCCAAAGTTTGTGAAGTTTGGGAAACGTAAGCTCAATTCACGGGAGCCTTCACCAGAGCCTTGACAAGCTAAAAAAAAACAGAACACTGGATCGAGGTGAATTTCAATGTTGAGGCAGAAGTTGAAGAACTCAAGAGGAAAGCAGAGGAAGCTAGAGCAGTGAGAGAACAGCAGGTGAGGATTTGACATTAGTCACGATACTAGTCATTGATTCTTGCAGATTTGGAAGGAAGCTTATGACGAGGGGTATGCTCAAGGTTATGCCGAGGGTCAACGAGAACTCGACCAATTGCGAGCAGAACTCGACCAACTGCGAGCAAAAGTATTCGCAGCCGAGTTGGAACTTAGTAGTTCTGGATGATGTTAGAGCTCTGTCAGTGTCCGTCTATTCTAATAGAAATGGCTTGACACTACCTCGACATCCTCAATTCATGGATTTTCAACGGAGATGGGTCACACTTAGTCTACCCTAGAGAGACCATAGACGACAATTCCAGTGATAGCCGTTTCGAGTAACACAATTAAACGCGCCGCAGTCTCGGCTTTGCCTGAATAGATAGTCCACACGGCCAGGGTCGGATGATATCTTGAAGCGTGAATACTGATACTACAATCTGCAGCCGGTGCTCTCTGTGAACCCTAGCGGTGTTGCTGCAAAAAAAAGACTGGAGCCTGAGATCATGAGGTTTGCAGTACTACTGCCAAGACTGACATCACGGCTGTCTCCGTTTGTCTATGTGACCATCATTCAGCTGCTTGACAACATTTATCGACCGGTCACTGCAGTAGGCGATGCAGTCAGAAAATTGTCGCCCATTACTGGCGGTAGCATGCAGATTCGGTGCGCAGTTAAAACGTTTCAAGTTTGTAAGAAATTGCTGATATGGAGCGCGTCTCCTGCAAATCTCACGCATCCGCACAACTACATACTCTAGTGCCTTATGACCAGTGGTTCATAACCCACTTGGACGATAACCAGAAAGTCAAACAGGTCAAGCATTGGATACTTTCCAAATGCAATATCATCCAAACGCCCCATCTTCCCGCTCAGCGCCCAGTTTCTCCTATTACGTTTGCTTCCAGCATCAGGACACGTACCTCAGTCGATAGTACGGACGACGGTTATAACGAAGATGACGAGTATGACGAGGACTCAGATGACTTTAACGACTTTTCCTATCGCCACCCAGAACTCAGGCGTCAGACTATATATTCTCGTCGACCTGGAAAGACATCAACCGCATCTGCTTCACACACCATTCAACCTGGCAGTAGTCCAGTCACCGACCAGTATACCCTTATCTCCTTCTCAACTGGAACAATTCTAGAAGATGACTATGCCCTATCGTGGTACAACCTTCGGCCTTGCGAACTTCTAGAGATGCACCGCTCAGGAAAGGTCGTCCAGTTACCAAGAGAAATCATGTCGGAGTATGTCCAGCCCTACTTCGAGTCTAAAGCTAGGACCCTCCGTGCAGTATGGAGTGTAAAGTCAGGTCGATTCGAATCCCCCGCGGCCGCCGGCAATAGGTTAAACGCAAGAAGCAGAGACAAGATATCTACTACTCAAACTCCCTTGCAACCCGAAAAGAAGAGGAGAAAGGCTAAAGTCGAATGGAAAGATCGATGGATAGTTATAAATCATGGCACGCTGTCTCTCTGCAAGGATTCATCCGTGCGTCCATTGAATATCAGTTACCGCATTGCGTGCTCACTTCCAAACTACCAGGGCGGGACTCCTTTGCATCATTTTCCACTGACAACATTACGCGCGCTTCGTGGCGCAGAGTCACTTGCAAGAGCTTGTTCCATTATTGCAAAACAACGCGTTGTTTGTCTCAAGTTTCAAGGCAAGGAGTTCATGGCATCCTCCGTCTCTGCCTCTTCACTGCCCATGTCTCTCCCCTCGTCTCCGATTGCAGAAGACTGGAAAACGGACGTGCAAATTGAGGCGACAGATATCACCACTCTACCGGACAACACCACTTCAACTTCAAAAGAACCTTCAGACGGGGGAGATCACCATAAGAACTCCCCGTCCTCGGACTATAATCCGGAAGACATCTGCCGCGGGGAAGGCGAATGGCTCGTCCTCGATTTGCTCGACGACCATGGTACTCAATTTAATTCACATAGTTCGTCTATCTAACTGTTCACTCGCACAGCTTTCTCGAACATCCTCCGCATCCTTCACCGCTACACCTCTCATCCAATATCATCTTCGTTCCTCCCCACCTCATCAATCATCACAGTCGCAAACTACTGGAACAATGTGTCTTCTCCCGCTCTCACACCTTTTGTTTACTCCTCTCCATACGATTCTCTTCCGTACCCAGAATGGCGCACGAAAACCGTCGAGACCGCGCGCAAGGCTGGCATGGGGGACGTCGGAAAACCCCTCGCACTCGTCCTATGGTCCGAACATACCCGCCGAGAATCCTCATTGCATGACACCTGCAATCCGCGATTCGCTTTCTCGCAAGGAATGGGTCATAAATCTTCTGCTAGTTCTTTTGAGCCATACTCAGACTCAGAATCAGGTGAAAATGATGGAGAGAGCGAGATGGAGTGGGAGGGTTGGATGAGGGATCTAGAGAGGCAAGGAAGCGTGAGGCAGCATCATATTCATCATCAGAAAATCGACCATTATCCTAGTGACTCAGAGCACCAACCACCAAGCCCCTCACCCCTACCCACCCCGCCACTTTCAGACGCATCCTCTCAGGGCTCCCCAAGGGGCCACTCACCCCCGCACTCACCCCCCGCATACCCCACGATCGACAATGTCATCCAGTGCGCGGACCCTTTTTCCCGCACTTCTTTCGAATCACGCGTGCCTGGGTGGATCAAGAATACGACAGTTAGCACCGTGAGCGTGGGCACTACCCCGCACACGTCTCCTCGGAGACGGTCTTCCACGCTCACTCCAGGCAGCTTATCCAGGCTAATGAAAGACTGGGAAAGGGGAGACGCCGTTCGTCCATCGACTGCTATTAATGGCTCCTGTACAGGACCGCCATCATCGTCGTCATCACGACGCACCCATATCCGACACGCACATTCAGGATCCAACCTCCGTCCAACCCCGACAGAGAACCTCCATCGCGCACAAGACGCAGAAGGTTCAAGTACCGGAAAGAAAAAGGTTGGCATCGTGAGGGGTATGTCGATGCGGGCGGAAAAACTTGTGAGGGGACTGGACGCTGCCATAGACTTTGTTGATAATCATCCTTAGCGTTCGTTTATTATGTTAGTTAGTTTGTTTCTTCTCTCTCACTTTTTCGCCTAGGTTATTGCGAGTGGAATTGGTATTTAAGGTCACTTTTGGAGTGTATATTAGTATGTATTCGCCCGTGCCAGCTGCAACTTATTATACCTCAGCTGCCAGGACTCTTCAAACCTTGCGGCACCTGCCCATGCTAGCTTGGCGCCAGCAGATATGCTTGCACTTCTGCTGGTTATATCATGAACGCCGGAACTTTGCTGGTTACTTCCTGCGATGATGACCGTATACACAGTATATAGATCTCCAGAGGCTAATCGATGAATCTCCGGATAACGAATGCATTCCTTCCTCGAGCTCAATCGCGCTGACAATATGATAAGGTAGTTGAGGGGATACGCAACATCCGGCCTGTTCAAAACCTTGCACTATTAATGTTCTTTCTGATCACAGGATAGTGACACCAAGTCCGAGTCGTCGTGAGCTTATCCTTCTATCAGGAGTGACACGAAGTCGTCGTCGTGAGCTTTTAATCGCTTCTGCAGGAACACTTACAGGTTGGTGCTATTCGGCGATTGAAACCCCTGTCGGAGTCAAAGGCGCTCATCGAATACGATGCAGGTGACCTTGTAGATGTTTTCGACCAATTGTGAATATATCTTGTTAGCTCTCTATATCACAGCCTTCATTCGCACGTCAACACGCCCTCCTCTGTCGTTTTCCCTTTTTGTGGTGCCAAGTACTGCCACTTTTGTAATACAACCAAAACACTGGCACGACGCCCCTATAGCTAGTACCCAACCCTGGATTCGAAACCTCTAGCGCCCTATGCAAACAAGATAAATTGAGCATCAAGGTACAAGCGTGTTACCCGTCATTTTCTTGCCATGGATCTCCGTCTCGAAATTCTGAAGCAACAAAAGAAAATATCTAACTGCTATTGCAAATCCATATTGTACATACACAAGAACATCATGTCCGGAAGCGGCAAGGGCCTGCCAGCGGCTCCCCAATTTGATCCTCGCTGAGCGCTAGCCCTGATAGGTCACCCAAGTTGACCACAATTGAAACTAGATCTTGGATGCCCGTGTTGTAATCTGGGATAAATGGTATTTCAATTCAGTCAATTTCTTCTGTCCGCATCGCTGAGTGGGTCCTATAGGCATTATCAGGGGTCCGGCATGAGAATGTCAGGGACTGAGCAAGTTAAGTCAGAAGTCTGCTGAGAGTGCAAATGTCTAAAGGGGTATTTCAGGTGGACAGGTTTTGCATATAAAAGTGAACTGTCCTCCCACCGTCTCCTTCAGCTTGATTTTTGGGATCCCATATCACAAATAATGCGTCTCTCCTTCATCCTCGCCGTTGTTGCTGCTTTCAACTTGACGGTGTCTATGCCTGTCCCTGATGATGAAACATATTGCCCGGTCAGATGCAATAGCATCAGGATTGCGGCCTGCTGCTTGAATCAAGTGAATAAATGAGGAGTAGAATCTGATTCTACCCATGTGAGCAGAAGTAGTTTTCATCCAACCCTATGACTCACCGGTATGGTAGACTACAATCATGTTTGTCTATTAACGCGTCCCAGAGTCACCGCAAGCCAACTAACATCCAACAATAGCAGCTACTAAATTCATTTCATCCTCGTTGAGGTGCGCATCTAAAACGGCCGGCAGGAACGGCGGACTGATGGGGGCACGCCTCCCAGATCAGGACATTTAGTGACTTCAGAGATCGGAAGGGAGGCCATCGGGAAAACCACCGGTTCTTTTTTGTACTTATTCCAGGACCTAGAAATAGGTGCTTTGTATGATATCACACTGGTTTGGCGAAGAAAAGAGACGATTAGTCTGATAACGTCGGAGGGACTAATCGTGTCGAACGGACTGCACTTGCGCGAAGCGTTGGAGCTGTGACGAGGGAAGCTTCAGATTCAGAATCAGAATCCGAACTTCCTAGATTGTTGGGCCCGGGGCTGGGGCGCCGTGGCGCTAGTGCTGCCGTGGTCCGATTCAGAGGGTCCTGGGCGAGAACTTTGAGGTTCACACTGGCGTGCCGTTCGTGCAGGGAGAGAAAACGGCTTGGTTCAAACTGAATGAAAGTGCTACGTTTGTACAAAGTCGTGGTTAAGGGAGAGAAGACGAAGCAGGTTTCGGGCGAAGGCGCGTAGCGCCTCCCAGCCTTGAAGGGGCTTTAGCCTAGGGGAAAAAGGTGAGCTGTGAGGGCGGGTGAGCCGCCTCGCTGTGTCTTAGCTAAGTCTACCTCTTCAGGGCCCAAGGAGAGTTTGGGTTACTGCTGTGAGTGTCAGCGAGGCGCTAGGTCGTGCGACCGCGCGATGGAAAGGGAGAGGAGGGCGGGGAAAAGAAAAACTAAGTCGACGAAATGCACGGGGTGAATGGTCGACACGGCAGAAAAAGAAAAGGTGCGAACGTCACGCTTGTTGTTCGCTCATAGACTCGTAACCAGTCTAGACTACGTCTTTGAGATGTTAAGTGTTTGACGTAGTCAGACTGGTCGATCTCGGAGAAATTTGGCAGGAGAAGCGAGGAGTTTGAAATTTCATACATGCCGGTCATGCCGGTTTAGGTAATCGTTGTAATTGTACAGCGTTGGACGTCGAGTCTTCACAACACTGTTGTGCCATTGAAAGGGCACTTGTAAAGTCCGTTGGGAGATTTTCAATCGCGTCTCGAGCAGCGAGCGATAAAGGTCGTATGGAACTCATGGTTCATAGCATATATATTATAGGTTGAGCGAGAGGAAACACATAACTTGTAAGTACTGTATGATCGCAGGTACCTCAGCCGGCACAATCGGCATCTATCAAATTTCAAACTCCTCGCTCCTCCTGCCAAATTTCTCCGAGATCGACCACATCTGCAAAACCGCTGAAATGAACGCTTAACTTACGCGCGTTACGGACACTTACGAACGCTTACGACCTCAGTAGCGCACTCACGCGATTGGTGGAGATGCTGAACACCAATATTGCTCACCGCATTTGGCTGATAAAACATAAGCCAAGTTATCTTTTGTTGATAAGATGCAATAGGCTCAGAGATATGACACGATAGATGCGATAGCAATAGATACAATTGCTACATACCGATTGAGCCATTGTCTACGCAAACTCGGTACTAAATGTATGATAACTCTCCTTGTCCGCGAAGTTGTTCAAAAAGAAACGGTCGTAGCTTTCCAAACAAGTAGCCGATGAAACACCACTGGTCACTTTCTCGCCAAAACATGGTATGAGTTCAACAGCGTGTGTTACGTCTGTTACTGGTACCACAGCACCATGCCTATAGCAATTACCAGTGTTATCTTGAACGTATGTATGCTCAACGGTCCACATTGACAGTTCGGCTTGTTGGTCAGGAGAGGCGATAAAGTGGAAGTATTGGATGTAGAGAAGCAGAGTAGCGAGGTATGTCGGAAGGTCAAAGTTGGAATCTCATCGAATCATTGGCTGGAAAATCAGTCGGACCTGTGCGACATGACTCCCTGAATAAAGTGATAAAATCAGTACTGGAAATAAGTGCAGGAACATACATACTCATTTGCCCATCATCTCCCATAGTGTCAATGAGAACGGTATCACAGTTGCCGAAGGGGAAATCATCGCTCCGTGGGTAAGCCTGTATCACTCTGCTTGGCATTATAATTCATGGCTGAAATGCTGAGTGAAGTTGTAGTCAAAATTTGTTCCACGTGCAGAAGCGCCCATATCTGCCATCCCAGAGGGTATGCTCACCAGTGAACTGTGATGAACGATGAATAAAATTGGCAAGCGCAATATCGAAGTCAGGGAGCGAGTACTTCGTGCGAATATCAATTAGTGACAGTGATTTGTAGTCCGGCGTTACATTCAGTTGAAAGGCAGTGAGTGCGTCTCCGGAGAGAATGCCTTTGAGGAAGTGGTTACAGACAGGTCGAGGACCATGAACAGATTTCGTTTCGTCAGGGAGAACCCAGGAAACCCAGGAGAGCGCAGGGTTGGTGGTTGTAATGTCTTCGTCCTCAGCATGTATGGCGCTGACCAGTGACGCCCCGCGAGAAGTCAACAGCGCGTACAAACTAAACATCTCCATTGACTCTTGGCAGTTAAGAATCTGCACGCACTGCTCCATAAAATCTTTGATTTGGTGGGATGTCCGCAGGAAAAGGTCCTTACAATGTGTGATGAGCAACCGCTGTCATGCATGGTATGTGCCTCATACCATGACATATACATAGCAGGAGTAATAAGGGAGGTATAATACACCAGAATGTATCCTATCATCAAGTTACCCCATCATTTTTCCCTTAGTTATTAGCTAGTATTTTCACTTTCAAAACTTCACTTCCATTTCTCCATGTATTTCTATTTTGTTCCATGAGATTCTATCTGTTTCCATTTTTCTAGGCATATTTATCCATCAAACTTCCTCTCCAGCCACAAAGCATGTTTGTAAGCTTGTCATGTGACTGGTTAATAATCTGATTTGTAAGGATTCAACTTGACTCACCATGTTTTTGTCATGATTCGTCATGCTTTGTAAGACTTGCAAGTGTATTTATAAGCTACTTAGTAAGAAGGCTGATTCAGCTCACTCAAAAGATTGGTTTGTAAGCATGTTCTTACCAATCCTTGGGATGACTCATGTCTTTTATTCATCTTTCTTTGTAATCTTACATTGTATTAATAAGCTAGTTAGTAAACAAGCTGACTCAACACACCAAAAGGATTGATTTGTAAGAATGTTCTTACCAATCCATGTGCTGAATCATGCTTAGTAAGATGGCCTCCAAAAAGGTATAAAAGGAGCCCATTTTGCCACTGTCAATCTAAGCTTCCCACTTTAAACCCTGTTCTCAAATCAAGTGAGATTACCTAAGAAATAAACTGCAGGCAAATCTAGTGCCTTGAAGTAAGACTAAGAAACATCTATCTGAGTTATATACTACCTTACAGGGGTTGACTATATAACAAACTAACCCACTAAACTTAAACTAAACTTCACACATACAAATAACCTCTCTCTTTCATAGGAAGGGAGAATCAAACTAAGAGAACTACTTCACATTGAGGCAAACTTTCATAGGGTGAAATAAACCTATTTAATTCACAAAAGACCTCAAAGCAAACCTACAGAGAGAAAGCAAGAAGGGGACATTTTTAAGTAAACCCTCCCAAGAACTCACACGTTATCTACCACGAAAACTAGAAAAGTCGTAGACCGTGTACTTAAGGACTGGCAAGAAGTCTTATCCTATATAGTTGTGCTGTCACTATATAAGCGGCGTACATAAGACCCTTAAGTAAGAGGACACCGCTCCATCACGTCAGCGGAGAACTGCATCAAAGTGCCCAGTTTCTGAATCGTACCATCAAAGCTTTGTAGAAGCTCGAGTTTGGGGATGAAAAAATCTTCTTTGACACCCTTCTTCCCCCTCCTTGCCTCGGCCTGGATGATAGTGTCCTTGAAAGAGTGAAAATCTGAAAGCACCTGAACCATTGACTGAAGTGACTGAGGCGAGTGAACAGGATTCTGTGCTAAGTAAAAGAAGTCCACGAGGGCGTGAATTGCACGAACGAATCTGGGTGGAACAGCCCCTGTGATTGACGCAACGATAGTGCATTGGATGTCTCTATGCTCGCAGCCTGTCATTTGATTAACGTGCGTGATGCCTTTTGTAAAGTGGCGCGTTCCGACTCACTTGTGCTGGACCATGAAGCGAGTGTCGAGCTCGTAATCTCCCATAGCTTCCTTAATCCATTTCAGTGGATGATCAGCAAAAAACTTATGACAGGTGTACAGAATTTCGCCGGTGAGGAAAACAGACGGACATGCAAACATCCAATCACGCCAGTATGGCATATGAACTCCAGACAAGTTAACGGCTTTGGCCGCTTTCTGAAACTTGTCGAGATCCCAGGGATCGACCTTCCGGGATATCTCCACAATTAGTTTCAATGTGTGCTGCCCAGTGCGAGGGGGGTGGAGAATTCCATCTCCAAAATCGGCTTGTGTTGCCATCGTAAGTGGGGATGAGTTTTTACTGACTGCAGCAATCATAGTAGCCTCTGGCAGGTCGCACACATGAGCAACGAGTGGCGTAAACACATGCCGGATGTAGCGGGAAGGATCGGGCATGAAGCAGCCATCCTTTGCTGCGACCTTGAGGTTGGCGAAAACGAGGTCCATACATTTATGCCACAGTCTGGCTTGGAGGATAGACTGGTAATCTGGATGGACTTGGAACTTGACAACGGGAATGTAGGCTATGCAGCGCCAAGCTCGTAACGTTGCCTTGGAACGAACCTCAGAGTCAATATTACCAATGGTGAGGAAGACCGGATGCATCTCAATACCTCCAGCAAGTCGCGTTACAGGAGTTTTATCGGATCCCAAGATTATTGGGACTTGAGTCGCACCCAATGGGAGATGGCCCTAGAAATAATAGAATCAGTCGGTTACTCGGTGAGGAGTATATTAACAGGGCAAATGAACCTGAATTTTCCATGCCATATCGGCACTCATGTAGTCTCCGTATTTGCGCTGATTTTTGACGTTAACGACGTGGGGCTGAAAGGTCATGTGGTTCGCAAAAGTCGGGTCACTAAAGAGTTGCTTGACGACCTCCAGCGCATCACGCCAAACAAGCTCCATGGGATGGACAGTCTTATAGCCTTTAAATTCTATTTTAGAGACTTTCCACGGGGCAAAAGAAGGCAGCGAGTCCATCCAGTCCAGGAAGTGATCTTTCGTGGTGAAAGATGGTCTTGCACGATCCAGAGCATCAAACTAGTAGGTAATATCAGAGTTAGGAGTACAGCTTAGATCAATATTCATGATTTACCCATTTCAACTTCAAGAACTTGGTGATTTGGGTTTGAGTAAGGTTTTCCACCAAAAACTTCCCTAGATCCCATTCACCTTCATCATGGAAAGGGTAATGAGGATTTATCTTCCACTGATACGCATATTGATCATCTTCCAACTTATCCAGCATGTTTCTACCAACACCATAGATATATCCAGATTCCGGGTGACAGGTACCGGTGACGGGTATCCGACCACCTTGATTGAATACAGAAGGGATGGGTAATGTTCGTGGTCGTGCATCGCATGGCCAACAGGTAGACGGAGAATTGAGATGTGAAATAAGCGCCTCGACGGATGAATATTCCCCCAATTTGCAGTTGGGACATAGCCTACCAAAGGTATGTGCAGTATCACAAAGTGAACACAGAAGTACTTACATTGTAGCATAGACTTGGCTTTGACTCAAGCCAGTGTGCTGGCACTTTGCACAGGAAGCTGAAAAAGCTACTAAGTCTTTCAAAAGTCCGAAAACCTCACGTTTCACAGCGCACAGTCATCGCGCAGGCCAATGGAACCTGCGTCTTCATCACCGGTCTCATCTCCTCCTCGACCAAGCAGTCCTGCTTTCACCAGCACTACATCAAGTAGTGCAACCCGTGTTGAATTAACTCCCTTGGAGTTGTTTAAAAAGGTCGACCACTCTGAGTCGCCTCATAATATCATGACTACTGAGCTCTTATCTGGCTCTGACTGCTCACTTTCTCCCAAGCTGTCCCCCTTCCATGCAGACTCTCCAAATGTTCACCTCAGCCCAGTGGAGGAGATCCCGTTGTCTTGATAACCGAGGGTCTTATATAAATACGTGTAAGAATGTAATGACACCACAATTACACTGGATAAGACTTCTTGCCAGTCCTCGATTAACACGGTCTACGACTTTTCTTCTTTCGTGGTAGATAACGTGTGAGTTCTTGGGAGGCTCGCTAAACCAATCAGTCAGATTAACTTAGCCGGAGCTTTATTATCTCTGATTGAAACTATGGGATTGTCTAGGATATACCGTCTAGACACTTGAACTGGTTTCCTGAATATACGGTTAACTGTTGAGAAGCTGGTCTCAAATGTGACTACGTGGACCAAAGCTTGTGTTGGTCAATATACAAATACCTGGTGAGAACGCTGGTCTCACAAATAACAACAATGACAAATAAAAAAAAAACAATGACAAATAACAACAATGACCAAAGCTCGTGTTGGTCAGTATACAAATACCTGGTGAGAACGCTGGTCTCACAAATAACAACGGTGACCAAAGCTCGTGTTGGTCAGTAAAACACTACGTGGTGAGAACACTGGTCTCACAAAACTGGGTTTCTATCGCGAGAAACTTATGTAATCTCAAGGGAAACACTTTCCCTGCACTTGTCTGAACAGTTCTTACAAAGGAAATGGGCTTTGTAAGCAGCAATTTGTTCAGACTGAAGCTTCTTAGGTGAGAGTTCAATTTGCTCAAGTGGGAGTTCTTGAATGCAACAAGTGGGAGATCTATTTTTTGGGGGGGAGAATGGGCTCTCCTTATATACATTTTGTGTGGGAATATTATGTAAGTAAAAAGGTGATGTAATGACTTCAGAATGTGAGAAGAATATTCCAAAAACTGGAGCAGAATGTTCTAGCAAATGCAAAAGAACATTCCAGAATATTCATGGTGGGATAATGACATCATTCTGAGTCACTATGAGTCACTATGAGTCATTATGAGTCATTGGAATGTTCTAGCAAATTCCATGGAACATGACATCATTATGACATCACTATGATATCATATCTTTCAACCAAAATACCTGCAGGAGTGTAGGTGAAGTCCTATGACATCATTATGACATCATACCCTGTAGGTACAATTTTATGAAGCATCTGATTAGTCAGAGCATCCTAATAGAAAAGTAAAGTAAAGAAACACTAGAGAAAACAACTCAGAAATAATGGAATAAATAATAGTACACAATACGCGGGCTTTTTAGATAGGTTTTTGTTAGGCTTTGAACTTTTCTCTATGGGTTTCTCTAGCCAAAGTGAATAAGCCAAAGGAAAGGCAATACCTTAACCTTCATTTTGCTTCTCATATCAACTAGGTCATTATGTGATTCCCATCTCACATATGACTTTTTCTTCGAAACATGGTGGATTCATGAATCACTGAGGGAAAACTGAAACTATTGGACCAAGGTTTGATACCAAGGTATGGGTTGACTAGTCTGAGGACTAAGCTAACAGACTTTGTCTTTTAGGGGGATACCTAGTAGTCATGTCCATGCATGATTCCCAAATCATGCAGGACACCGTACCTTCCTGATGTAAAGGAGAGCATATTGTACAAGCCCGACATCTTACAGTCACCAAAGTCACCTTCTCGGGCAGCTTATTTGCATGAGAGGTCATCCAAGAGGCATGTTCCATACCCTCTCAGGCCATCTCCACTGGAGCTTCAGTTTGCAAACCACATGACAGGACGAGTACGCGAACCAGACTTTACACCTGAACAGCTTCAAGAGGTATTTGTTTTTTTCACTTCCTTGTTCCAGAGGTTCTCAAGTTTTCACGTGGTCTATGTTCAAAAGCACAAGGACACAATATCCAGTGGTCTCTCACAGATGAGCTTTGACACTTTGTACAAAGCATTCAAAGCACTACTTGCCGGTCGCGAGGCTGCTCGCCATGAAGTGGCGACATCGCTATGGCAGGTTGAATACTCGGAGCGTATGACAGCATTCAACCAGGCGCTCCACCAGGAGAACAGAGACTGGCTCAATATGAAAGATGAACAGCTGAAGAAACTTAGAAACATCTTTTCTGAGCGTGACCGGACGGAAATCGATGACGACACGGATTACATTCAAGCCATCTACAACAATGAGTGCGAGATGCTTCGTGCCATCACTGCCCAAGCGGAGATAATCTCAAGACACCTGGGCTCACGTGCCAAGCGTGAATTATTAGCATCTACCGGCGAAGCTCCCTACCTCCCATGGTTTGTTGGTGGTTTGCATAACAAGGATAGCATCACGCTTGCGCTACGTGGTTTCACGGATGCTGGTACCGATACTGATACCGACTCTGATACCGACTCCGGCGAAGATGATGATAATCGGCCGGGCCAGCAGCGCTTGTGCGGCATGCAGTTGTGACATACCAATGGTATGTGACTGCCAAGTCATTCACACTACTCACACTGATCAATATCAGTGACATACCATTCATTTGTATCGCTGTTCATAGATTGTTATCAACCGGTATCGCCTTCCTTTTCCCGTTCTTCCCTTGTTCATAACACGCTTCGACCGTTCAATAAGCGCTTCGCCCACTCCGGCCATTCATATATCTTTTCCCCCCGTTCATAAATTGTCTTATCGGACCACACCCCCCCCTCTTTTACACTTCGCTAGTAAATGTCCTTGCTTGGTTCGTAAATCACCTTATCAGCCCGCCACACATTCCTGGTTTGTAAAGTTCATGTAAAGTTCTGGTCTCTTTTCCTCCTATGTACAATTACATCGATTCGCCAGTTAAATGCATGCATGTGCTCCCACATCCTTACCCCCAACCTTGAATGCCTAGTGAGCGTCCCTCTCAGTGGAAAACTAAGGCCAAGGTTCCAAAACCGCCGTGAGGTTCCGGCCTTAATCCATCGGGCGAACCAGCAACTGACCAGCTGCGTATTCCTACTGAACAACCCCAGATGTCCTATTTCAACAACTTCAATGCGCATTTGGCCAGGGAAGACTGGCAACAGCAACGTGTTGACGATGACGCGCTGCTTCACCCTCCAGCATCAAGCACTGGGAATACAAGTGAGTCCATCGCGTTTTCATTCACTGATCACTTACAATTTTGCAGCTCACTACGGCCACTGGAGCATGCAGGGCACTTCCTTCGAACAATTCCCTCAAGGCTCCACCTATAACCCCTCCGACAACTTCTCCCAAAGTGCCTCACTCCAGGGTCCTATTGCCAGCACGAGCGCATCAGAGATGACACTCATACAATGAGGTGAGATTCCCCAAACATTTGGGCAGTTCTCTCAAGGCACTACCTATAACCCCTCCGACCTCTCTCAACACGCCTCATTCCAGGGTTCTACTGCCAGCACGAGCGCGTTAGAGATGGCGCCCATACAACGAGGCAAGATCCCGCAGACAGATGTAATGCACGTAAGTCTACTTTTTTTCTTCAATTCATTTCATGCTGACACCATACCGCTCATAGACGTCAGGCCCGGCAAGGCAGCCAAAGAAACACACCAACCGCCGAGCGATGCCGCCTACGCCACGAATGGCTCCCTATCCCTACTACACGCCCACAGACCATTTCAGGACCTGCACCTTCTGCAACTGCAACTGAAGGCTCACCTCGCAATCTGCAATGTCGTCAGCACCTGACCCCCCCCTTATCAAACTATCGGTTGAGATCATTGAGCAGACCGTGAAGACGGCGATGAAATTAGTCACGTGCGAGCTGTTTGGGGATGAAGCAATGACGACGGACAAGGCCGACAAAATATCATGCTGACCCAGGTACTCTGGGACTCTGTCCCACGTTGCTTTGCGCCTAACAGTAGGTCTTGTATATCAATCGTTCGCAACTACTACTGATCCTTGTTGTATTAGCGACATTCGAGGATTTCATCACTAGCAAGCACCGTCAGGATGTCGCAAATGCACTATCAATAACCCACAGGAAGTTTCGCAGACTTCACGTGCGAAGGCGTGTTCAGCGCATATCGGCTTTTCCCTCCACAACACAGTACCACACCCCTGTGGTCTATCACCAACGTGTGATCACCAAGATCACGACTGATGCCGATGGAATGGTCTTCATGCATATATACACTTTCGACCAAGTAAGTTTTAACTTTCATGCATTGCCGCTTTAACACTATTTTTTTCAGGATGGGAAGGTTCAAATCAAGGCAAAATTCCAGAATCCATTCATAATGTCGAGCGTCATTCGTTTCATCTGGTATGGATTACGCCAGGAGTTCCTCAGTGAGACAGAAGAAGAAAAGATCGAAAAATTGAAGGTAATCTGGGCGCTCGCCAGTGCCACGACATTCTGCAGCCTGGACGAACAATCCGAAGATCAGGTGAAGATTGACCGTTTGGAGGTCTGACATACAATCGTAAATTCGTCGCCATTCTGGATGCGATGAGGAACCTTACTGGGGACGAGCTAGCTGAGTTTCACAAGTTTTTGCGATATGTATTAGTAGTTGGACCTTCACAGACGCCCTTGTAAATACTACTAGTACAAGTTGGTATCAGATGGATTTGATTGTACTACTACTACTACTACTACTACGTTTTATTGCGCTGATAATCTCATGTTACCGATAATCTACTGCATTATTGCGCTGATAATCTTATGTCACTGACAATCTTGAAATCTCGCATTCAATTGTGTTCAGTATCCAAAAGCAGGTAGATATGTGCTAAGTTTCGGGCTAACCAAAACGGCAACTCTCGCAAGTATTTTTAAACTACATATCCACCAAGTTGGATTTGCTGATGCAGTCACTTGCCAGCCACTCGACTTGTCTGTGGTATTAGTAAGCCAGGCTGGTCACGAGCCTAGTTCGCTCAAAGACTTAATTTCTATTTCCTCCGCTCGTGCCTCGCTACGTAATAGAATGGCAAAATGTGCAGGTGCCGGGTACTATATCGGTTATCACAGAAGTCTGGGATTTGGTTGGATTTGGGTTTTTCGCGCTTGGGGGTTTCGTTCGCCCCATGTCAGGTATTCGCCCCCATGATTTCCTAAAAAGAAGGTTGCGACACTAGTATTCCATCTATAATGTTTAAAAACCATCAACCTTCTCGCTACGTTCTTGATCTCAACCACCATTATCCTCAGGCCGCCACGTCCGAGTTAACACATCCTCGGTTGTTTTCCCTTCTTGTGGTACTACCACCACTTTTGTAGTATACCAGAGCACGACGCCCTTAGTATCCGATCCCGTCTTCTTAGCTGGACACAAAACCTCTGGCGCCCTACGCAAGCGAGATGGATTGAGCATCAAGATACAAGTGTGTTACTCGTTAGTACTCAGTCAACTCAGATGTTCCATGTACCCAAGCCTGCAGGGCTTGCCTTGCAAGTTGTTATCCGTCTCGAAATTCCCAAGTAACAAAATAAATATCTAACTGGCTGATTTAGGTTTTGCTGATCACCGACGTTTCTCGTGTCACGACTCACCTATCGGTGTAGGTCAACGGGTTGGGATTGCACATTACCGGCGTTTCCTAGTGTTCTTCTGCCAGCAAAATGTCGGGGGACGGAGCAAGTCAAGTAAGAAATCTACTGGCACTGCAAATGTCGTTTATCTGAAGAGGTATTTAAGGTGGACAGGTTCTGCACAGAACACTATTGAGCACATAAAAACAAGCTGTTCTACCGTCCTCTTCAGCTTGATTTTTGGGATCCCATATCACATCTCACAAACAATGCGTCTCTCTTTCATCCTCGCCGTTGTTGCTGCTTTCAACTTGACTATACCTGTCTGTAGTATGCCATGTCAAGTGCAACTTCGGATGCTGCATGGTAGATGCTAAGCAGTATAACATGGCCCCATCCATATGAGCAGGAGTAGTTTTCATCCAACCCCATGAACTCACCGGTATGGTAGACTACAATCATGTTCGTGTGTTAAACGCGTCAGTTTGACGTGCGGAAGACTGACATTTGACAGCGGCACGTCGGCATGAGAGGTTTAGAACTAGGACAGCGTTCTAAATGCTGCGGGAAGTCATCTATGTCCGGATAGCGACCTAGCTGCCCAACATCTTAGTTGATGTCCAGATGGTTGGACCCCAAACCAGAGCTTGGATGACCGCATTGTAAACTGGGACAGATGGTCATTCAATCGGGTCAAATTCTTTCTGGGTTGCTGAATTGGTTCTATAGGCATTATCAGGGCTGCATTTCCACGTACATCGTGTCTAGTGCCACATCTGTGCCTGCTATGAAATGTGCATTTTAGTGAAAACACGTCAGAGTCTATGGAGATACGTATAAGGCACGCAGTGGTTCAGGGCTAATTTGGGTTTTGCCAATCACTAGTACTGGCGTTTCTCGTGTCACCTATCGGCGTAGGCCAACAGGTTGGGACTGCACATTACCGGCGTTTCCTAGTGTTCTTCTCCCGGGAGAATGTCGGGGACAGAGCAAGTCAATTCGGAAGTCTGCTGGCACGTCTGTTTGAAGGGGTATTTCAGGTTCTGAACACTATTCATTACGTTGTTCTCCCACCGTCCCCTTCAGTTTGATATTTGGGACCCCATATCACATCTCACCTTCGAGGGTAGCCGCCCGTCGGCAGACCATTGAATAGAAAGAAGTCAATTGATCATGGTATAAATTTTTGCGGTTTACAGCCGGCATGTTGTCCATCAAGTCATGCTGTGTTGTTACGCGTTCAAATGTTCATGCATGACGGATACAGTATCTCGTCGAAGAGCCGATTGAAGGGGTGTCCTTGAGTAACTTCAATAGGGCAGCTGGAACCCTCTTTACAAATTACACTGGTCTGTACGACAAAAGTCCGATCATTATCGGCCTCCATTCTATATCGACAGAGATAGAAACCTTTGCTCTTCTCTCTCCGCACCTTTGAAGACGAAGCATCAGTGCTCCCACATGAACGTAGATATCGGAAATGATATTACAGTAATTAACGGTGTACAAGCCATCGTATTGATAGCCGGAAATAGGTGAAAATTTGGACTTGACCCGGACATGTTATATAGATTTCTGCTGCCGACTCTCTGTCATGTCCGATAGCTTTCAATACATCCATCCATTGAGCATATATCATATGGATCCTCATGGCCGTAGTTAGCGCCCCAGTGCCCATTGGGTGCATAGCTCTGACATAACATCGGCGGACTCATGATTATACAAGTTGTATCATTTGTTTAGCGGTACAGGAAGTAAGCATGTAATGTTACATATACATCAAATCAAGATATGGTTAGTAATAGCAAAGCGAAAGCATTGAAGTCTATGGATACTGATTTGACGACCTATCACATAGAGAGTGGTATCAATAAACAGACATTCCAAATGATGATCCTAGAAGCAAACGGGATACAGTGGGTATTTTGCAACCATGACTCGCTCCGAACGACGAGGTGGATAGGTACATGGGGAGCCTAAGCCATCGGGGTCCTCATCTTTTCACTCTTCGTCATCACTACAGTTGGTAAAGGACTTTGGGCCTCACGTGTCTCGCTATGACATGGATCGCTGGATCATCTTCGAACGAGTCACTGCGCTTACGGGAGGTTGATGTCCCTGAGGGCAAGACGACAGTATCTGATGTGGCTACGGAGGCGGGGGATGACCGTGATGACTCAATGTCATAGCCGACCCCTAGGCCTGAACGACGGGGTAAAGGTGGTTGGCCTGGAATTCTCTTTTGACATTTGGTTAGTCTGATCAAAGATCGATCATTACTTAAGCTAGAGAATCTTACCTCCAAGGTGTAGCGACAGATATAAAAAGGACCGACTCCAACCATCTTTCTGCACGCCTTTGAAGATAAAGTATTAGCGTCCACTCATATCTATAGGTACGGAAATGACTGTACATGTGTAACGGTGTACAAGCCATCATACCGGTAGCCATTGTAGGGCGCAAAGTCAGAAACAAACTTCGAGCTCCGGACGACGCGTACGGGCTTGCCTGTCTCACAAGATTTCTATTGTACCGTCATTTCCCGACCTCACATTCATCAGAGATAGAACTCACAAGAAGTGCTCTATTTCCCCAACCCATCCAGTCCTGGTCAGAAACCTGCGGGCCTGGACGTTTCTTGGGGAATTTGATGGAAGGTCATGTTATAGGAAGAAGAAAGCAACTCACAGGCCAGCCGTCATTATCGAGGCCACCCCCTAACGGTACTATGTTGGCATACAATTTTGTAGCCAATATTGCGAATACACACCTGCGCCTACATAGACGCTATACACACAGGTTAGACTATCGAACTCGAAAATAAGCGCCGCAGTGCTTACATCGTGTCGCCCAAATCCTTGTCATCATCGTATCGACCCGAAACGACGATCGAACAAGCACCCGATATCTTACTACCTTGTATTCCAGCCTGCATATGGCGGTGGACACCAGCAGCATAACAATCTTTGCTGCGAACACATAGACAGATGAGATAAGTGATATTGTCAAACGAGGATTAAGAATACGCACCGATACATCCAAGTGGCTCCAATAGGTACTCCGGGAATCGCACCAAAGTGCTGCCTGCAAAGAAAGTGCGTGAGCAGTGATTGAGGGGAAATTCTGAGAGAATTACTGACAACATCCTGGCACGCTTGACCCTTTCCTCCTTGGACACTTTGCGGGCAATTTTTTTTGGAACTTCCTCTATCTCCTCGTCCCCTATGCTGGCGGTTACTTCTGGATCTTCCTCCATCTCCTTGTTCACTTCGTTGGCGATTTCGTATTGATCTTCCTCTATCTCGATCTCCTCCCTGCTGGTGATCTCGTCTTGATTTGCATCTATCTCCTCGCCTGAGCTACTGCAGAGGTCTTCGACTTCAGGTCGTTCTAGAGCACTAACGTAGTCCATTATGTCGTTGGTGACTGTCAACATGATGGAGTTAATTACACGAGGCCAACACGAGGCTCGTATACATAGAATGCTGCTGTGTGACGCGTCGGAGTTCGAAAGACGTGATCGTCCGAAAGGCCAGACTTGGGTCGAACTGCTCCTTCTGAGATTCAGAAAGGTTCAACTCCACCGGCTACTAGATAAGACAAGGTGGCAGCTGTTGACGGAACTATCATAGCCTCCGTGCTGGAGAATGACACCCATTGATCCATGACAAGCTGGTAGTACAGTTGATGGCAAGCCAATATCGACTTGCATCTGCTGCCTTGGAAAGAAGCAAGTTGGATTGTGGTGTCAACTCACTCCCATACGAGCTCTGACAGTCTGCATCCATTTCTGAATTGCGAAGGCTTTGGAATTTACAGATACAGGTTTGATGACATATTGCATAGACAGACCTAAGTAGCAAAGTAACATCAGCTGACAGTAGGAGAACTTGGATATTTAACAGTTATGGCTGTTCCGCTCCAGAAGATGAGGTGAATGAGAACGAGGAAATCGACAGACCAATGAGACCATAGCTTCAAACGCATGCGAGTACTAGCCAGGATAGCCCGTTAGTTTGACTTAGAAGAATTCGATGGATACAGCCTCGGGTTGTTCACGCGTCCACCCCAGGCAGTCCGCACAGACAGTTGGTGTGAGGCGAAGGGTCAATGGTATCATACTTGTCTGGTATTCGGAAAGGGCATATACAAAAGAGCATACGGAGGACAACTGTGACGATACATTGCTAGCGATGATGCCCGGTGGTGAGACAAATTCGGTTGGAATAATACGATAAATTACCTTGTAACAAAACTCGCGCTTTCCTCCAGGAAGTCTGAAGCAGAAGATCATGGTTCAAGTATTCATGACATTCCCATTCGTCATCACGGTATTTTAATAGGGATGGTAGGAGCGTTGGAAGCGGAGTACTAGTAGGAAGAACTTGAAGAAAGTTGGAAGACCGCGAGTGATGAATCTGCAGGTAGAGCAAAATCATATATGCATGAATAAATTTCACTCGGTTCTTCAATCAGCCAAGTCTGAGGGAAGCATCCGAATAAGGAAACTCTTGGAAGCCTTTGGACAATAGACCAAAACAACAGCCTGGACTCTGCTCCCATGCGCTGGCTCCTGCTAGCGTCTAGCACCACGTAGCGCTACGGCGATGTCTAATATCAACACAAACTCGCATCATGCATGCAGGTTTATGCATTTCGCAAAGTATGATAACCGAAGTGACGTGGATCGTTGATATGGCTATCTCAAGTCAATATGTGATGTATCTTTATTTTCCTCATACACAGTATAGCTGTTGACGTCTGGTATAGAGCGTGCTGCCATCATATGGTATTGTAATGAGGGTATTACTAGCTGCATGCTCTCTGTGACATCGCTAGTTAGTTCGTAGTATCCTCAAGTGAATGGTAATGTCAAAGCATGATTTCCATCTGAAAAAGTTTTGTGGTGCTTTGATCTGCTGTATGATGTCATGCCCTCCCATTCTCATGTCACAGGATTATGTTGGGCATCGAGGATACAATGGACATCGATGGCAAGTGTCTTTGCGTGTCTACAAATAAAATCGTGACTGACCTCATATATAGGCCTCTGTACAGTGATGCTACCGTAGTACCTTCATATATGCTATTTCTCCACTGCGCGACTTTCGATTACAATATATCAGCTGCCAGCTTGGTCTCGAGGTCGCTTGCTGCTGTCCCAAGCGGGTACCGCTGCCAAAGCTCACGGTCGTGGTTGAGTGTGCCGTGACCACACCGCGAGAATGACGTTGTGGCGATCCTTGGAACCTTCTCGTAGTTGTACTGCTGCATATGTAATGTCATATTCTCTAGTGAATACGCGCTAGTGCTCACATTTTCGTCACAGTCTAGGTATACAAAGGATGAGCGTTGTGCTGCGGAATGTTTGTGTTCTCGTGGATGCACACACGCATGGTGCTTCAAAGCAGTGGATTTCACACGGAGGCCATAGCTGCGTTTCCTGTGGTGGATACTCTAGGCGAATGCCTTTTCTGCGACACGATGTCGGGGCACAATGCGAAATTGATAACTCCAATGCGCGTCCAAAGGTGTGCTTTGTCTAGCGCTTCTCCGCTCGTCGTGAGGTTCAAAATCTCTCGTGTTTCACTCCATCTTCTCAGCTTGGCCACTTCACATTATTTGTTCAATTCATCAATATGTTTCTGTAAGTTTACTCACATGTCGATTTGTATCTTCATATGCTAACAATGCCTTTCGCATTCAGTCCCTCATGTTCCAGTCTTCAAACGCTGGATAGGTTAGTGTTCAATCTTGATTTGGATAATGCAGTCCATCTCACAATTTTCTTAGCGGGTCAATCCCTACGTCAAAACAACTCCAAGGACCTCCTGGAAATGTCCGATCTGGATGCATCGCCTGATTTGTCTGAAGCTGATCAGTTGTAAGTCTACTCACATGTCAACTCAGCATCTTCATATGCTAATGATGCCTTTCGCATTCAGTCTCTTGTATGATAGTCTTCATACGTTATTGCATATGTTAGTGTGCAATCTCGAGTTGGCCTCAATAGGATAAGCGCAAAGCTCGCCAGCCTGTTAAAGTTGAGCTTTGTAGTTCCGGTCGTCTCTCCCGCGCAAGCGCAGACGCCTGGAGGACGAGGAAATCGGAAAGGGGAAGTTTGGTCAGTACACGCTAGCGGATGCCAGTCCATCGCCATGGCTATGCTTATCCATGACCCAAAGCCGGTAGACATCAGCGGTCGCAGAACTCACGATGCCTACGATGTTCTTCGAACGAGGAGATTTGGGGTGATGGAAATCGATGATTCTTACCTCGATACGTCCGTTGCAGATGACGAAGGACCCTTCAGTAGGGTTGACCTGCGTACGCTCATGCGATTGGACCAACCACCCTTGTGGACTCTTCGAAGAGATGAGTCAGGCGACCACCTTTTGTATTGGCATGATGTCCAGGTTGAAGAATCGGCTCCTTGCAAATTTGAGCATTGCTCGGAAATAGAATCAATGGTGAATTTGGGCCGTCATATTGAAGGCACCCATTATACTACATCCTGCCAATGCCAATGCCCCTATTGCAAGAAGCGGTGGTCTAGGACCGATTCTTTGAGTTTTGTCTCCAAGGCCCGAAGAAGCTGATTTATGGGTATATTATACCTGCCCGCAGCACGACATAGTCCAGCGTTCAACTTTGTACGTCCCCCTTGCCCTGTGTCTGTCACTACTGCTAACTTCCTATTGCCGTACTCTAGTGTTGTCTCCAATTCTTGAAGCCATTTCTATCTATGACTAACGACACTCGTTTTATTTTATTACCAACATTCCTTTTGGAATATCCGTTCTTCTCAGTATGTTTTCCTCTCTTCGTTATCGCTTGGTTTGTGATTTTTAGATCATCTTTATTGCGCGCTACACGTAGCTATGATATCTCATCGTATGGCTCAGTGTATTTTTTATCATGGTCATCAGATTTTATAGAATATTATACAAGGACACCCCTTCTGTCGGCTCTTCGACGACATGTCAGTTACAGGTTCTGTAGCGGAAGGGGCAGAAGCTGGTAGAAGCTGATACACCATTCTGGGGATGGGTGTTTCATGCCCCTAGGGGAAATACCCGTGCTCCAAGTAAAAATCGACGCTATTTGAGTGAACAGGTATAGGCAGTTGACCTAGAACCCTCTTTAACGCCGGTCAGTGTGACAAAAGCTTGATCGTTATCGGGGAGACTTGCCTCCATCCTATAGCGACAGAGATAGAAACCTTCTTTGTTCTTCTCTTTCCACGCCTTTGAAGACGAAGTATCAGTGCTCACGCATGAATGTAGATTTCGGAAATGATGTTACAGCTTTAACGGTGTACAGGCCATCATATCGATAGCCGTAAATGGGTGCAAATTCGGACCCAAGCTCGTAGCCCCGGACGACGCGCACGGGTTTGCCTGTGCGTTAAGATGTCTGTCGTACCGTAATTTTCTGGCTTCACATTCAAAGATAGAGAAAACTGACACGAAGCGCTTCATTTCCCTGGCCTGTCCAATCTTGATCACAAATCTGTCGCCTCTGGGGGAAGCTGATCGATGACCATGCTATAAGAGCAAAAGGGCAACTCACACCTTTCCTGGACGGGTGGCGACCCCCTGCCGAGAATACGTTGGCATACGATACTGTAGCTCAGTGTGAACACGCACCTGCACCTGTATATATGCTATATGCAGAGGTCAGAATCCCGGTCTCACTCGAAGTAAGCGCCGCGATAAGTGCTTACAGCGTGTCGCCAGAATCCTCGTGTGCATAGCGGCCTGAAGCGACAATTGCCCCAGCCCTCATATGGCGCTGCACGCCATCATAATAACAATCTTGGCTGTGAACATATGGACAGACAAGTTAATTGATACCATCAAACAAGAAGTAAGGATACACACCGAGTACTCCATGTGGTCCCGACAGGTACTTCCGGGAATTTCCCCGAAGTGCTGCCTGCAAAGAAAATGCGTGAGTGGCGTGGTTTAAGAGAGAAACGCAAAGAAGCATTACTAACGAAGACCTTGCACGACTAGCCCTGAGCTCCTTAACCTCTTTTCTGTATATTTCTTCTGGATCTTCCTCCATCACCTCGGCTATTTCGTTTGGATCTTCCTCTATATGCTTGCCCGAGCTACTGTGGGGATCTTCGACTTCAAGTTGTTCTATAGCGCCAACGTAGTCCATTATGTTGCTGGTGACTGTCGAGATAACGGAGATAATTGCATGACGCCAACATGAGGCTCGTATACATAGAATGCTGTTGCGTGACGCATCAGAGTTTGAAAGACGTGAGCATCGAAAGGCCGTGCTTGGGCCGAGCCTCCCCTTCTGAGAAAGATTTGATTCTACCGGCGACTAGATAAGACAAGGCAGCAGTTGCTAACCAAACTATGCTTCCGGACTGTGGAGAATGACACCCATGGATCTATGACGCGTCGGCAGTGCAGTTGATGGCAGCTGATATAAATCGCATCTACTGCCGCAGAAGGAGGCAAGTTGAATTATGGTGTCAACTCACTCCCATGCGAGCTATGACAGTCTGCATCCATTACTGAATTGCGAAGGCTTGGGGATACAGGTTTGATAACATATTGCACAGACAAACCTAAGAAGCAGAGTAATATCAGTTGACAGACATTGCCGATGATCGTAAAAGCAAGACAGTAGGAAAACCGGGATATTTTACAGTCATGGCTGATCCGCTCCAGGGGATGAGCTGAATGAGAATGATGAAATTTGACAAACTATAGCTTCAAATGCATGCGAGTATTAGCCAGGGTAGCTCGTTAATTTGACCTAGAGGTATGTATTGAAATTTGATGCATACGGACGCGGGTTGTTCACGCGTCCACCCCAGGCAGGCCGCGTTGATAGTTGATGTGAGGTGAAGGGTCAATGGTACCATATTCGTCTGGTATTTGGAAAGGGCATATGCAAAAGAGTATGCAGAGAACAACTGTGACGATATATTGCCAGTGATGATGCCCGGTGGTGAGACAAGTGCGGTTGGGATAGTACGATAAATTACCTTTTGACAAAACTCGCGTTTTTCCTCCAGGAAGTCTGAAGTAGAAGATTATGGTCCAAGCATTCATGACATTCCTATTCGTTATTATGGCGTTTTAATAGGGCTAGCAGAGGCGTTGGAAGCAGAGTAGAAATGAAGTTGGAAGACAGACAGCGAGAGATGTGCAGGCAGAGCGCGAATAGGATAGACAGCATCTTAGTACTAGGGGTTGATGGATGAATAACTTCACGAAGTTTTCTGCCATGATCAGCCAATGTCACGGTGCACCACATAGCTGCCTGTCCGAATAGTGTAGACTTGCCATTGTGGTTCTGCCACCTATGAAGCTTGAACTACGACTGCTCCCAAGTTGAAAATGGCCGAAAATACTCAGTATGTAAAAGGAAGGAGACAGTCTCAACTTGAATCATCGTAAGTTGACAAGCACGATGCGCGCTTGCATATTACATAGTAGTAGCAAGAAACTGAAGGTCCTGATTTGGTCACCGTCTGTGTAACACATCGTTTTGCTCTTGCTCAACGTCCACTGTGATCAGTTTCATTCCTGAACCATCATGAACTCGCCCTGGAAAGGCAAAGCAAAAGCCACCAACCAAGATTATGACGACTTGCGACCAACCATAACTTACAGGCACCTTCTATCCAATAACCTCGGCGTTAAAGATCCCCTACGCGTTGTCGCCTTATGCGACAGTGACGCTTTCTATGCTGCCTGCGAACGCGTTCGGCTTGAGCTCGACCCGAGCGTACCAATCGTCGTACAACAATGGGAGAGTCTCATAGCAGTGAGCTACCCTGCACGTGAATTTGGCATATCGCGCATGGATAAGATCAAGGACGCCAAGAAGAAATGTCCTAATCTAATTGCCGTGCATGTAGCGACTTACAAGGAGGGGCGAGATGGAGCCCGGCTACTGGGAGGATATCGATACGCGCACTCACAAGGTGCGTTTTGCATCCTCTAACGCTCCGAACGCGACAGAAGTGGACCTTTTGTTGCATATTCGAAAGGTATCCTTAGGATCTATACCGACGTGAAAGCAACAAGATCATTACCATGTTTAAGGAGGCTCTTCCAACCGGTGAAGTTGGTGAGATGCGCAAGATACTTATTTATTATGGTCAACTGATGTCAAAGCAAGAGAAAGCCTCCATCGACGAAGCATTCATCGACTTCACTCGTCCTGTGAGAGAACAGTTACTTGAACGATATTCATACCTTGCCCAAGTTCCTGCCGATGCCCCAAATGGGATAGACAGCCCGCTACCACCACCTCCTCTAATAAAGTGGGATGATCTGGGAACAGTCTTATTACCAGAAGGAACTGATAGTGCTGGCGAACAATCTAACATTGAAGTTGACGGTGATGCGACATGGCACGACGTAGCGTTGTCAATTGCTGCAGAGCTGATACGAAAGATTCGCGAAGACTACATTCAAAGCTAGGCTATACAACTTCTGCTGTAAGCGCTATCTTGTCCTTGTCAGCGAGGTCGTAGTCAATCTTACGCACAATCAATGATGCAGGGGATTGCTCGTAATAAGTTTCTTGCGAAGGTTGATATTCTTCTTCCCTCGGTCGATTGCACTCATTCTCCTCGCAGCTTTGTGCTTCTTACAAGAAACCCAACAGTCAAGTCAGTCTTCTAAGTTTTATGTTGGCACCAATAACCGGATAAACATGCATAGACTATCCTCCGGAACCAGGCCATTCCAAATTACCTCCATCCCTTGCCCTTTCAAAAAGTATGTCTTTAATCTTTGACATATGTTGACTGCCTTGACCGCAAGACACGCTAGATTCGCTTCCTCGGTGGAAAGCTCGGCGATGCCTTAGCGAAAGAGTATGATGTTTCAACTGTGGGTGACTTGTTGTGAGTAATGAACGGTTCTTTTTGATTTTTTACCCATCGCTCACCCCAATAAAGAACGGTTTTCACTAGGTAATGAATATTGTTTTCATCCATCTCGCTTTCTTATACATGGCAGACGAAATACAAAGCAAGTTCGGTGAGAATGCGCTATGGGTATATGAATTCCTTCGGTAAGATATTCATTTGTTATCCCCGGCGAACGTTTATCCATTATGCAACGCTAGTGGCATTGATCGCAGTGAAGGTATTTCGATGTGACCTGGCTACACCTTTCGCATTTACAACTAGTTCGCAGTCAAAGAAAAGTCTGCGTTGTTCAAGAGCATGTTAGCATCAAAGAACCTTCCGAAGCCGATAACCCAGCCCTCGGACGGACACCAATGGATCCGAATCCTTGCTGCAGAGTTGGCATTACGACTCAATGATGCGAGAGAGTCGATGCCGACGCTCTGGCCCAAGACTATTGTGCTCCATGCTCGGAAAGGTGATTTGATCTTACAACATCGAGTGTTATTTGTTGAGCTAGAGACACGTCAGGATACGAAACGTCGCGATCTAAACAAGCCACTTTCCCTTTCGTCCGCAATGTGACAGTAGACGTGATTGCGACAGCCGCGGATAAGCTTTGGAAAGAGCTTACTGGCGATGCGAAGACCGTTAATATCACATCGGTCCAGCTAGCATTTACTGGCCTGGAGAAGGCTGAGATGGGCCAGAAAAGCATCGAAGGGTTCTTCACAACTCGAGATGTCCAACAAACATCCCTCAAACGTTCGCGCGAAGAAGATGAGCCTCTGGTTTCGCCTGAGAACACTAAGCTGGCTCTGCCCGAATTTAGCTATGTCGAGGCTGTTTCATTCAAATGTACCCGATGTCGTAAGACGATCGCACTTCGGGAAGACCAAGGGACAGGTGGTCCCAACGAAGTAGCACAGCGATTGGCAACGTTACGATCAGAACATGGCGACTTTCATTTCGCACAGGACTTAGCAAACGGCAATGACGGGTCGGTGCCTGTACCTCGCGGTTCATCGTCGAAGCGGAAGAAAGTGGAACCAAAAGGAATCGCGAAGTTTTTCATCAAGAAGTAGGCAGTTTAGTGGCATAGTTTCAATCGGGGAAAGCCATGATGATGTATGTATGATAATCGCGCCTCTGTGTGAGCAAATGAGTTATATCGGTGGCATGCGCATATGGAGTGCACAGGTTTTCACACAGGTATGTAGTATGTCTCTGAGGCAGTGTAGAATGTGGCAGTTTTGATTGATCGTCACTATTGCATTGGCTGGCTATTCAGGGCGTGGTCATCGCGCACCATCAAAACCTCATTGCCGAGTCCCGACACAGACATATGAGGAGAGAAATGAGTTTTGATCGAAACGTTGTCGTTCGTTCGTTCGCGCGTTCGTCATCTTTCGAAGTTCTTTCTGCGGACTGTGTCCCACCTTTCGACCTCTGAGAGGCACGTTTCCGCGGCTAGTCCGTCATTCTTCGTTCATTTTCCCCTGTCTGGGACAGCTGGTCGTTTGGCTTTTTCATTTCAAGAACCCTGGAGGCATACGTCATTCATTATCATGTTCTCGAATTCCCAATCCACTTCCTTCTCTACTGTTCAGGCAAATGGATTGATCGTGAGTCATTAGCACGAATTATCGCGAGTAGCGTCTAATGATCATAAACAGGCGGTTCCCGTGTTCGCCTTGCTATCTGCGTTAGCGCTCGCTTTCATAGTTTTCAGGAGTATTCGTCTTGTGGTGATCCCCTTATTCCAGCGTGACGGGTCGGCATGCAGAGCTCCGGAGAACCTATTCTTCCGTACTCAACTGGGCCATTATGCTGCATCCCTTGTTTTAAGCAACGTTTTCCTCACCGCAGCTGGGCTTATGGAGTTTTTTTGGGTCAAACAATCTGGGATCCATCAAGGTAGCGCTTTCGGTATCCTAACCACATACTGTTGTACTGACGGCTGTCAGGCTCCATGTGCACTTTTCAAGGTAATTTAAGCTGATAGCGCTATGATCAAATACTGAGTAATCTTGTGACCAGCTGTCCTCGTGCAGATTGGTACCTGGTCCACCTGTTTCTTCTCTATTGCTATCGGTGTCCACACGTGCAACTCCCTGGTGTTTCGTCTCTACCAAATTAGTTATCTGAGCGTCGTAGTCATCGCCTTTGGATGGATCATGTCGCTGGTGATTGGTAAGTGGCGCTACGACAGCAACCGAATTGATATCACCTCGTGCTCATCTATATCTGTAGCACTGGCACCTATCAGCCAAGCTGGTGTCTATGGCCCAGTCACCGTTTCCTGTGGCGTCACAACGGCATATCCCAGCAAGATATTTGGGCTTGAAGCTTTTCCAGTACGTTTTATTCCGGTGTAACCTGATAGGGTCTAATAATTGCGAACAGGTCATTCTCGTCTCTGTGCTTTCAGTCATTATTTACTCCCCGATATTCCTTGTTCTCCAGGGTACTCTGCGTGTCGAAGGGGGTATCAAGTTGACTTTCAAGGCTCAGGGACGATGGTGTGCTGTGACCGACTCGGAGAAATACCACCGCTTCATGGTAGCTATCGCGAAGACGATGTTTTGGTGAGTTCCTGTTCGTTTATGCTTATCCAGGTCATTCATCTATTCGATGCAGGTACCCTATCGGTTTGTGCCCTCGCGTATGAACGAGTTCTTCTGTCTTAACTTCCTGTCTAGCATTTGTCTCCCTCTTGTTGCCGATCGCGGTTGCAAATATGGCACAATTCTCTGGTCGTGCCATCCCATTTGGAGCAGATGTATTTGCACATGTATGCTGCTCTATGCTTGGTTGGTGGTCCGGGTTTCAGCATGCGTCGTGATCATTGATTGGTGTTCTAGGGCTTGTCAATGTCGGTCTTATGTACAACACCTTCCGCGTGCTCAGTCCAGTTTTCCATGGCTCAACACTGCCCAATATTGAGGTTGATACAGAGAAGACTTTTGGAAACAACGCGCTCGACGAATCGCCTATTCTCCCCCCAGTCGCTTACATGCCCAAAGGACCAGTTTTGCCTCTGTACGATGACACCTCTAAGGCAATATCCCCAGTCTCGCTGTCAGATTTTCCCCCAGTTCAATATCACTCTCGCAACTCGTCTACCGCAAGTATTGATTCTGCGACCCAGTTGTTGCGCATCAAGAAGACACCCTCGAGGTTTCACAAGATGAGGGTCAGGCAGGGCGAGTCGTTGCTGCCTCTGCCTCGCACCATTCTCACTCCTGCGGAGCTCAACCGTCAGCTCGATGCTGCGTCTGATACAGAGAGTCTCAAGGGTCACAGCCTTCGCCTTGACTTGCCTCAGATGGTTGAGGTCAACACAGCCAAAATGGCCGTTGTAACTGTCAACCTATCGCCTGCACCTCGTTCTGCTGCTGCATCTGTGGTCACTGCCTCTCCAATTGTGTCTACGCCTCCCATCATGAGGCAGTTCACTGCGGCCTTTGGGAGGCCGAGCCGCAAGTTGTCCATGTTTGGGCCACGGTCAAAAGGCAGTGGTAAATTGCCCCTCACTCTTGTTGGGCCGCCACTTTCGCCTATCCCTGCCTCTCCGTCTATCAAGAGTTCATTGAAGAAGTCTGTCTCCCGGCTCCGCGTGTCTTCTACAAAACGCAGACCTACTCCATTGGATCTCGATGATGCCACTCCTATACCTGTCATTCGGCCCCTACCTGACATTACTACAGGGGCTGAGGCTCTTCAGAAGGTTGACAAAGGTAAAGGCAGAGCTCCGCCATCACCTACAACTCTTCTAGTGGAAAAGGATGACATGTCCAGTTCCCGCGCTGCCATCAGACCATTACCTCAATTCCCTCGCAACAGTGTGGCATCCTCGTCTTCCAGTGAGCGCACTCGCACCGAACCTACTGCATCTGCTATCCCCCATGAACGTCACGGTTCAATATCGTCGGACAGTGATGACAGCATCTATTCAACAAGCTCAGTTGACGGGGGAAGTGAGAAAGTCTTGCCGAGCATTCCACCGACGCGCGGTAATACCATTGAAAGCACTGACTCCGAGTCGTCTTCGTCCCCTTGTTTCGAGACATGCAAGCGAGCCTCCAAAAGTGACAGATTGACCTGGACAACGGTCTGGTCGCAGGATAGTGCTGTTACCTTAAGCCAGTCCCCAGACGAAGAGGCCATGCTTGCATATACATCACTTTTCCCTGGCGCGGGCGCCATCGAGGGTGATCAGACGAGCGTAGAGAATGTTCCGAAGAGACAGGAAGTTCCTCCTGTACCTCGCGCTCCGATACCATTTATACTTCGGCCAGGCAATTCGGTGGTAAAGCTGTCGGGTATCCCGCCTCGGTTGCGCACATGATTCAGAGGACTGCAGCCACAATACTGCACACTACACGATTTACATACGATATTTACATTTACATTTACATTCCACTATCAAATATTAAGCATTCCAGTCCTTACCATTGAAATTATATGTCTCGATTGACTGTGCAACAAGTGCAATATAATTGGATTATGCCCAAGATGGTAGATTCGATGACGTATCCTTAAAAGTCCTGCTCTTCTTCTTGCTCTCATATCCCGGTACAAGCCACCAACACTGCACCAACCATGGCGTTATCCAACTGGGCGGCATATTTAAACAGGTCAACAAAGCTGCTCAGAGACAGCAGCATCAAAAGCACGCTTGCTTAAATATTGCATCCTAACCACAAAACTGACAACGCCGTATACACAGTACTCCGTATGGAAGGCGCAGACGGGCCTTCAAGAGCACCTTTGACGCTCTTCAGGTTAAATTCCAAACAGGTCATCGAACAGTTCGCGACTGGGTGCGATGCAGATATTGGTGGCTCGTCCACTGTCCATTTCGAGCTCGACGAGTCCCCGGAGCGTAACAAGGGCAGTGGGAGCACAGCTACAGGTCGGTTTGGGGGCGAGATGAGACTGGATGTCAGACCGGAACTACAAGGGCGAATCAGAGGTGGATATGCCGGTTTTCGGTCCAAGGTAAATGTTATTTCCGAGCTTGATTATCACATCCGCTTGACTCGATGCCCATACCAGCCTCGCCCTACACTCTTTGGTGAAATGGTCGACGATGTTTCAAATCACCAGTTCCTTGCCTTGAGGCTACGTCTCGGTGGTGATCCCCGGTTGCGCAACTCGTATTTTGTCAACTTACAAACTGACGGGCCGATCACGACGGACCTGTGGCAGCACCGGCTCTACTTCCAACGGAATGATGGTGGCTGGGAAGATATATTTGTGTGTCCAAAACTGATATTTGCATGGGCGCCAATTGATCACAATGCTTTCAAGATACCATTTGAGAACTTTATACTGACAAATACGGGTGAATTGGTGCAGCATCAAATTGTGATGATGCGCGAGCGGATACGAACAGTTGGGATATCGCTACTTGGAGGAAACAGCGGTGTTTCGGGTTCGTATGACCTCGGCATTGACTCCATACGGGCGGTGAACGAGGAAGACGTGACGCGGCCTCCATGTAAGCAGTTCTCACTGGAATTCGAGAGTTGAAGACTCAAAGAAAGTAGCAATAGAAAAGGATCCATCCCGTGGCATTTGAACACTACTACGTACACTCCACCGCTTGGACTTGGGCTAAAACAACTTGCATGAGCATCTAACGGTGTCGGTCCATAACCATAAACTATATATACAATAGCCTATACAACGGCAACCTTTCGTAACCGACGGGCCTAAGTGATAAAACTGAAGAAGATCATACAAAGTTCGACAAGAAGCCCATGAGTCATCCAGCAGGGAGCGCGAGGAATAGAAAAGTGTGTCCGGAAAGAAAGGAAGGGTAGGTATATGGATGCTCTCATACGACCACACAACCACTGCAGCATCCGCCATGATCGCCTTCATTGGCGTCTTTGCCACTGTAGACGCCAGGTCCGCCGCCACCGGAGTTGGCCATGACAGGTCTGCCTGTTTGTTGCTCCTGCGAGAATAGATTGCATGAATAAATTATCAGAAATGAGAAGAGATTCTCTTACCTTGTTGTACTTTCTTATCTCGCGGACGAGGTTGCTGAATGCCTCGTCGACGTTGATGCGCTGCTTAGCCGATGTCTCGATGAACTTGCATCCAAAGTGCTTTGCAAGGTCACGGCCCTCTGTTTATTATTAGGACATAGCACAATGAAGAATTAATCATCACTTACCATTCATTCCAACTTGTCGCTCATACTCAAGATCGCACTTGTTAGCCACAACGATGACAGGGAACGAATCCTGGTCTTTCACACGAAGTATCTGTTGATGGAAAGTGCTAATTTCCTCGAAAGAATCACGGGAGGTGATAGAGTAGACGAGGAGGAAGCCTTCACCAGTGCGCATGTATTGCTCGCGCATAGCTCTGTGGGAAGTGAGTGACAAGGACTATAGACAGCAGAATATCATTTACCCATATTCCTCCTGACCAGCGGTGTCGAGGACGTCGAGCAACGCGACCTCTTCGTCAATAACGCATTGCTTGCGGTACGAGTCTATGTCACTATTACTTAGTAAGGACTCGAATGGAAGAGAAGCCGTCGTACCCTCGATTGTTGGGTCGTATTCGTCGACGAAGTGACTTTGAATGAATTGGATAGTGAGGGCAGATTTACCGACACCTGGTTGGAACAAGCGTTATGAGACGTGGTTCGTCACATTTCTGCAGCTTGATGCTCACCACCGCCACCGACAACTACCAGCTTGTATTCCCTCAAGAACTGCGCCTGTAAATACAATGATGCTGTAAGCTCTTGTTGGTGATTGCAGTTGCAGTTAGAATGGCACACACCCTCGACATAGTTCGTTAAGTAAATAAGAGAGATTTTTACGACCTGAAAAGAACTTGCCTAATCACAAGGGAGGATAGTTTTGTGATACCAGATGGAATGATGAGCCAACTTCCACGGGCAATTATAATGCTGATATTGGCCACGCGAGAACCAAATAATACCAATTCTAGATTTGTGTGTGCCACTGTGGCCACTGAGGCGCATCTTCAACATGATGCTGTGAATGCTCTTGATAATCTTCCTGTGCATTGTCTTACTGATCTTTACACAAATGCAGCTAGCCAACTCCCAGACTCAGTCTTTCCATCATCGTGGACTCATGCCGAAGGTCAGGGTCTGCGACTGTGAAAAATATACCTATTTCCATCATCTCAGTGAAATTGCAGTGCAAATTACCCCGGCTTCGTATACATGTCAGCGATTACTCCTGGTATGATTTACTATTTTTGAAGCGCCACGGTCCCTGAAGCATGAGACCTGATGATGCAATAATTATGGTGCGGTGCCCTACTACAGCAACTTCATAGTACGGTCCGGGACGCTTGTACCTATGCATCTCGAGTGAACACGCCGCATCATGGGAAGGTCAGTCCTGTGATATTATTCCTCCAACTCACTGCCTGTGGATCTTTTATAGATCTACCAGCCCTCTGCAGCACGTAGTATATTCCTCGTCAACCTCACATATCAACGAAAGTGTTCACAAGCAATGCATAACATTCGGAACAACCCCCATACACTCTCCCGAGTTATGCAGCTGACCCTCGAAGTTCTAAATCCGAAAGCGATCCATAAGCGATCCATAAGTGCCTTGATTATTGGATTTGGGTCAGCCTCGCCGTAATGCAGCCTGCATGTACTGTCCCCAGGGCGCCCCGAGGATTTGACCTGTGCAAACGGCAATTTTTTAGCGCTCTTGAAGCGGCTGCCATTGCCAAAGAGAGGCGCCCTCCCCGAATTCATGACGTACGCTAACATCGTAGCCTAAGGAACGTGTTGACGCTCAAAGCCCTACTCTGATCACTGCGAGACCTCTGGTTGGTTGGTTGAAGGCTCGGTCGCGAACTAAATATGACGCGTCCTTTGCACTATTCCAAATTCGAGATCGCTCCAAAAGTCAAAAAGTGATTCAAGTTTCAGATTTGAAGGTAACTGGCAGCCGGCCCCCGGGCAGCGCAAGCAGCCTCCGGTTTCATGAAGAACTTCGTCTATGGGGTTATTGACTCGTGTTTCACAAACTCAATCTCAACTCCCTGCTGTCTGAGACATCCCAATCTGGTAGACTGATCTAGTTCAAAAGTGTTGGAGCCATAATTATGATCATTGTCGAGAAGACGCTGGGTCAACGCCGAACGGAATAACTTGAGTATCCGCACAAACTAGCTGTGTGTGGCACGTTTTATTACTCATGTGCCACCATTGTCATCGCATACAACGTGGTTCATGCGCAGTGTTAATTTCGATTTATGATGCAATGATCACTGACAGGGTATACACGCGTCAGGGGAACGGGATCGCTTTGCAATTGCTCACGAGATCAGTATGTATGACTTTTTGGATCCTTTTTTCCATACATATGATCATGACAGATCACAGCGGATCACCGATCTGAGTCACGAGTGTCAGAGTATCTGAATCACGCAAAATCATGCACTGACTTGCCATCAATGAAGTGCTTTTATTGGTTGTGCTTGTCGCGTTTTCTGCGCTATTTTTGCAGGTCTAGACTCTGGAGTGGAAGCCTAAACGCACCAATTGGGTGCTTTATTTTTAACCAAGCCTTGAGCCTGGCTGATGGATATTCACGAATCCTTAAGACTAACCCTGGCCAACCTAGTTCTCTCCGTTTTTGGGAGTCAAAGTCCTTAGTTCGAGACGTTTAATCATGACTTACATTCTCGCGCCCGCTATTTATAAAGGGTATTGGGCGCTGGTCTTCCCTCCTCAACCAGAAGGAGCTATATCATACTTTGGGTCAGCCATTTGGGGATCTGTCGCCTGTCAAGTTCAGAACGCTGCTGTCAAAGCGGGGTGTGTTGATTTTTCCGGGGGTTTAGGTTGTAACAGGGCGAACTTGTGCTATCAATGATACAGCATGACGGCTCGAAGTTCCTTTCGTGACTTGCGCCGCGATAGGGCATTTGTGGTTGTTCATGTATGTAGCGTGTCGGGCACGAGAGGGCAGTATACAGGGACATATTTTCAAAAATCTTACGTATGTATCGTGTGACCGGCGGTGAGCTGGCAACTCTACGGGTGAGTCCTGATATGAATATCGAATTCTGATTTTGTATTTCGTGTCCAAACAGGACCTCGGGAGTAACTCGTTATATGATGAGCGGGGCGCCACCGGTTTGACTCACATAAAAGAACTCCAGAAGCCCACAGATGCTATGCTACTAGATCAGCCGGAGCGCTTCTCCATTTGACGTTTCGAATACGTATAAAAACCAGTTGCCCAACCGTACTTGGTGGCTGGCAAGGTTTTCTCCTTTCTGCCTCCTCCGTGACAATGGCTTCCACTTGCACGTACCAGTTCGATACTACCATTTACAAGGGTGCCGTTACATTCCCTACTCAACTATTCATCAATGGTGAATTTGTCGACCCCGTCAATAAGGGGACGATCGAGTGAGTGTTTATGATTAGTACAAGTGGTCAATGATTCTGACGGATTTCTTCAGTTTGATTAATCCGGGTATGACTCCCTGAGCATACAGCTTTTCATCATTTTGATACTAAGGTTAAACTAGCTACTTGCAAGGCTATTGCCCGAGTTTCACTCGGAGACCATGAAGACATTGAGATTGCAGCACAAGCAGCAAGAGCAGCATTCAAGGAACACTGGGGTTTAAAGGTGTCCGGGGAAGCTAGAAGCAAACTGCTTCACAAGCTCGCTGATCTTGTCGATGCCAACACTGACCAAATTGCTGCTCTCGAGGCCCTTAACGTCGGTCAGTCACTGGCAGGCACCCCCTATTAATTGGATCACACTGATCCGCTTCTGCTAGGCAAGACCTTCCACGCGGCCAAGGCAATGGATTTGCCAATTACAGGTTCTCTTCTACGCTACTACGCCGGTTGGGCTGACAAATTACAGGGGAAGAGTATTCAGGTATGTCTATCGATAATTGCAACACAAAACCCCCTTTCTGACGAGTTTAGACAACCCCTGACAAGATTGGTTTTACTCGTCACGAGCCTATTGGGGTAGTCGTGAGTAAATAATCATCTCATTACGTTGTAAACTGGATGTTCACGAGCACATGGCAGGGCGCAATCGTTCCGTGGAACTTTCCCTGTCGGTATCCAAGCTTATGAGGCTATTTTCTACTCACCCCGTGTCTTCTAGTGAGCACGCTTATCATGAAACTAGCCCCCGCACTCGCTTGCGGAAATACCATCGTAGCGAAGCCTTCTGAGTTCACACCTCTCTCCGCACTCTACTTATGCACATTGATACGAGAAGCCGGTTTCCCACCCGGAGTAGTCAACATCGTGCCCGGCTACGGTGACACCGCGGGTCAAGCGGTTGGTGAAAGCATGATAATCGACAAGGTCGCATTTACTGGGAGTACTCTCACGGGTCGAAAGATCATGGAAGCAGCTGCAAGAAGCAACCTGAAGAAAATCAGCCTCGAGCTGGGTGGAAAAAGTCCGAGTATCATTTTTAATGATGCGGACGTTGATCAGGCTGTCAAGTGGGCTATAAATGGCATTTTGTGCGTTTTCGGTTCTTTTCCTCTCATGTCTTGTTCCTGAAGGTCACGAAGCATGAACCAAGGCGAGCTCTGTGTTGCAGGGTCCCGGATTTACGTGCAAGAAGGCATTTATGATGACTTTCTGCAAAAGTTCACAGAGAGTGCTCAGTGTCTTTCTGTGGGCGATCCATTTTCCCCGGACACGTTTCAGGGGCCTCAGATATCTGAGAGACAATTCAAAGTGAGTGCGCAGTTGAACAGCCTATAACAAATACCGATATCCGACGTAAGCGTGTCATGGATTACATCAAATCCGGCCAAGCAGAGGGTGCAACTCTTCGCCTTGGTGGCGAACGGTATGGCACAGAAGGTTATTTCATACAACCTACGATCTTCACGGACTGCACACCCAACATGAAGATTGTGCAAGAAGAAATATTTGGTCCAGTAGCCGCAATTATGAAATTCTCCGCAGAAGAAGGTGCGCTGATATTTCATGTTCCCGTTGGTAACTCATTTTACGGCGTCAAAGAGGTGATTGAACAAGCGAACAATACCACATATGGACTCGCGTGTTCGGTTTATACGAAGGACATTGATAGAGCAATGCGTGTGGCAAGCAACATCGAGGCAGGCACCGCGTGGGTGAGTGTGAGATAGTTCTCGCAACGTTCAAGTCAGCTGATCACCAGGTCCGGGTTCATAGGTGAACTTCAGTAATTGGCCGGACCTTGGATTGCCAGTTGGTGGGTTCAAGCAATCTGGTATGGGCAGAGACCTAGGCGAAGATGCTCTTGAGAAGTAAGTTAATTTCTTATCTGATCGACGCCCGATGATCTTACCCAGCCTACAGTTACACTAATGTCAAGGCGGTGCACATTAACATTGGGATTAAGATCTAATCCAGTAAACTCAGGCAGTGTACTCCAATACCTCACCCTGACCGCATGATCCCCGGACCGTCATAGATTAGCGAAGCAGTGAACGAAGGAAATGTTACTAGCCAATAAAGATCATTGCTTGAGCACACTGTCTCCATTCCGAATTGGAGCTTCTGTTGATGTAATGTGCGTGTCCTTGCCCCGAGGATCAATGAGTGCTGGTTCTACGACGTAAAAGCCCGGGCTTGTGTGCCTTCAATTACCCCAGTGCTTCTCAAACTCTTAGATATATAGTCGTCTGAAGGCTGAAAGAAAGCCATTCACAAAATGCCCATCCGTACCTACATCTTCAAAGTTGATCTTCTTGAGTCTCGAGACCCACAAATCTCGAGGACCTTTTCCATACCCGCATCATGGACGTTTCAAAAGCTTCATGCCGCGATCCAGCACGTCTTCCTCTGGCAGAACGAGCATCTCCACGTGTTTTCGTTTCAAATTCCAATTGGAGGGGGCATCAACAAAGTCGTATCGATACAAGATACAGACATGATGGGGCGGGATGATGAAGAGGGGCCTAACGACATCGTCCTGGATGAGAAAACTGTCAAGCTCAAGGACGTATGGGACAAAAACGGGAGGTATCGCGGGGACGTCACCAACAACGGAACCCTAGGGGGCTGCTTCTATGAATATGACTTTGGTGTAAGTGATACCACGTTGTGAGATGATCCGAATTTGACCAAACCATTTTCATAGGATGCTTGGGAACACGAAATTACTTTGTTGGCCGTTAGCACGTCTAATGTCAAGGAAGTCTCGGTTCTCGAAGTATCTGGTTGCGCACCCCTCGAGAACAGTCACGGAGTCCTGGGATGGGAGGGCCTAAAAAGAGCCTTTGCAGATCCAAACCCCGATGACTTGTGCCTTGAAGCGAGGAGGTTATCGTGGCTTGTTTCGCCTCTCGGTGGTGCATTCCACCCCGCTGTAGCGCCGACTATAGAGCAGCTCAATGCACCTGGGCTATTCGATAAGCGATTCAGGCAGATTCGCAAGGGCATTCTATGATGAATGACAAGGTCTCGTTTCAGAGGCCTTTGGTTGTTACGGTATTATCGGATTGCGCTCGGATTGCGCTCCGAGTCCACACTACGGCATTACGTATAGTACGAGGACGGAACTCACTGGTCACCATCCACGTTAATTACAACGTACTTAGATGCCTGTAAAATAGCCAGAGCTGCAGCGTACTTGCTTGCTGCTGGCACTGCTATGTAGTATTAGAGGGATACCCCATCCTAATGGCCACGGTATATTCGCTAATTCTGAATCTAGATCTTGAGATCCCGGTGCTTCGCCAAGTGTGAGCCTTTGTATTCATATAACGAATCGGACCATATGATGTGATAGTCGGTGAGTAGAAGAGACTCAAGCGCTGAGAGTTGGCACAGGAAACAACACGATGTTGGTGGCTGGTGACCGCATAGAGTCCGCATATATAGGATCCGATGCGAGAGGCCCCTCCCCCTGTATAACTAGATTAGGCAATATCAATCTCTTGTCATGAATTTACGTCTATCCTTTCACCTCCACATTGTGATCCAAGTTTCACTCTCAGGATGTCTAATCACACTCTTCTGGATCACATAGTTTCACAGACCAGGCAGAATGTCGAGTTGTTGATGTCTCATAACAAGATATCTCCATCGGATGGCCGCGATATTCTACTCAAGCTTCCTAGCACTGGGGTGGCAGGATCAATGATAGCAATCACACAGCAAACGCAGCGCCTTTCAATATCTCCGGCGCCCGCTCAGAGCCTCATGATAAACAATAATGCTGGCTTGCGTGTGTCGCCAAAGTTAGAAGCCCGTGCGATCTGGGACTGGGAAAGCGAGGTGTATATCACATCTGCATTTAGGCGCTGCGGATTTGCTAAAGCCATGACAGGATCCCAATGATCTATCGTTCCATGCCGGAGATATCATAGAAATCGTGAAAGAGACCAACGTAGATTGGTGGACAGGTCGAATCAAGTCGGGGAAGCAGGGCCTATTTCCTTCCACATACGTGGAGAGACTGGCTCCGCGGTCTGTCTCTCCACCACCAATGTCTTTCCCTGAATTTCAAAAGACAGGGACATCATCGGATTCGAAGTATGGTTTGGCCTCGGAGCCCAAGTACATGCCTCCAGGTCTTCCAGGCCCTCCACAGTATTCTTCACCACAGCCTGTGCAACAACCATACCCGCCGCCACCTGGTCCACCACCTGGACCTCCAACCGGTGGTTATCCTGCCCCTCCAGCCAGTGGTTATCTTTCTCCTGGTCCTCCTGTAGGAGGTTATCCGCCTCCTTCCGGACCTCTCGTGCCTCCTTATAATTCTTATTCGGGAAATCCTCCAGTGGCTCAGCCAGTTCCTCAGCAGCCCCCAAAGAAGGGTCGTTTCGGAAATCTTGGCACTATGGTAGGTCTACCGCGCAGAAACTGTCTATAAATATTTATCAATATAATTTCCAGATGGCACAGTCGGCTGCTGGTGGTCTTGGGTTCGGTGCAGGTTCGCTTGCTTTATTTTTACGTCAAGTTGATACTCCTAACCATTCATATCTAGGTGCTGCCATCGGTGGTGATATCGTGAACTCAATTTTCTAGACTTCCTGCGTTGCACAGTTTACACAATTATCTATGCTACCTCTTTCTTGACTAGACTGGAGAATGAGCATGTTAAGTAGGTTGGTTCTGGTATTAGATGCTAAATTCAAACTCCGCGGCCATCTGTCACATTTACGTTTGTGCTTCTCCAGCCAAGCGCTAAGCGCTCCCCCGCAAAGACCAGAATGCCTGTTCGTATCTACACGTTCAAAGTCGAGCTCATCGGTTCTCGTAACCCTGTCATTTCTCGGACATTCTCCGTTCCCGCCTCTTGGACCTTCCAGCGGTTGCATGCAGCAATTCAGTACGCATTCAGCTGGCAAAACTGCCACCTCCATCAGTTCACGTTCGAACCCACGCGTCGTCCTCCGACACGTGAGGAGCGCCGTTTCATCTCGATGGATTATAGGGAAAAACTTGTTGTTATTCATATGGGAACACCGGAAGATGAAGATGACGACTGGGCCACATCGGCACGCGCGAGGCTCAGTGAGAAGGACGTCAAATTAAACGATTTCTTTGAGGATACCGGAAAGTATCGAAAGATGGCATTGAAAGATGGGGTTATGGGGAAATGCTACTACTTGTATGATTTTGGGGTACGTATCTTCCAGCTTTCATATGATCTAGGTCTCACCTTGTTCAAGGACAATTGGGAACATCAGATAACACTGATTTCTGCGGAGACGTACGCGTCTGGCGTCAAGGAACTGAAAGTCATCGAAGCCGCTGGTTGTGCCTCCGCTCGAGGATGCTGGTGGCATATACGGCTGGGATGAACTTAAGCGAGCTTTTGCAACCACGAACCCAAATAGCGCAATGCGTGACCGGAAACGTTGGGCTCGTGAAATTTCGCCGCTAGGCCAGGCCTTCAATTCTGCTGTGCAACCTCCCGCCGAAGAGTTGAACCGGAGAGTTCCTGAAGTTTCTTCGCGACGTTCGACAAGCCGCTGGTGATGGTAACAATCTTGCCGACGATCCAGATGACGAGGATCGGTAAGTTGGAGAGTAATAATGTATTCGCAACGACTGAGGTTTGGTGGCCTCAGATTTGACATAGAGTCGCTTCCGGCTATGCCCATGGAAGCATTGAAGTTTGGCAACTACGGCCCACCAATCAATGCGACTGCTGCGCAACGACGGTTCGTCGTGCATGAGGGTACTCATCCCTTGGATTTATTTGTACCTGCCATCAATGCGTGCACTGTCCGTCAACCACGGTTCATTCACACTGACGTGACCCGCCAGGACTCCGTTTTACTTTTTGTAGACGGTGCAGCTGTGAACGAGAACACTCCAAACGCGAGGGCGGGGTGTGGCGTGTACGTTCAACCCGGAACGGAGGGTTTTTCCATACCACTGGAAAATGTTCCGGGCCACCCGCGCACAAGAAATCGGGCTGAGCTGCGAGCTGCGATTGAGGCTGAGGGCACGGGTATGGCTTGGTGAAGGGTTCATGCGTATTGTCATCGGTACTCACGCAGAATACGTCGTCAACGGCGTGTGCAAGTGGGTACCGTCATGGGAGCAGAGAGGGTGGAAGACAAGTCGCGGGGAGGCGGTCAAAAATCGTGATCTGTGGGAAATGTTGCTCGCGGACATTGAAAAATGGGAAGCAATGGGGATCAGAGTGCAGTTCTATCTGCTGAAAAAGGAGTGGAATACTAAAGCGAGCGAATGTGCGAGACGAGGGGCGGTACGTCTGACTATGTCATCTTACCTATAAATTGCGTGCTGACTGTGGGGCTTACAGGAAGTGGTTGAAGTTCCAAATTCGTTTTCAGAGACAGTGTATATTTCCGTGGCGTAGGTTTTTCTCCTGCTTTCGGGCCTCCTAAGCTTTGAAATGATAAGAATCGAACGGGACCCTCTTTGATGGTGGCCGCAGTACTAAATGACTAATAGGAAGTAACACAGCTTTACTTTTGGAAAGTTGGGAAAGCGAGTCAAGATTTAGGCCTTGCGTGTGGTCCTGAGAAAGTCTCAGATGACGAACTGATCAGCGTTAATGTTTGAACTACTCGAAAGATTCGGTGCTAAAGGTAGTAATCCGGGGACCGGGGGCGCGTGTGAGGCGAATTTCAAATTGGCAGTGTCACGTGCGTGTCACAGACTGATTGCTTACTGATCAGCGTCACGCCGAGTATTGCTAATGGATTAGATTTCCCGCCAATGAAATGTGGCTTGGTTGTACTAGCTCCTCAGCTTACTCACTTTTCAGCATCTGTGCTGTCCGTAACATCCGGGTTTCTCACCTTTCCTTCCGCCTTTTAACCCGAACAATTTGACGCTGGTGTAGGACCCTTACCCTTCACCTGTAATATCTACTACTTCAGTCATTTCCACTGTGCCCTCGTCCCCGATCGTGTCTGCTTCGAATAACAAGTCCAAGAGCGGACCATTAATCCTTCTATCATAAGGATGTCTGATTCAGATTCTACCCTGTCCCCTGAACCTCAGCGTACTATCAAAATCATCTTCATCTCGGATTATGTACGTCTACCTTCTTATTCTCTTTGCATGTTCCATGGTTCCCATTTCTCATCATTGGCCGGCACTTAACAGGTCTGCGCATTTTGCTACATCGGGAATAAGTCGCTCAAAGACGCTATTGCCGCATGTCGTGACTTGGATGTACGTTTCGACGTGGAATTCCGGCCATTTACTCTCCTCTGCCAATCATCCGTACCCGAGGTCCCCAAAGTGAAAGGTGAAAAAGTGCCCAATCGCAGGGATTACCTCGTTCGGAAGCTTGGTAAAGAGCAAGCGGAAAGCAAGTGGAAAATGATCGAGGAATTGACGACAGAAAGCTGGCTTACCGCTGTAAGCATTTTTAGCATGCGGCAAACGTTTTCTTCTGATACAATGGATTAATAGTGCAGAAGACGGGATTGTGGCCCGGTCTACTCTTGCCCACAGACTTTCTGTGAAAGCATATAAAGTTGGCGGGCAAGCCATGCAAGGCCACCTCAACGATATTCTATTTAAAGCCGCTTTCGCCGATTGCCAGGACGTTAGTGACGTCGAGTTTCTTGCTGATGCAGCAGAGAAAGTTGGCTTGATGGACAAGACAGAGGTGCGGTTCAATGTAAAACTCAATCAGCAGTCATGATGACCCAGAATTGCTGCAATGTGCAGGCTATTACTTTCTTGCAAGATACCGATTGCAAGAACTGCGTCAATCAAATGATTGATGCTGCTCGGGCGAGCGGTGTGAATGGCGTGCCCTCCATCATAATTGATGGTAAATGGGCTTTGAATGGCGTACAATCTACAGAGTGTTACCTTCAGGTTAGTAAGACTCATTCATTTCATATACCCTATTAGTAAGCTCGTCTGGGTGCTGATTTTATTGCTTATAGATTTTGCGGAAAATTGCACAATCGTCGTCAATGACGGAATGCGCATCGGTCGTCTCAGTGGAATCATAACAGATTTTACGCAGTTTCCTTTCTTTCTTTTCCGCTCATACCGTGCTTCACGACCTCGATTTCTGCGTGCAGGTCGTGGTCCTCGCTTTGGATTAATTATATGGACCACTTGCGCAACCTCGCGTAGGAAATTCAGTATGGAAGGGCCTGTTGCATTTCTTACTTTTTTCCTTGCTCTTTGTACCATGTTGTGTGTTGTATCGTATCGCTGTCTTTATCAGCGAACGCGTGTTTGTCTTCCTTCTATGCTATGGTATCCATTCCTTTACCTTGTTAGTCCTGTTCTTATAACGGCTACCATGAGGGTGTAACGTTTGACGTCCATTTCCTCTGTTTCATTTGACACGGGACTAACCCTCTTCAACGTTATTATCCTTTACCGTCTCGCGAAGTTCGGCAGTCAGTCCACTGATCTGGTCGAGCTTCCCATACACCTGTATCAATTAAACTTGCTATCGTCAACATAGTCACTTTATTCAGCCTTATCCCTGATAGGTAATCGTCTGCAACCGTGCAAAGCGGAGTCTTCCAGAAGATAACGGTCAAGGCAACAGACTTCTCGTTTAAGGCTTCCGATTGGTGTCAATGGGAACACTCTAAAACCGGAAGGAGGCATCAGCACGCAGGCGCCAGTTGGAGAATGCCACCTCCTTCCTGTTTCATAGTGGAATGGGGTTCAATTGCTCCCCTACTAGGAACCTATCTGTGGATTCCAGGAGATGAAACAGTATGACATGGTTGGTCAATAATAAATCGGTCTGGATCCGTAAACTATGATCACACGTTGAAGATAAACCGGTCCCGTTACCCATGCGCCGCACGGTCGAGCGTCAGGTACATAGGTACCTCAGATTGTTGCCCAAATGCGCCGGCTGATGATTGGGCAAGGTGAATAACCTAGACTGGCCTACGATGGCCTTAAGGTGCTGCGATTCCACAGATAAGTTCCAGATCCATGGATCAACTATACCAGTTGGGCCAACCAGCCTGCAGGTCGCATTAATATTCATCTTCTTTGAAAGCATGGGGATTGTGCTACTCAAGAAACTTCATGAGCAGTATCTGTGTGAAAAGCAACCCACGGATTGTTTGAAATGAATACGTCACTGGACCAATTGATAACGAACTAAATTGCAGAAGTCTTGGATCAGAGATGGAAGATTCGGGGTGCGCAAACACAGGCCCAAATTATCTTGGCAGAGATCTGAGAGGTTCTCGAGGAGCCAACAAGGAGCTGTATCGAAGGCGTGTTCGATACAGTCCGAGAGGTGTACAAACAGAATCAGCCTCGTGTTGCCTTTGGGTGTTCAGTAACGTATACATGTGCTAGTACAACGTATATGAAGCGGACAACGATTACTTGTTGAAATATCTTGAGCACGGTTTGTAAAGTGCACGAGAAACATACCACAATGTATGAGATCACGCTGGAGATTGATCCCAGTCATTCTATCCAATCGTTCAGGATATCCTCCAGCTCGTTCCGAACGCCATCGCGTGATACGTTGCTGCCGATAATATTGGAGGCTTTAAGCCTCTCGAGAGCGGCAAGCACCCAGTTCTGACAATTCCAGTTTTCTCTGCCTCGATAAACAGTTACTTGTTGAAGCAACGTGCCTATCTCCTTTTCCGAAAACACATCAATCTCTCCGACCACCAGGCAACCACGATAGCCTTCGGCAAGAATTTCCATGCATTCATCTTCGATGCAAGAGTAGGTAAAGGTGTCTATGTTGCCAATTGCTTGGTAACAAGTCCCCCAGTGATCTACTTGATCTGAATGCTCTTTCCCAGAGCAGCTGGCTTTGATCGAATCGGGATTTGCGTTGGAGATCGCAAAGAGTGCCCAGTGAAGTGGCATCCTGTTACCATTGGAATCGCGTCCGCGCCAATATTGTGCAACACACAGAGTTCTTTTCTCAGACAGACCATTGTCTTCGCCCATGATAGTAGAAGGAAAGTCGTGTGGCTGGCATAATGCATTACGATACCTGTACATGTATTAGGTTCCCGCGCCACCGCTTGGCTGACGCCAGATAACCTGGTTTGGGAACATCCCCCTTGGTTGACGTTTTTCAATCGAACATATCACACCTCTGTTCCTCACCATCACATCGGCAACAGGATTATGACCCTCTTCGTTCCATTGGAGGCAAGTTCGCCTCCTCCCCCGACACCATCATTTCTGGTGCATTCTGAAACCCCAAACTTGCACCTGCGAAGAGCTATCAAGGCCATCCTGAAGGCCAAACGGCTGGTTGTTGTGTGTGGTGCGTTTTCCGACCGTTGGAAAATTCAGTTACCGTCGTCTTAGTCAAACTGACCTTGTACCAGGTGCTGGTATATCAGTTTCTGCTGGAATTCCAGACTTTCGCTCAGAGTCGGGTCTCTTTCAAACACTGAAACGAGACAACCCGAAAGAAGCATTGTCTTCGGGGAGAGACTTGTTTGATGCGTCAGTATTCAACGTGAGTTATCGTTTGTCCATGTTCGATTTTCCTAGATTTCGCATGGAAAATCTCTATTGCCTCATATTGCCTCAACCATCACGCGTGCTTAATACTCATGGATGTCGACGGGCTTACACACGTTTAATAGAATGAACATACGACATCAATGTTTTGCCAAATGATAGCTCAATTATCCGAGCTCTCGCAAGCAGCCAGCCCCACGCCTTTTCATCAAGCATTGCGGTCGCTTGATGACAGGGGCAGGCTCCTGCGTGTCTACACCCAAAATATCGATGCTATCGAGTTGAAATCTGGTCTTTCCTTTGGTATCCCGGAGTTCGATAAGAGACGAGCAAAACCGAGATCTAAGCCGAAATCGACTGGTCCTCCCATCACTGATCAGTCTGCGATATCTACTAGCGCTCATTGTTCGCAAGATAGCCCGCCGATGACACCGGGATCAAGATATATGTCTCCTGTTGTTGAGGTCCCTCGTTGCATTCCGCTACATGGAACGCTGCAGACGCTGCATTGTCAAACATGCATGCACACATTTCCACTCGGGAATTACGTGTCTTCCCTAACGTCAGGAACACCCCCATATTGCCCCGAGTGCACCCAAATGGAAGAGACGCGTCAACTTGTCGGAAAGCGAGCCCGAGGTGTGGGAAAGTTGCGACCCAGTGTGGTTCTTTACAACGAACTACATAAAGATGGGGAGGGTGTGGGCGAAGTTGCGAGGAGGGATCTTGTTGGATGTTCCAAAGGCAAGGGGCGGAGCGGTGTGGATGCTTTGCTTGTGGTTGGCACGAGTTTAAAGGTTCCAGGCACCAAACGCATGGTTCGTGAATTCTCGAAGGCGGTACGCGCCCGAGGGTGCACTACGTCGAAGGATACAACGTCCGCGTATACAGGTCTTGCGACACCGGCACCTTCTCCCGGCAAGGGATCAGCTACATCGACAGACGACTCTCCCATCAAGTCTATCTATTTGAACTTTGATTTTCCAGGGCCGACGCGAGAATGGGAGGGCGTCTTTGATGTGTGGTTACAAGGAGACGCTCAAAGTTTTGCGGAGCTCTTGAAGGAAGAAATCGCAAAAGAGGCTGCCGAAAAGGAAGCTGCATTAGAGAGAAAACGTAAACGGGAAGAGGAAGTCACTCACTTAGAAGGCTCAGAAGAAGCAGGTCTTCCGAAGAAGAAGAAAGCAAAGACAGAGAACCGGAACCCTGAAAAACCTACTTCAAAGCGGACACCCAAAGGCTTGGAGACTCCTGTTCGTCCTCGGAAGCCCAAGAGTAAACGTCGAGAAGACATGAACATCGGTGCACCATCCGCCCCGAAGATAACGCTCGGCAGCTCGAAACTTATCATACGAATTCCACCCCTGAAAGGCCGTTACGTTCCCGAGGTATGCATCACCACTCCTGTACCGCGGGGGCTCAAAGCGGTGCAATGTCCTTGCACTCCCCCTGCGACCCACATTAAACATCGGGTGACTTCTTTATCGTCTCATCCGGACTACCCACCTTCAGACACCACGGAGATAGGATATGATGAAAGCGATCTCTCCGAGTTGTCTGCTGATGAGGTGTCAGACGAACTTCCTAGAACTGCGACACGGACTGCACATTAATATGGACTTCGGGTCACAGGAGGATAATAATATCTTGTATTATCTTTATTATATTTATGTATCGTACGCTACACGCCACGTTGACTTTTGGACATTCACGATTAGTTAGCAGCTGTTGCCCATGGGACTGCTTGTGGGATTTCAGTGTTATTCTTTCCATTAATTGTGACGCATGACTTAATGTTGTCATGTGTCGTATAAACTTTGTTATCAAGCTGACAAGAAGTAGACACTCCTTACTAATTAATGCTCATCATCGTGAATAATCCGTCCGCCATCATCGATGCTTTCTTGCTCATCAAGATGTTTCATTTTATTATATAGGTAGCAAGGTTGGAGGGTTCTAGCCAGCGCGATTCTACCACCACAATTTCTTTGCAATGTCTCCCCAACAGAAAGCTCTTTTACTTCCGAAAAAGCAGGGCAACTTTGAGATTGGCTCCCGCAGCATCCCCAGTCCTGGTGCTGGGGCGCTCTTGGTCAAGATTCACTCTGCTGCTCTGAACCCGGTTGACTACAAGATCAAGGACCTCGGGTTTTTCGTGACCGATTACCCTGCAGTTCTGGGGTCGGATATTGCTGGCATTGTCGAGGAAGTAGGGGAAGGTGTCGACAATTTCCGCAAAGGCGATAGAATGTTAGTATGATAATTCTTTTCCTTGGGTTCGCCCTGTATGCATAGGCTCAACCTTGGTTTACAGATTGGCGCATGGCAAATTCAGTAACGACTTTGCTGCGTTTCAGCAGTATACCTTGACCGATGCGAGGTTTACAGCAAAGGCAAGTTACGAAAAGGTTCATTGAGCACATCGTCATCCACATTCCATTCCAGATTCCTTCAAGCGAATCTTTCGATAGCGCGGCGACTGTTCCTCTGGGGTTAGATACTGCGCTGGTGGGGTTGCATGGAAATCATTTTGGAGCAGGGTTAACCCCTCCTTGGACGAAAAGCGTTGGCGAATCAAAGAAACCTATTGTCGTCATTGGCGGTTCTTCCTCTGTAGGTTTATACGGTAAGCGTAGTGGGACTCGCCTATTCGACCGCATGCTGACAGTTTTACAGCTATCCAACTTGCTCGTCTGTCGGGATTTTATCCTATCATTACTACAGCCTCTCCGAGTAATGAAGAACTTGTCAGGAAGTACGGCGCAACCCACTTTTTTGATCGCAACCTTTCCGGCAAAGAAGTGAAGGCCGCCATCAGCAAAATTACTGACAGCGCTATCGGAATTGTTTATGATGCCATCTCGTTGCCAGAAACACAGTCCGTTGCATGGGAATTACTTGCAAACGATGGTACCCTCGTATTAACCCTTCCTGCATCAGTCAAGGAGGATGAAGGCAAGGGGCGCAAGGTCATCTCGACCTTCGCGGGTCCACATGACCCCCAAAATGAAGAGCTGTGCAGCAGCTCCTGGGCTGTAGTCGAAAAGTGGCTTTCAGAGGGTACTATACAGGTTTGTTCTGCGACCATTGTTGTGGTTCTATGTCTCACTTTTATGTAGCCGAACAAGTATGAGGTTCTCCCGAACGGGCTTGAAGGTATCATCGGAGGACTGGAAAGGATGAAATTGGGACAGGTGTCTGGAACGAAGTTGGTTGCGCATCCTCAGGAAACACAGTAAATACAGGGTTGTCGACTTATTCCGCGATGCCGAGTATCACGTTGTTTGCATTGAGCTCAATGACACGATATAATTGTGCAATACAACAGCTGTCACAATTTCTAGTATGTACTGGGCAATGTCGCGAGGAGAGCTCTTACTGGAAGTTCGAAGATGTGAAGAGAAGGGGCGGAGCGACGTGGTCAGTGCTCTGCTTGTGGTTGGCACGAGTTTAAAGCAGCAAACGGATGGTTCGTGAAGGAAGAAATCGCAAAGAGAAGCTCCGATTTGCAAGGAAGCCGCCAAACTCCTTGCACTCTCCCCGCGACTCAGTACTCAACGTTGGAACTAGTGGGGGACCACTAAGCGTCACACCCAGGCGAGAGCTTAGTCAGCCACTTCAAGTTGTACTAATACATCGCTCTTCACCAAAGTTCTTGCCTTGCCCGTGACACGCAGGGCCGCACACAGTTGCGGATATACCACTCCCACATCAAACAATGGATTACATCTTTGTTGCCTCATTTGAACTACCCACCTTCAAGCTTCAGACGTTGCAGAGGCAGGATCCTGGATATGACGAAATCGATCTCTCCGGGTTGTCAGACCCGTTGTCTGCAGGTGATGAGCTAGTGGCAGACGAACTTCATAGGCTGCAATACGGACTGCACAATATGTACTTTGGGCCACAGGAGGGTGACAACACCTTGTACTATCTTTATTTCAAATATTTGTGTTACACGCCACGTCGATTCCGCTGTTGCCGATTTCAGCGTGCTACGTGTCGTCGAAGAGACCGTAACACACCTACGCGAGACTCCTGCTATTTCTAGCGTCGCATATCATGCGCATTGCATGTGGCATTATTCCGCAGGGCACAGCTTGTTATTAAGCTGATGCTACAGGAAGTACTTACTAACACCCGTCATTTGCCAGCCGTAATCATGAATAATCCATGATGCTTTCGTCCTCATCAAGAACTTTCACTTTATTATATATAGGTAGCAAGGTTGGAAGGCCCCCAACCATCGTGACTCTATCCACCACATCTCTTTCGCATGTCTCCCCAACAGAAAGCTCTTGTTCTTCCGAAAAAGCAGGGCAACTTTGAGATTGGCTCACGCAGCATCCCCAGTCCCGGAGCTGGGCAGCTTCTGGTCAAGATCCAATCTGCTGCGCTGAACCCGGTTGACTACAAGATCAAGGACATAGGGTTTTTCGTGACTGATTACCCTGCCGTTCTGGGCACGGATATTGCTGGCATTGTCGAGGAATTAGGGGAAGGTGTCGACAATTTTCGTAAAGGCGATAGAGTGTTAGATAATTCTTTTCCTTGGGTTCGCCCTGAATGCATAGGCTCAACCTCGGTTTACAGATTGGCGCATGGCGATTTCACTAACGACTTTGCTGCGTTTCAGCAGTATACCTTGACCGACGCGAGGTGCACAGCAAAGGTAAGTTATGAAAAGGTTCATTAAGCACATCGTCATCTACATCCCATTCCAGATTCCTTCAAGTGAATCTTTCGATAGCGCAGCTACTGTTCCTCTGGGGTTGGATACTGCACTGGTGGGATTGTACGGAAATCATTTTGGAGCTGGGTTAACCCCTCCTTGGACGAAAAGCGCCGGCGGTCACGAATCAAAGAAACCCATTGTCATCCTTGGCGGTTCTTCTTCTGTGGGTTCATACAGTAAGCGTAGTGGGACTCGCCTATTCGACCGCATGCTGACAGTTTTGCAGCTATCCAACTTGCTCGACTGTCAGGATTTTATCCTATCATTACTACAGCCTCTCCGAGTAATGAAGAACTTGTCAGGAAGTACGGCGCAACCCACTTTTTTGATCGCAACCTTTCCGGCGAAGAACTGAAGGCCGCCATCAGCAAAATTACTGACAGTCCTATCGGAATTGTTTATGACGCTATCTCATTGCCAGAAACACAGTCTATTGGATGGGAATTACTTGCAAACGATGGTACCCTCGTATTAACCCTTCCTGCATCAGTCAAGGAGGATGAAGGCAAGGGGCGCAAGGTCATCCAGACCTTCGCGGGTCCACACGCCCCCCAAAATGAAGAGCTGTGCAGCAGCTCCTGGGCTGTAGTCGAAAAGTGGCTTTCAGAGGGTACTATACAGGTTTGTTCTGCGACCATTGTTGCTGGTTTCTATGTCTCACATTTACTATGTAGCCGAACAAGTATGAGGTTCTCCCGAACGGGCTTGAAGGTATCATTGGAGGACTGGAAAGGATGAAATTGGGACAGGTGTCTGGAACGAAGTTGGTTGCTCATCCTCAGGAAACACAGTAAACACTGGGTTGTTGACTTATTCCGCGATGTCCGAGTATCACGTTGTTTGCATTGAGCTCAATGACACGATATAATTGTGCAATAAAATAGGCGTCACAATTTCTAGTATGTACTGGGCGATGTCGTGAGGAGAGAGAGCTCTTACTGGAAGTTCGAAGATGTGAAGAGAAGGGGCGGAGCGACGTGGTCAGTGCTCTGCTTGTGGTTGGCACGAGTTTAAAACACCAAACGGATGGTTCGTGAAGGAAGAAATCGCAAAGAGAAGCTCTGACTTGCGAGGAAGCCGCCAAAACTCCTTGCACTCTCCCCGCGACTCAGTACTCAACGTTGCAACGTTGGAACTAGTAGTGGGAGACCACATCAGGAAAAACCAAAAATCATGGGAGTCCCTGTGACAGCTACATAGTGCTATGGAGCTACAGTAGTGCTATGTAGGCAACCAGGTTACTCTATAGTTCTATGTAGCCGAAGTCAGAGCTATGTAGAGCTACAAGAGGTGCCAGGAGTAACCTGTAGTAACTGTAGCAAATATTCACTACTGTAGCACATAGTAGTATTAATCATCAGGTAACCGACCCGAAAATGATACATTCTTAGAAAGCTTTATCTGATCCAAAATATGTAAAATATCTATCAGAATTGTACCCTGCCTGAGAAAGCCATACATATAGTGCTGCCGTGGTCCGGTTCGGTCAGGTTCACAGAGGGATGAGCGAGAATCAAGAACCGGACCTAGGTCCGGTTCTACTAGACTCGACGAACCCCGAACTGCAACCTTTACGAACGGTTCGGAATGGTCAGGTCCGGTTATTTTCACGTTCGAACGTGAACCGAACCCAAATTTTTTTACAGTGAGCAAAAAAAAAACGTAGATATTTTACAGCGCGCAAAAAAACGTAGATAGAACTTGTACTCGTAGCTACACATCCAACACAAGCTGCTTCTTGCCTCAACCTTTGTGGAAACATGGCCATTCTTGTATGCTGCATTCAATAGCTGCAGCGAGCTGAATGTGGATGCTGCGAGTCCATTGCGTTGAACAGTAGAAGTGATCCCTCCGCTCGAAAAAGCCTGTTCGGAGGGGACGGAGCTTCCTTGAATAGGCAAGTAGTCCTCGTGCAATGCGTGCTAGAGTAGGATACTGCAATGAGTGAAGCTAAGGAACAATTTAAGTAGCAAATAAACAGGTCATGATGAGATTACTTACTCCCCACCAGGCAACAATGTTGTCAGCTTCCCTCTAGCGGCGAAGACAGATACATCGTGAGTTCTTGATGAGGATTATGAGCACGTTGGTCTGCGGCTTGATGGGTTTTGATGGCCTCGCGCATCCATGCGTCACCATAAACCGATTTTCCATGCAAGGGTCTTGTTGGCGGAGCGGGTTCTTTGGCAGGTGCCCGAGTTGGCGGTTTATAATACTTGTCAAACTATAAACATAAGTTCAGGAAGGATAATGAGCAGTCAGAACTAATACTACTTACCACAGCCTTGAGGTGAGCCCTCCCATTCGCAACATCTCGAGTGTCCCATCGATCTTCGACATAGGCAAGTTTGTAGTTGGGGTCAAGGACTATGAATATAATTAGATGTGCACGCAACATAGAAAATAATATTAATGCTTACCGAGACAAATGAAATATACATTGGAGTCATTCGTTTTCTTGTAGTACTTGTCGACGTTCTTGAGTCCTTGCTTGATTGCATCTGCAATCGGCACATACTGGTCATCGTTTGCCATCTCTTGCCACCGGTCCGCAAGGCATTCCAATGTTGGGATCGTTTGCGACGCAGTTGGGTGTTTTGCAGACAAGAATGACTGCTGGGCAGTAGCTGGTTCCTTCAGGACTTGATGAACGAGCGCGAGGTGTTTCCAATCGTTCCGATCGAGCTTGAAATCATTGTAAGACTTGTTGTGAAGATTCGGTACTTCTTTACTTTCGTCGGCGAGGTTCGTGAAGCGGTTCACAGCCTGTTCAATTATAGATATCAAACTGATGAACACTGATTAAAAAAAAAAGACTTACCCGACATAAGAGTAGCATGCGATCAAGACACTTGTATAGAGAAGCCAACAAGTCCTAATCCACTGCAATAACTCGAGCGCAGGGACGTTCTCTTCTTTGCAGGCCTTCTTGAAGAAGGCACGAGCTTGAGGCGATTTTCGAATCTAACAATACCAGTCAGTAAGAGTATAGAATAGTAATGTAGTACTTACCTGCTCAATGAGCACAAGGGCTTTACCAAGTGAATCAACAGTGTCGAACACATCATCCTTCTCGCAATCACCATTTACTTCCATGGCTGCGAGCTCCTTATTCAAAATGTCGAGCTCATTGTCGTTCCCCGTATCGAGCGCCTGACGGATCTTCTTCATAAGCGCAGCTTGAGGAGTGGGTGCAACGGCATCTACAAAGTGTCGTGCAGCAAGGTTCAGTATGTGCTCCTGGCATCTGATGCGGTGCATGGCAGGTATCCACTGGACACCCTCTGGATCAATTTCATGAGCGACCTCCTTCATTGTGGTATCGTTGTTGCTCGCATTGTCAGAGGTCATCCACCCAAGCTATATGAATCATTAGCCTTGCTGCAGGATAGTAGGCCAGACCTTACCTTTTCTTGGAGGTTGTATGTGTCAATCGAGTTGATAAGCATACAAGCGATGTTTTGCCCGCTGTGATTGCCCTCGATATGTGCAAAACTAAGCTGCTCGCGATGTAACTGTTAAGACCGTACTCAAGTCGTATCGGATCTGAAGGGCTTCGGCCTCAGCTCATGCGCTGTGCCCCTTTCCCGAGTCTTGCCCCTTATTTCAGGGTGCTAGAGTTTCGCGTCTAGTGAGACGGATAAGTATCGTAACGGATCTGTTAAGGCTTCTGGATTTCGAACGTATAGAGTAACAGCTAATCCGGATCGGATCCGAACTAGAAACTAACGGGTGAAGACTGTCCAAAGACAGAGACGGATATATAGACTTATAGGAATCAATCCTAAGTCTCGGAGTAGACAAGAGTATCGTACTCAAGTCCGGACGGATAACGGAGGGACTTAGAGTCCAGGCAGAATGAGTGCAATCTAAGATGATATTCGAACTGATCTACTACAGCGCATATACAAGGGTTTATATACTACGGATAACTAACGGAATGATCAATAAGCAAAGGTGCAAGGCTATGTACGAAGTATAAGCAAAGTATGTGTACAGCATATTGGTAAGTCGGACGGATAACGTATCATAACCGGGAATGAAGTATAAGCTAAAGCGGATCAGTAAGTGTAGCGGATCAGTAAGCATAATGGAAGTAAAGGATAACCGGTATACCGGTGTACAGGAATGCCGAAAGGAGATGAACGATAGTTAGAGTTATATGAACAGGACATGAAACAAGGATTAGATCGGATCTGTGGACTGGACGACGGATATGTCCATCGGATCTGGATCGGATCTGAGATCCGGATCTTCGGATCTGTACCCAGGAATATGGTATATGACAGTAACTCCCATTGCTGGGGTTTATCATCTGGATTCCAAATATAGTGACTGGTGATGGATAAAAATGGGTCGCCGATGATCGAAGTCCAGGAGTTGAATGTCATAGAGACTTTGCTATCAACTTTCGCAAGACGCTCATGTATGACATTGACTATGGCTTCTGCGCGTGCCTTGATGGTCTCAGTGAGCTTCGTGCGGTGAGGGATGTCATGTTCAGTAAGGCCAGAGCAAACATAGCGAAGTAGGTTTCGGAATGCTGGTTTGTCGACCAGCTGTAGTGCCTCGTCTTCGGTCACAATGAACTCCATTATGTACTCTAGGAGACCGGCCTTGGTGAATGTAGGCACTTTGGCGACGAATATACTATCAAGGGTAGATTGCCTCGAACTGTCAATTATTTAGCACCGTGTTATACAAAAGGTTAGTTAAAACTCACAGCGCCTGACCCTCGTCAGCTGGAATAGCGCGAGGGTGCATTGCAATTCCTGCAGCTTGACAATGAGCCTTGTAGAGTTGAAAGTTGTGTTTTTTTGCTGATAGATATGTGTTAGTGTGAAATGTCAAGAGATGAAAGGACATGAACGTACCGACTAACGTGAGTGCGGAGTGTAGAGATTCCTCCTCGAAATATGTGCCTGCTCTCAGGTTCACCAGCGTCCCTATCAAATATCAGTAGGAAACAATGCACACAGCACTAACTACGTACTTGCAAGGGTTGCATACACAGTGCGTTTCATGGTGAGTGAAGGTGGTGTGAATGTCAGCAGTACGTTTGCTCTTTGCCACTTGCATGACCATGGGTTCAGCGCTGTCCTCAGTTTCAGCATCGTCCTCCGGTTCAGATTCATCTTCGGCTTCAGGCTGGTCAGTGCCAGGCTCCAAAGGATCAGTATTGTTGCCAGTGTTGTCATCGTCAAGGCTATCATCGTCAAATAAAGATGGTATAACTTTCTTGCGGGCTGGTTGAATTTCATTAGCGCTGGATAAAGCACGTTTTCGGCTCGTCAAGGAATAAATGTTCTCGGAATCCTGCAGGCAAGCAGATGGCTTGGACGTGCGAATGGATCGTCGAGAACCAGCTATAACTGGCACTGGTTTGCAACCTGTGAGAGTAGGTGCAGAGGAAGGAGTAGGCGCAGAGGAAGGAGTAGGCACAGAGGAAGGAGTAGGCGCAGAGGAAGGAGTAGGCGCAGAGGAATGAGTAGATAGTGGGACAGTATCATCAGGATCATGATAAAAGATGATATCCTTAGCATCCTTAAGAGATCCATCAGTATTGAGGGCGCATGCATCAGATTCAGACATGATGATGAGTGAACTCACCTGGTGCTTGCTCCTTTTAACTGCTAACAAAGTGAACAACCGCTCTCCAAAGCCATATATATTGGAGGGTCGCGAAAACAACCCATTTGAGAGCCGGGGGTGCGGGATGTGAGCCTTCGGAAAGAATTCAAAGTCATTGCAAATCCTGAGGATCCCAATGACCATGGGGGCAGAAGTTGAAGCTGAGTTGAAGTCGAAGTGACCATTACTAGTAGTGTGTGCCTCGCCGATAACATGAGGATGCTGCGGTTTGGGGTTCGGAATGGTTCAGGAAGGTCCGAACCTATGTCCGAACCATTTGGGTGATGGTGCACCACGAACCTCTTTCAGGTCCAGTCCGTCCAAATTTTGGAACCATGGACCGAACCAAGGACAAACCTGACCATTGGTCAGGTTCGAACCATGGTTCGGGACTGGACCACGGCAGCACTACATACATACCTGGACTTACTTGGCTAAAAATTGCCGGAGATACAATTGTGACGGTCAGTTGCAAATCAATTACCTGCCTATTTGAGGACCAGTGGCATATACTGCCATGTGCATATTTCTGCCCTGCCCTGATCATGGTATGTAACCTTTGAATGTTCTGACTTCCTCCACAATCTCTGAACAAGTGCCGGTATTGGTTAAGGATTTATATGGCCGGACTGTGTCAGCCCAACTCTGGCTACACTCCCAGGGTGCCGGGTACACACAACGCAGTACCAAGTTGTGTAAATGACATGCTTAGGGTTGACATTAGGTATGTGGTTGTGACAGTAGCTAGGGTTGCTTGGTTGTGCTAAGTGCACAATATGGGCGACCAGCAGCAGTGCAGTACCATACTGCCAAAGTCATCTCAGTCTGTGTGCCTCATGCAAGCAGAGCTTCAAATTGCACCTTCAACAAAAACACCCATGGCGTTGATGTTTAGTATGCAGTTGTGATGCTATCTTGTGTTGCTCGGTTCCACTAAGTGCACAATATGGGCGACCAGCAGCAGTGCAGTACCATACTGCCAAAGTCATCTCAGTTCATGTGCCTCACGCAAGCAGAGCTTCAAATTGCACCTTCGACAAAAACACCCGTGGTGCTGACATTAAGTATGGGGTTGTGATGCTAGCTCGTGTTGATCAATTCTGCTGAGTACATAACATGGGTGACTGGTGGCAGTACATTAACATCCTGCCCGAGATACAATAATCAATGATCATACAGTGGCTCAAAAAAGTGTCCAAATGTTAATGCATTTTCATGTAATTGGATAATAGCAAGCCAGCACCTGGGTATGATACAAATATATAGGGACATGTCTGAAAGCCCTACATCATGGCTAAAATCTGAGATATAAATTGTGGGAATCAGACCACATATGGGCAAGATATGGCAATTCTAATCACATGACTTATTTGGACACTTTTTTGACTTTATATTCAAATCACAAAATCAGACCATTCACACATAATATTATTAATGGAAGTGGTGCCATAATAAAAATTTGGTCTGATTTTAAATATATAAACCCATATAACTCTAGTGAGTAGAGGCGAGCACGCAAAACGGTAGGAGCTAGACAAACGAATGTATATCTCAGTCTCGTATCAACGACTCATTGTATTCAAGTACCTAGACAAACGAATGTATCTGGATGCCTGGTTAGTTTTGTAAAGTACACGGGGGTATGTAGCTACTCACATCTCAGTCTCGTATCAACGACTGAGATGCGTACATGACGGTGTAAGCCTTTTAAACGTTCTACGATAACGGGAGGAGTAGGAATAGAAATATCATAGTGAAACAAAAAGATTCGGCCAGTGTCAACTTCCTGCGCTCGTACCTAGTCCGACGTCACTCGCGTCGGTCCTCCTGTCCTGATTCATCTGAACTCAACAATAACATCATAAATCTTAACATAATTATCATCAAGCCCCTCTCCTCTGATCAAAGAATAATATCCTTATTCTCTGCCACTATTGTATATTTACTAGGCAAATTGCTTCTGAAACTGATCTTGTAAAGTCTACTATTGCTACAGTCATAAAGCAGAACCTTTAAGAGAAGGAAAATTATAAAATGGAATGACCTCTCAAGCTTACTCCACAGAACAAAAGAGTTATTGTTCATCAAATTCTCTATAGCAAGGCTGCAAATCTTGTCCAAGCCATCAAGTTCATCAATTCTGTTATCCCCACTCCTATCTTCACTCAAACAGTTAGAAACACCATTCAGGCAGCTAATCTTATGACTGTAACCAAGAAGAAAATGTCTCTTCTCTTAGCAGCTTACAGGGGCCTTTGCTTTAAAGTACTAACATTGGACCGTGCAAGACTGGAAGAAGGTGATTTGGTCAGTTAAGACAAAAATAAATAAAATGGGTTGAGATGGCCAGGAATATATGTGGAAAAGGGCAGGGGAACCATTAGAAGAAAGAGAAGTCAAGGGTACACTAAAGTTTGGAGAAGGAAGTACGATGGGAGGGATGGAATGGTGTGGAATGGTGTGGGGATTCTTCGTGAAGTGGAGGGAGGGATGCATACAGAGCAGTAATTCTTTATTCTAGAGGAGTGTCCACTCAAAAGCATGCAGGAGTCAAGAATTGATGAAGAAGACATTATCTTCCAATAAGATAATGACTTCAAGCATACCTTAAAGCTGGCTAAAAATGGTTTGAAGACTATGATATCAATGTTCTAATCATGGTCACCACAGTCTCCATACCTCAATCCCATTGAACATCTCTAGGAATTACTCAAAAACACCTTTCTGCCTATCAAGATTCTCCAAAGGGGTTATTTAAACTATAGGAGAGAGTTGCAGTAGTGTAGTAAGAGATCACTAAGGAGAAGTGTCAGAAGTTGATAGAGAGTATGTCTAGGATGGTAGCAGCAGTGATTAAAACCAAGGGGAGTAAGAATATTATGTGTGACACCAGTAGCTGTAGTTTAGATGTATCATTGCTGGTAGCACCGTGAAAAATCAGGTACAAAAATGCACTGACTTACCATGCACTGAACAGCATCAGATGCATCATTTCTGATACATTCAATACTTGATACATCATGATACATTTGAGAGAGCCGATACATTTGATACTTGATACATCACATTCACCAATATATGATACATTCAAGAGAGCCATCACAATACATTTGAGAGAGCTGATACATTCGATACTTGATACATCACATTTGCCAATATATGATACATTCAAGAGAGCTGATACATTTAATACTACTAAGTAGCTGATACATCACACTCAAGCCTCAAGATAACTGATACATCAATGTATTGCCGCATACTAGTATGATGAATACAGAATAACTAATCTTCTGCAGCTAATGGTGGAGGGCCTTCAATGGTGAGCATCATGCTACCGGTATCAGCTATGTCCAGTGTGCCATTGTCATCTAGCTCAGCAGCTATGACAGCAGGGACATTGGCCCAGCATTGTCTGAATTTTTCCGCCATAGCTTCACGGAGTGCAGATTGTCGGTTGGTGTATGCCCTGGGCCCTTCACTGTCAGCTGATCTCTCAAAATGACGAGCCGAAGCTAGTCCAGACCACCATGTCCCCTGCCAAGTTAAGAACATCAGTACTCTCTGCATCTCTTCAAGCAACAGCAGCAATTCTTCAGACCAACATGCCTCTTGCACTCTTGCCTTGCACCACTCAATGCGAAGACCTGCCAGTCATCCATCAGCTTCACTGCACTTTCAAAAATATCATGGTACATACAATCTTGAAGTCCCTCATCGTTGTCTTGCAGCACTCCAGGTGTCTTCCATATTCACGGTATATCACGAGTACCTTTGGATTGTCCTTGGATGAAGTCACCCATGGGCCTCATGTCAGTCCATCCAAGAGGGCACATGATATTGGTGTGGCGATCACAACCTGGCAGGCACAGAATGGAATAAAGTGCTCTACCAGTATAAGTGAGTCTTGGCTCTGACTAGCTGCTATACTCGCAGAATGCAAGAATGTTCGACCCTAAAGGGGAAGCAAGGAAAGCAAGGATCCACAGAATGATGCTGATCAACCCTGGTGAATGATGGTGAAAGCATGAGAAATGCACTGAAGGCGCGCAGGAGAAAGCGAAGTGCGAAAGAGCGCAAAGTGGGGGAAGGTAGTGCAAGTGGTGCACAAGTGTAGAAGACATATACTGAGACTGATAAGAGGAAAAGCACGGATCTAGACAGATACTGATAGTGCCACTAGCTATAGACTGATGCTAGGGTTTCAAGACAATGATGGATACATGCATTGCATGGAACTAACTGCCAAGTACATACATGGTGGTAGAAAGATACTGAGTGGTAGGAAGCTAAGGTGTAAAACGAACATGAGAGTATGTAAGTTCTACCTAAGCGCTTTCCCGGGGCTCGGAGCCAAATAGGGAGCACTCTAAGTATGTAAATGATGTAAAGTAAGGGTCCATAACAAAATAGGAAGTGTAATATGCAAAATATGGTCAGATAATGAAAAGGAACATACCAAGGGACTGGTTGGACGATGGATGGATGCTCCTGGATGCTGCATGATGCAGGGCACTTAAGCGTGAGAAAGTGCGCAAGGCGTGTGAGTGGGAATGCTGCGCATTGTGTGGGAATTTATCGCGCCTATGGCGCATTTTGCAGGAGAGCTGTGCGTGATATGCAGAATGACCAGAGACATAGTAGAAGTTGCATACTGATGATGGCGCAAGTTGTGCATTGAAGGCCAATTGTCATGAGTCATGAAATGCGTAATATAGCCCAGTCTGCACCTGCAGAAATGCGAGTCTCTACATTGGTCCAGCTGAATTTTTCGAGCAAGGGAGCGAGGGCAGTAAGTGCATCCCGGGCAGCATCATATTTAGCCTTGCTCACATGCTTCTTCTCAACTGCAAGATCGAGAGTGGTGCGTGCACAAGTAGAGGCACATTGACCCCGTACATTCACCATCCTGAATGTATTGAGGTGGGTGAATAGACAGATATGCTGTCGAACATTGTTCAATGCGTCATGGGCTTGAGCATACCAGAGCTCCCATTCACATTCATGAAGTTGTTGGTTGCAAGGAAGGTGCAGGGCCAGCTGGGATGGTAGCCTGAGTTGAAAATGTCTCTGGCTTGAGTGCTGCAGTGCCTTCAGAATGACAAGCATCCTCCATAGCATGGATTGGAGCAACTGCGGGCATGTAAAGGACTTGTATTTGAGCCCAGATGTCCAATCGGCATTGTAGAGCATTGCTTTGATTGAATATCTTGGTCTTCTGTGTGTTGATCACATGCTGACCCAGTGCAGAAATGTCTGCAGCCAAACACCGTCTGTATTATTTTTCGTGAGAGGAGGTTCTAACAATATTGTAATACTTACTGCTGATCCTGCAAGTCAATGCCTGATGTCGGAAATTTCTCAGGACCATTTCAAGGACTTATAATACATTTTAAGGGCTGATTTCACACACTGTATTTTAAGGCTTGGTAATGATGGAGATAATATTTGATGGCACCTTGAAAGGCCTTCGTTCCCACCTTATGATGCCTTAAAATAGCGTTGCTCATGGGAAATATCATGTAAGCATTGTAAGGTCTTGAAAGGGATGGCGTAACAATAGAAGATAAAAATAAGTTTCCAAGGACCTGGATGCTATTCCAACGGTATTCTAATCTGCATCTCTATTATCTAATCTTGACTGTTGTTATCTAATGTTATCTAATCATATTGTAATCTTGTCCGCTGTTATCTAATGCTATCTAATCATATTGTAATCTTGTCCATTGTTATCTAATGCTACCTTTTACTATTCTAATTTTATTACAAGTTAAACTATTGTACTTGGTAGGATTCGGACACTTGGTCATTAGCATTATCTTAATCATTATAGTAGTAATTCAAAGTACTCACATGCATAGTTACCGCTTGGTTATTAGGTCTCAGAATACACTGAAACTTGCTTGGCTATATCATGTCTTTGAGTGCCTTATAAGGTTACTGGTAAGACTCTGAGAATTCCGATGCGAAAACAAACACAATTCGACCTTTGTATATAGGACAAGATACATAAAACGACAGAGTGTAAGACGACACGACGGCATACAAGGTAAAGACAAGATTATTAAATCAGCGCTTTCCCCTCCCTCTTCCCCTGGATTTACTAGTAGCAACCGGTGCCTTGCTGCCACCATGACGAGTAATACGGCTGAGCCCCTTCAGTGACAAATCCCGTATTATACAGGTCACCCGACCTACATAATATCCCGTGTAATATGGGCCAGCGGATTATGGGCCGATGTTATGTATATACCCGATGTTGACGGGTGGGCCGGGAGGAATATTATTTCCGATGGAGACGGGTGGGCCCATCTATGCTGATGTTATATATATCATCGATGATAGCAGATGGGCCGGGAGAAATATTATTATGGAGATGGGTGGGCCCATGTGGGTAATATGTAGAGTAGGATTGACATATATTATAGACCTGAGGAGAGATGTATAGCAAATAGTATTATATAGACGGGTGGGCCGACGTATCAGTATTATTTTGTAGACGGATGGGCCGAGGGAGCGGTGAAATATTTATTAGATAGACGGGTGGGCCGACGTAGGGAAATATTAGATAGACAGGTGAGCCAAGGGTGGGGTGAATTATTTATTACATAGACGGGTGGGCCGATGTGGGGTAATATAGATAGACGGGTGGGCCGAGGGTGAGGTGAATTATTTATTACATAGACAGGTGGGCTGATGTGGGGTCATATTAGATAGACGGGTGGGCCGAAGTGCAGAATTTTACATAGACGGGTGGGGCCGACATCGGGTAATATCAAGTACCAAGTACTAAACCCAAAACCCAAAACCCAAAACCCAAAACCTGAAACCTGAAACCCGAGCCCTGAACACCCAGACTCGGGACTCAAGAGACTCAAAACTCAAAATTCAAAACTCAACTGGAAACTCATACATTTTTATGAGTTAAGAAAATTCAAATTTAAGATGATATACATTTTTGTCATCTGGAAATACCGAGTACCGAGTACCGAGACCTGATACCCAAGACCCGAGATTCGGCACTCGGTAGTCAGTGAAATGAGTACAGAAATACATAAGATACTACACATTAGTTTCAAATTTTGACTTGTGAATCACAAGTCTCGAGTCTCGAGACTCGAATCATCGAGTACTGACTACCAAGTACCAAGTACTGAGTGCTGAGTGCCGAGTGCCAAGTGCCGAGTGCCGAGTGCCAAGTGCCGAGTGCCGAGTGCCAAGTTCCGAGTTCCGAGTGCCGAGTGCCCTGAGGTTTCCGGGTATTAAAACACAGATAGCCCTCGCTCTCAGGGGGTCATCAGAATTTAGATCACCTCAAACGGATGTGATTTGAGTGAGATATGAGCAAAATACTATATACCAGTTGAATTTTGGCATCAGAAGTTCGATGCTTTCGATGTTTTTGATGTCGGCTCTCGATGCTTTCGGGCATTGACATGCAGATAGCCCTAGATCTCAGGGATTCATCAGAATTTAGATAGTCTTAAATAGATATGATTTGAGTGAGATATATGCACAATCCAAGATATGGGGTGAGTGAGTCCCAAGTGTTGAGTGCCAAGTGCTCAGTCCTGAGTTCCGAGTGCCAAGTGCTGAGTGCCAAGTGCTGAGTGCCCCGATGCGTTCAGGCATTCAATCACTGTCAGGAGGTGTTCCCTCATCCACCTCAGTGCCATCAGTGTTGCAATCAAGCTTTCTGCTGTGTGCTGAGTGCCGAGTGCCGAGTTCCGAGTTCCAAGTGCCCCGATGCTTTCGGGTATTAACACCCAGATAGCCCTCACTCTCAAGGGCCCGTCAGAATTTAGATCATCTCAAACGGACGTGATTTGAGTGAGATATGAACAGAATACTATATACCGGGTGAATGTTGGCATCAGAAGTTCAATGCTTTCGATGTTATTGATGTCGGGTCTCGATGCTTTCGGGCATTGACATGTAGATAGCCCTTGATCTCAGGGGTGTGGCAAAATTTAGATTGTCTGAAACAGATATAATTTGAGTGAGATATATGCAAAATACTATATACTGACTACTGAGTGCTGAGTACCAAGTGCCAAGTGCCGAGTTCTGAGTGCCGAGTGCCCCGATGCTTTCGGGTATTAACACACAGATAGCCCTTGCTCTCAGGGGCCTGTCAGTGCCGAGTGCCGAGTGCTGAGTTCTGAGTTCTGAGTGCTGAGTTCCGAGTTCCGAGTGCCCCGATGCTTTCGGGTATTAACACCCAGATAGCCCCACACTCTCAGGGGCCCATCAGAATTTAGATCATCTCAAACAGATGTGATTTGAGTGAGATATGAGCAAAATACTATATACCGGGGTGAATTTCAGCATTGGAAGTTTGATGCTTTCGATGTTTTTGATGTCGGGTCTCGATGCTTTCGGGCATTAACATGTAGATAGCCCTTGATCTCAGGGGTGTGGCAAAATTTAGATTGTCTGAAACAGATATAATTTGAGTGACATATATGCAAAATACCACACACTGACTACCGAGTGCTGAGTGCCGAGTTCTGAGTTCTGAGTTCCGAGTGCCAAGTGCCGAGTGCCGAGTTCCGAGTGCCGAGTTCTGAGTGCCGAGTGCCGAGTGCCCCGATGCTTTCGGGTTTTAACACCCAGATAGCCCACACTCTCAAGGGCCCGTCAGAATTTAGATCATCTCAAACAGATGTGATTTGAGCGAGATATGAACAAAATACTATATACCGGGTGAATTTTGGCATCAGAAGTTCAATGCTTTCGATGTTTTTGATGTCGGGTCTCAATGCTTTTGGGTATTGACATGTAGATAGCCCTCGATCTCAGGGGTGTGGCAAAATTTAGATTGTCTGAAACAGATATAATTTGAGTGAGATATATGTAAAATCCCATATACTGACTACCAAGTGCTGAGTACCAAGTGCCAAGTGCCAAGTGCCAAGTGCCTTCCGAGTGCCGAGTGTCCCGATGCTTTCGGGCATTACCACCCAGATAGCCCTTGCTCTCAGGGGTCCATCAGAATTTTGATTATCTCAAACAGATGTGATTTGAGTGAGATATGAGCAAAATACTATATATCAGGTGAATTTCAGCATTGAAAGTTCAATGCTTTCAATGATTTTGATGTTGGGCCTCAATGCTTTCAGGCATTGATATGCAGATAGCCTTTACTCTCAGGGGTCCTTCAGAATTTGGATCATATTTTCGCATCAGGAGTTTGATGCTTTCAATGATTTCAATGTGAGGCCTAGATGACTGTGTTCATTGACATGTGGATAGCCCTTAATGTCAGGAGTGTCACAGAATTCATATGGCCTCACATGGACATATGAGGTAATGTAGGACATTCTCAACACATCAGGAGACACACAAAAACACATCATAAGGCACTACATCATGTCTTCAATAGTCATACCTATGTGTAGTATGATAGTGTGATCTTTAATATACTGTTCAGGCTGACACTCATCAAGTATCACAGGTCTATTGTACAGACTTAGAATAAAATACAATAGTCTTAACTTGATAGTCTAATATGATTGTTGATTACTACATAATACATAAGCTGTGAGGGTTAGGATTATTATGGAAGATATGACAGTCATGGTTATTAAGAAAGCTTATATTATGCCTAGCAAGTTAAGACTATTGAGTTAAGACAATCATACCCTTAGTCTAGTAAGCACTGTCAAAGCTTGTGACCTTCTGGTAACCGTGTGGCAAAATCATATTTTGCTGATGTATATATCTTGTGATTGTAACTTTCTTGCACCAGTGCACAGTGATTGCCTTGAATGTCGAGTTTTTTTGTATTTAGAGATACATACCACTGACAGATACTGTTTCAGGGACTGGAACAGTACATTGGAAGCCAATCTATCATATTATACATAGGTGTGATCATAGCAAACCTGATGCAGTCCCTGATGATGTGTTTTTATGTTTCTCCTGATGTTTTAGAATTTTTCCCACACAAGGCTGACAACAAAAACATTGAACCTGCGAAGCTCAGACACACCCAATAAATTGTATTTTGCTCATATCTCCCTCAAATCATGTCTGTTTGAGGCAAAATATGATCCCCAACATCCCTTCAATAGTATATGCAATATATAAGGATACTAGGACAACAGGATTTATTCCTGTTGTGCTATGTGCTTACCCTTGGTGCAAGGCCTGACATCAAAATCACCCGATATATAATATTTTGCTCATATCTCACTCAAGTCTTATCCATGTGAGACGATCTGAATTGTGACAGGCCCCTGAGATCAAGTTCTATCTGCTTGTGAATGCCTGAATGCATTGAGGCTAGACATTGCAAACATGGAAAGCATTGACCTTACAATGCTGAAATACACACAGTATATGGGATTTTGCTCATATCTCACTCAACTCTTATCCATTTGGGATGGGCTAAATTCTGCCAGACCCGTGAGATCTAGGGCTATCTGCATGTCAATGCCTGAAGGCATTGAGGCTTGATATCAATAACATCAAAAGCATCAAACTTCTGATGGTGAAATTCACTTGGTATATAGTATTTTGCTCATATCTCACTCAAATCACATCCGTTTTAGATGATCTAAATTCTGACGGGCCCCTGAGAGCGAGGGCTATCTGGGTGTTAATACCCGAAAGCATCGGGTCACTCGGCACTCAGCACTCGGCACTCAGCACTCGGCACTCGGCACTTGGTTCTCGGCACTTGGCACTTGGTTCTCAGCACTCGGTAGTCAGTGTGTGGTATTTTGCATATATCTCACTCAAATTATATCTGTTTCAGACAATCTAAATTTTGCCACACCCCTGAGATCGAGGGCTATCTACATGTTAATGCCCAAATCACATGAGTCCCAAGTGTTGAGTGGTGAGAACCGAGTTCCGAGTTCCGAGTGCCCCGATGCTTTCGGGCATTAACACCCAGATAGCCCTCACTCTCAAGGGCCCATCAGAATTTAGATCATCTCAAACGGATGTGATTTGAGTGAGATATGAGCAAAATACTATATACCGGGTGAATTTTGGCATCAGAAGTTTGATGCCTTTTGGGCATTGACATGCAGATAGCCCTGGCTCTCAGGGGTGTGGCAGAATTTAGATTGTCTCACATGGATATAATTTGAGTGAGATATATGCAAAATACTATATACTGACTACTGAGTGCTGAGTACCAAGTGCTGAGTGTCGAGTTCTGAGTTCCAGATGCTGAGTGCCCTGATGGTTAATGCTCAAAAGCATTGGGGCACTTGGCACTCAGCACTTGGAACTTGGAACTTGGAACTCAGAACTTGATACTCAGCACTTGGTACTCAGCACTCAGTAGTCAGTATACGGTATTTTGCTCATATCTCACTCAACTCTTATCCATTCGGGATGGTCTGAATTCTGCCAGACCCCTGAGATCTAGGGCTATCTGCATGTCAATGCCTGAAAGCATCGAGGCTTGATATCAATAACATCAAAAGCATCAAACATCTGATGGTGAAATTCACTTGGTATATAGCATTTTGCTCATATCTCACTCAAATCACATCCGTTTGAGATGATCTAAATTCTGACGGGCCCCTGAGAGCGAGGGCTATCTGGGTGTTAATGCCCGAAAGCATCGGGGCACTCGGAACTCGGAACTCGGTTCTCACCACTCAACACTTGGGACTCATGTGATTTGGGCATTAACATGTAGATAGCCCTCGATCTCAGGGGTGTGGCAAAATTTAGATTGTCTGAAACAGATATAATTTAAGTGAGATATATGTAAAATCCCATATACTGACTACCAAGTGCTGAGTACCAAGTGCCGAGTGCCAAGTGCCAACGGAACTCAGAACTCGGAACTCAGAACTCGGAACTTGGAACTCGACACTTAGTGCTCAGCACTTGGTAGTCAGTATATTGTATTGTGCACCTTTCCCGAGTACATGCCCTTAATTTCAGAATGAAGTCCAGATGAAATCCAATGAAGTCCGAAGGACTTCCGGAGGCTGGCTACTCTGGTTGAGTGCTGGAGGACTTCTGGATGAGCACAGGAACCTTCCGGAGGAGTATAGGAACTTCTAGAGAAGTATAGGACACTCTGGAGGAGTTTCACCTGCTGCATAGGGTCCGAAGATAAGACTTCTGAAGGTAAGCTTCCTAGATGGAAGCACATGGAGGAGAGACTGCAAGGGACAGAGTCCAAAGCAGGATCAGATAGGAGGAGTGGTCCAGAGGACAGGACGTCTGAAGGTTGCGCCATCTGAATGTTCAGATGTCCAAAGGTTACGATGTCTGAAGGTCATGATGTCCAAAGGTTACAATGTCCAAAGGTTTTGATATCCGAAGAGTAAGATGTCCGGAGATCCAAAGGTCCGGAGGTCAGCAGGAGTGGACAGGATTATAGGACAGGAGAATAAAGGCTACCATGGACAAGGTCTGGAGTAGAAGCAAACAGAGGTAGGCTACACTTAGGTGGAGTTGGAGATAACAGGAAGTAGACATAAGTCTTGGAAAGACAGGAAGTGCCAGAAAGGCAAAGGTCCAGCTTAAGGAATCAATCCTTAAGCTTGGATAGAGATGGAAGGACAAATCCGAAGGTTTGGAAGTCCAGCCTAAGGAATCCTTCAGGTTGGACTCGGATCTCGGTACACTTCACTTGATTTTCGATATCCGGGACTCCATAGTCGGAACTTGAGTCTTGAATCTCGGGTGTCGGGTGTCGGGTCTCAATGGTTGGGACTCAATATTTGGGACTCGTTGGTCGGGACTTGATACTCGATTGTTGGGATTCAATGGTTGGGCATTGGGTTTCAGGACTCAAATCTCGGGCTTTGGGACTTGGGTTTCAAGACTCGGTAGTCGGGACTCAATGGTCGATTGTCGGGATGTGATAGTCAGGGCTCGGATATCGGTACACTTCACTTGATTTTCGGTAGTTGGAACTTGGCATTTGGCATTTGGTAGGCTTGGATGATGTTGGCTTTCAAAGATCTATTATCATATATTGCTCAATGAAATACCAGACGATCGGAAGTGTGCTGGACATCACATATTCGTTTGTTGAGACCCGGGTCTCGGAACTCGGTACACTTCGCTCGAGTTTCCACTTCACCCCTTTGCAAGGCTCCATGCCATACTACATCATTAGATGACTTTGAATTATTACCTCCATGATATACAACTAGCTGAGCTCCATCATGTCTACAATTATCATTCTCCTGGGCCCACCCGTTTATATTATATACCCCTACGTCGGCCTACCCGTCTATGCAATATATGTCTACCATTGGCCCACCCGTATATAATAAATCTTTCACCGCTCCCTCGGCCCACTCGTCTACAAAATAATACCAATACGTCGGCCCACCCGTCTACAAAATAATATTAATTCATTGGCCCACCCGTCTAATATGATATATATCTGGGCCCACCTGTCTATGTGATAACAAGCACCCTTGATATACCCGGCTATTTGATACATATCTACCTTGGTACACCTATCTACATAATATCCAACTACCTCGGCCGATCCGTCTATTGAAAATTCATGTCCATCGGCCCACCCATCTACTTTACATATTCCCCACCTGGGCCAACCCGTCTCCATCGGGAATAATAACACTCCCAGCCCATCCATCACAGTCGAGGATATATCTACCTTCGGCCCATGGTCCGCTGGCCCGTATCATACGGGATATTATGCACGTCCGTTCACTCGTATAATATGGAGATATGTTACCGCAATATGTGTCCTGCCCATGTCCGCCTATCTCCATTGGTGCGTTTTAAGCTTATTTTACCGTTACTGAATGAACTGCAGGCATTATTACATGTATTCCCATGGCTGCAGCACTTGCAAGCCTTATTACATATTGACCCGAATACCCTGCGTTTCGCTACTACTCTTGCCTGTGCGATTCCAGACATTCATGTAGTTAGATAAATAGGACTCAAGTTTTGTACTGTCTCTTACTTCCCTTCTCTGGACATACCTGCTACCATTGTAGGAGTCACCTTAGTTAGTCTTTGATTGTGCAATTGATCCCCTTGCTCCATATCATTGGATGTGCCTTGACCGCTCTAAGTGCACGCTATCTAAGGTTTCTATACCTAGTCATACCTTGTCATACCTATTTATACCTAGACTCTCCTTACCTTGGCCTAGCCTTACCTGCTGCTCCCATCGGCATTGGACTCCTCTACTCATATCAGGTATCTTGCATTGGTGTTCATCATCGGTATCTTGCATTGGTGTTCCTCATTGGTGTCTTGCATCAGGTGTACTGTTGGTATCCTGTGTCGCATCGGACATCCTTGGACTCGGACCTTCGGTCAGTCAGAACATCTCAGGTCTTAGATCTTAACTCCTTCCCTTCTCTTCCCTCACACTATTAGAAGGAAGTGCTTCAATAGCAGTCCCTTGGGTTGACATACTGCACTCACACCCATTAGGATTTAGTAGGTTTGTTGCTATAGCTAGCTGACTACTATTTCTTTCACCACACCGGCATGCAATGAAACATCCACACCAGCTTGTAAGTCTGCAGCCTCCATCTCGGCCAGCTGGCAGTGTACAGCAGCTTGAGTCATAGCTGTCAAATGTCAGTTTTGGACAAACAAGTAGAGAAAACAACTTATGAATGATCCTGCTCTCGAATGGGTTGGGCTGCATACTATCCTCCTCCCATGCCTCAATTTCTGACTTCCACACAGAGAGCGATGATGCTGGAATCGATCACTGAAGTTTGTTGAGCTCTTCTTGAGGCTTCTTTGACTTTGCAAAGCATGCTTTGACCTGCAAATATGTGAGATTGCAAATGAAACAGTCCAGTAAGAAACCTACTGAGCATGGTGACTTTTTCCAATTCCAGTCCGAAAAATGATCATCTAAAGTATCATGGCGCGTTCCTGGCCCCATTTCTTTGGTACTCAATGCCACATGATTGATGTTTGCCCACCCTCTCTCAGGTGCTTGTCCATCTGTATATCCAACGTTCTTCCAAAAGTGGAACGAGAATGCTGTTTGACATGATTGAACGTAAGTGTTAAGATGAAACTTGGGTACAAAAAAATGAATGATCTTGTCATTGCAGTTTAGGCGCAGTCGGGATGGCATTTATGCCATGCGAGGCCATAGTTTCTTATGCCACTGGCAGGTGATGTCATATGATAGATTGAATACCACTACGGCAAACCCGACCATCACTGAAAAGACCAGATAGTCCATATTGAGATATCTAGTGCTAGAGTTAGCTCTATGAGGCTCAAGAAATATTGAAAAACATACCTTTCACCTTTTTGCAAATTGCCAACTCCATTAGGAAGCTTCATATCATGCCTCACACAGTCCACAGTCCCAACGCCCGTGGCTGCAAGCCCCCTTGATGATTTTGTGTCAGCCATGTTCATGGCATTATGACTGACACACATGCTTTTCTGTGATAGGAACAGAACAGATTAAGCCTGAGTGTGCGCAATGGTGAAATATTGCTATATCTCCTGTGGCTCACAACCACACTCGCTTAGATATTGTTTGTAAGCGGTCTCTTTGACAAAGTAGCATGAGCTGGCATTGAGACTCAGATCAACATTATCACTCAAGACAGGTTTCCACTTAAGCTGAAAATTTGCATCAATGGCAAGGAAAAGAGCATACTTCCATCTAATGAATATTATTAGCAAAGGCCCAGCAATAAATGTGCCTCCAAACATACCTGATATCATGTGATGCATCCTCCCAGCCCTCAGGTAAATTCTTTCCGGGGTGAGGGCATGCTGGACAGAGTACGGCACATTCACCAGTGGAAGTTGCATCCATGCCACTGGGATCATGGTCTCTTCCTGCTCGCTTGAGCATCTTGAGGTGGCGCCATTGACAAACCATTCACATAAAAGCTGAATAACAATCCTGAAATAGCAGTGAGCAGAAAATTGGCCAATATTAATGCAGATGTACCCTAATTGGTGTGGTGCTGGTGTTATCTGTCCGTCTAGTGATACTGTGGTAAAATTTGTATGCTGATACCTTTGATTCAAATGTGAGGAGGTGGAAGAACTCCATGAGTGTGAATGTGGTGGCAGTTTTAGGATTCAATGTAGTAGCTGGAAACCAATGAGCCTGAATAAGCTGTTTGTAATGGATTTGGGCCGTTTCACAACCGCAAAGTCAAGGCCAATTTCATGGATACTGTGGACGTCTATGACAACAAAATCATCACTAGTGGCAGGTTCAGGATTATAGCATGTCTCTCCCAGGTTAGCTGGATACACAAGCCAAGCAGCTTCAGAGAGACTCGCACAAAGAATGTGCTGCACCACTCCTAAGGGCAAGTGAGTTTCCAAGTCCAGCAGCTCAGACTAATGCTTGATGAATGTACCTCAACTCTATGGAGTGGATTATGCACATGCCATTGAAGAACACATGCACGGCACACCATTTCCACTACAAAGCAATCCTGGCAGTGGTAAAGTAATGGTTCTTTGCTCTTGCAACTACATGTTTCTTGAGGGATTTCGTCACCATGGCCCTCTAGATGTATCATCTCGTCTAGGTATGAGGAGTGTTCTGGTATCCACTGAAGTAAGGGAACATTCTGTCCAACATTAGCTCGAAAACTAAGGCACACTTCTGGTATACACACTGGTTTTTTTCTTTTTTTCACTAACTCTGGAATTGAGTCTGCATTTTCAGAGGAAGGGTCATCAGGCTCACTTGGTAGTGTCTCTTCCCATACATCAAATGATAGTTTGGAGTGTTCAGGACTTGCTTGCACCATGTCAGGTTGGGATGCCATAAAAGTTGTTCATAAAGACAGAGAGCTGTTATCACTAATGGCAAAAGACTGATGGCGAAGATACTCCAAGTTGTCATTCAAGTGTTCTATGTATTGACATAGTCGAGGTTTTTTGGATGGTTGTCCATGTTTCATTCTGCTGCCAGTGTCAACAGACATGTAACTATACATGACACATGTATTGATTTGTCAGCACATGTGCGGCATGCGGCAATGAAATCAAGCTATGTACATTCAAGCAAACATAAACTAGATGTGAAGGCTCAAACTCTAAGACCCTTTTGATACATCAACTCCCCCAAAGAATGAGCAATGCAGAGCTGTGAAATTCCCTCCACATTGAAGAAGTACTCAATATCTTCCAAATATGCATGTGTGGTGCTGAGATAATGATATACCATGTTAGCAGCCCACTGCTAAGGAACCACAAAATTCATGGATCTCATCCTGAACAGGGATGGTGTGATTGAGTAAGTCCTGGACCTTGGCTGCCATATTTGTGATAATGGTTTTATCCCCCCTTCAAAAACAAAAAAAACAACAACCATTGTCCGCACAGTCATCAGTATATGTGATGCTCTCAACAAACTGAAACGAGAGAGCCTCGGTAAACATGCAAGGTTTGTCAATCAAAGACAACATGTCGTCTTTGATCCACTTCATAGAAGCAGACATTCCAGCAGATCTGATCTGAGGGTCCTTAATTTATGTTCATTTCATTTGCTATTTATAAAATGACATACAGTATGTCATCATTGTTCTACTCGACATCACTGGAATCGCTGATGGCTCTGGCTCATCTTCATCTTCCTCTGAGTCATGGCCATGTAAGGTTCTTGCAATGGCTTTCTTGAGCTCTGGTGGCCTCATGTCTTTTTTCAACACGAAGTTCTCTCCACTGGGTTTAAGATCCTGTCTCTGTTTCTTCAATGTGACTTGACTCAGGGACCGGTGTAGAGACTCGATCCTGAGTAGCCCTCACAATGGCATATATTGCACTGTAGGCCGAGTCTACAATACTATGCATGCAACGCGACACTAGCGCGATAAACGCGATGTTCGCACGACGGCGCGCGACTTAGGCGACACTTCCGCGACATAGGCGACACTTGCGCAACTTGCGCGCGCTTTAGGCGAATTTTCCCGCGCCTAAGCGCCATAGGGCGCCTGACTTCCCACTGTGTTTTCCCATGTCCAACCAAGTTCCCAGGTATGCATTTCTCCATTTATCATTTATTTCAACATCGTACCATGTTTATTTTCACTTGGTACACATTTTTCATTACACATTTTTACTTTACAGAACACACATTACCACGGACCACCATCATCATAGACAGTCACCATCTCCGAGTTTTTATTATGTTTTGAATAAATCATCGCAAGCCCTAGTAGCAGTTAGCTCTAGTGGCCATATCCGCATCAGTTGTCTTATCAGCATCTCAGTACACGTCTTAACATCTCACTATCGCTCGCATACCGCTTTCACCCAGTTCCGCTTTTCGACGCGTGACTTTCCCACGCTTCGCGCGCCTATAGCGCCTTTGTTCCCGCGCTTTCGCCTTATCACGCACTTTGCGCATTCCCCCTAGAGTTGACCAGTGGATATTTGCTTTCTCCGCTTCCCCTAAGGGACGAACATATTGCACTCATATTTTCCTCCCTTCAACAATTATATCAGCTGCACCCTCAGCTGAGTTGAAGATCCTTCACCGGACACAATTAATCAAAGTAGTTAAACTTACTTTGCATAATGGCATTGGTTTTTTTTCACAACTTGCTTGTTGTTTTGCTTCGAGTGTCTTATGAATAGGAGGATGAGGCATAATTTTGAGAGGCTGTGGTGGTGGTTGGTATAAAAGGTTGAAAAGAAGCAGTGGCTTCTTGAGCATGCCATAGAGTCAGATATTCAATAGTAGTTGGACCGAAACTAATAACATTATGTACCTAGCTAGCTATCAATATAAATACAGATCTGTAATATCACAATGCAGTTAAGCCCTCGAAAGAGGGCAATGTTAGCTTGTACATATATTCAGATTGTGCACATGGACAATACATACAAGCTAGAAAACTTGGTTGGTAGTCAGACTGAAATCGTATAATTACAACCATTGTCTCGACAGCGCAAAGTTACCGCTGACCTGCTGATTTCTACTACTGTACAAAAGGCATCCCTCACCAATCTCAAAGCCTCTTCAGATGCTACTGTGATATCTTAATGACAATGAAATCAATGATATATAGGTCCCTGTGCTGTACTACATACATAGATAGGAATTTAACTACCTGAATATGCTTCAATGGTCTGTGCACTATGCAAACCCCAAACGACTACTACTTCCTGGCCAAATAAACTTCAGTTAGCATTCATTCCTTTTTCATTTCACTTGCCCATCGACACACCTAAGATAAAAACTGTGCGTGTTATTAAATTATTTCCATAATGGTTATGTTACTTACAACAAATTATAGATGGCACCACCAAAGTAGGCTACTGTTGAGGAAGAAAGTTTCTTTCAGGCGCACTCAGCTGGATACCAAGCATGTCAAGCAAAGTGCAGATATATCAGATTCTGGGAGCCTGCATTCGAAGAATGGTTTGTGAAATTCCCAGAATGGCTTTGCATCTATAAGGATGTCCCTCTTGATGTTGATTTGACAGCTGAGCAAAAGACTGTGGTTGGCAAGGCTGTTGAGAATCATCGACAAGTGTGTAACTGTGATTCTTAGGTCAAATACATGTCCTTACTAGAAACACATCATTAGCAAATTATGAATAAATTCAAGAATGACATGGGCTATGACATCTAAAGTCAACTGTCGCAACAAAAACCACAATAATAGAATGATGACCGCAGACGTCACCACAGAAAGCACATCCCTAACGACAACCCATAACCAGTAGAAAGAGCATGGTTGCACAGATATTGAGCAACACAAAACCTGTTCATGGCCCACAGGCAACAGAGGCATTCTCAAAGCTGTTCTTTGACGACATGATCAAACTGACTCTTGATCTTGCTTTTGAGACAGCAAAGGCCGAAGCAGAGGCAAAGGCTGCAGCTGAGAAAACAGATGTTAAGATCCCATCTAAGATAACGGTTATGAGAAAACAAGCCAACTTGCTGTATCATGCAGCATACAATGATGTCAAACAACAGGTAGTGGAGTTCATTGAAGAAGCCAGGCAAAAGAAGAAGTGAGAGTTAGAGGAGGTGAAGGGCGCAGGGATAGTTGATCATCAAATGTCAGTTGAAACTACATATCAGCATGAATACCAGTGCTCACCTATAACTTGCGCCTATAGATACATTGACAGGCTCCTTGGCGCCCTCACAGAGTTTTTCAATGAGCTTCAGAGACTCACCAGTTATGTTTTCACAGTGCTTATGGGTGGCCCAACACCAGTTATGGGAGATGAGATTGATATCCAGAGTTTTCATGTTGGTATAACTGAAGTTGGGAATCAGTTCAACCAAGTGTATCCTGAGTTTAACTCAGGGATCATGCAGCCATGGAAAGAGTTTGTCAAGTGCATGTTTTGTAAGTCTGATCTGTATGAACAAAAATTGAGATGTTGTCTGACTCATGCTTTGATAGCGGTTGCAGCAGCAAAAGAAGAAGGAAGTATCTGGGGTGCAAGTTGACAACTGACACTAGAGCCTGAGTTATCTAAAGACATCAACAGCATTGATGGTGCCTTTGAAAATATCCCACATGATACTTCAATGCTGGTGTCATCCTCTAATACATCCACATTATTCCCTCATGTACCCAAACCAACTTCTCTGTTTCCATTACCAACAGTGCCCCCATTATGCCTACAGTCAATTTCTACTTCTCTGGTGGGCTCAAGTTCCAATGCCGTTGTGACAATAATACCAGCGCTAGGCGCATATGAGTGTCATAGGCATATTTTGCCTTTCCTAGGGGAAAGGAGCTGCACACCAGTCCCCAGCGCTAAAATTCCCAAGCTATCCACTTTGCCACTTTTCTCCCATAGCGCGCTGCCTGGTGTAGAGACTCCATTGTGAGTAGCCTCACAAAGGCCGTATTTCCACTTCGTCTCCACTAACGCGCGCTATATACGACAAGGCGACTTAAACGCACTAAACGTGCAACGCTTCCGCCTAATCCGCGCATCCGCGCATCTGGCGCCTATAGCGCGCCTCTATAGTGCCTTTCGCGTTACTACGGCGCCTTTGCGCGCGCTTTCGCGCTTTACCTTCGCGTTCGCTTTTCCAAGTCGCCTGTCCTCCGCACGTCCTGTCCTGTCCCTCTATGATCCGCTGGTGCGTCTCCCTTTATCTTTTCAACTGACTTTAGCTATATACCTCGTCTGTTACACATATTTCCTTATTCTACAACACAACAACTCTTTTTCGCTTCGCTTCCGCTTCGGCTCAGCGCCTGGGAACATTTACCTTAGACATGGGGACTCTGATAGATTTTTCACTTACTTACTTACTCACTACATCCCATCATCCTGCATCAGTGTATACTGTGAATCAATTTCTATTCATTTGCAACACAACCACTGCGCGACTCTCTATTCTTTTGCAACAAGCTCTCTTGAGAAAATCTGGAGAGACCTTCACGCTACTTCCGCCTCTTCACTAACGCCTATAGCGCGCTTGTTCCGCCTCGCGGTTCCGCCTACGTCGCGCTTTCGCCTTTCGTCGCGTTAACGCGCGTTTCGCGTTTACAAGGCGTCTCGCACCCGCGCTTTGCGCAGATTCCCTTGCTGACTCGTTCAGCGCATCCCCTTGCATTTACTCGAGGAAAAGACTCAGTAAAGATCCTCTTGGGCCGACTTCTACTCGCGTTCGAGGACTACTGCAGGTGACTTATCTTATATTTTTCAGTATAGACCCACTCACGATTCCTCATCTTCACCGGTCTGACACCTAGGTATCTTGTCCTCCCATGTCCTGCCTATGTCCACCTACCTCTGCTGGTGCGTTATTAGTCCTTACTTGTCACTACTGATCAGTTGCAGGTCTTATTACATGTATCCTCATGTTCCACAGTGCTACATGTCTTATTACCTGTAGGAACATTGTGCTCTCGCCTGTGTCACTACTATTCTCACCTACACATTCCTGAACTCTTATGCAGTATGATAAAATGACCCGTCACACATACAGTACTTTACTTCCCTTCCCCAGACCTTTGCTGGTGTGTTGGAGTCACCTTAGTCGCTATATCTCAGTCTTTGTGCAATTAATTCCACTCTTGCCAATCTCTCTGATCGCATGTCACTTCCCTTGCTTTAAGTGCGCATTGCTAAGGACTTCCTCTTAAGTTTGACTTTCGCAATGTTAGGATCGCTATTGGTAGTTTGTGCTAGGCTCACTCGAAGTTCACATGACAGAGACTATTGGCAGTGGCCGATACACACACCTTGCATTTGTGGCTCTTTTGCGGGTATGTCTCATATACTATTTACTGCTTTCAACAGGTAACTAATTCCTACTAGCAATACATCAACAAAACGGTCGAGAGTGACAAGAACTGGAATTTTCCGAAGTTGCATATGGGCTCACACATTTTTGACGATGTCGAGGCAAAAGGAGCAACACAAAACTACAATACCAAGCTGAACGAGAAGATGCATGGCTCATTAAAGGACTCGTATTTGCTGTGCATGAACTTTTGTGATGTAGCAGAACAGGTGCATTTCAATTTTAAGAAAATGATCTATTTTAATACTGCAACTTGATTCAACTTTGACAGATCCTCCATATTAATATGTGGCAGGTGGCTGCAGATCATATATGCTGCCACTTATTCAAATTTGACAATCATCAACACCAATTGGGAGAAGAAGACTTCCTCACCACTGTCATTGAGCGCCCTATCTCAATGAGCAACTCCTTTCATGTGAAACTTGGATCAAAGCAACATTCACTGACCTTTGATGCGATTCAGATGGCTCATCAAGCAGACCAAGCCTTCAGTAATTTCCATGTCAAGCTCGATGATTTTCTCAATGTTCTTTTACCCTCATTGAGCATACTGTTCCTGAAGGCAAACATATTCATCTCCAAGGAACTGACGAGGTATGTTTATCTCAGTTTGTTTTTTGCTGTGCTGACATACTATACACAGATTACAGAGCACTGCTTTATTCGCATCAACTATGAATCGATGGTTGATTGGTGTCAACATACAGACTATCTTTGTTCCAACCCCTGTTTCTTTGGTTCACCACACTTTGACTGTGTCTTCATTCGGCTGACAGAGAATAAAGTCATTCTTGCCGGCTGGTCTTCTGTTTTGAATGTCTGGTTGGGAATAACACATTTCCCCTGGCCCTTGTTCACCCTTTTGACGTTCCTACTGGTGTGCACACTCGAAAGGAAAAGGATCTCAACCTTGTCAGAGTTCATGCAAGACCACAAGCACAGGCACAGTTTTTTCCTGTAAGATCATTCATAGGTGGGGCCCTTCTGGTACTGGATGGACCTTCTGATTATTTTGGAGTTGATACTGCAGATACTGACATGTTTCTTTGCATAAAGATGATGAATCTGGAGGCAGGGCACATCGTGCACATTTGATCATTTGTCTGAATGAGAACCTTTTTGCTTCATTGGCCGCCATCATGGACACCTTTAGTTCTTGACTTTAACTTAATCTGACTAATCCTTTTACTCCTGCCAGATATTTCATTACCAGATTGTAAGGTATGTGCTATTGACTTTCATCAATATGTCACAGAACACTGATTATACTAGTAGTGCAGCTCCCTGGACCCCTACCTCAATTACTATGGCACCCTGTGCAAACCAGCCTCCACAATCAGGTTCAGCTTCAAGGGCTGTACCACAGCATATCCACCCTAGAAACAAAGATATTAAATGAGGACCCTGATGATCTTGTGGATGAAGATCATGTCATTCTCCAAGGATTCAGACGAGGACACAAAGTTGGCAACAAAGACCTCCAGCAGCAAAAATGGACAAAGCTGATCTCAGACCATAAATGGCAAGTCATTCTCCAGTTTTCATCATATCATTGATTGAATGGGTATTACAGACTTGCTGAGATGATGCATGATCTGATGGAGATCTCCCTCACACCAAGTGTTCCAGCTTCCCTCCGGGTAATCCCAACCAAGTACAATATCATCATTCATATCTGGACCCACACATTCCACAAACTCCTGGAGGCCTTAGGTGTGCCTCATTTTTCTCGCCCTCGCTCTTGAACACATCCAAGGTTTTATATATTAGGCCTACACCTTCTACACCGGCCTTCTAGAGGAGCTGTCTTTGCATTTGTTCCGATGTGAAACACACAACCTGACTAGGCACTTGTTAAGGTACTCAGCCAGTATATGTCTCATGCTCTGCCTATGCTGCTATACTTGCAAACAATAAAGCAAGAACGTTCGACCCGAGGGAAAAGCTACTAAGGACAACTTAAGATAGAAAGACCTGAAAATAGTGCTAATGCGCGGGAAAGCACATCACAAGATACTGTGCTAGTGCGTGGGAAAGTATGTCGCAGCTATAGAGCGCTATGGCATGAGAAAGGCGGAAGTGCGTGTCGGTAGATGGTCGCTATCAGATCGCTAATAGGTCGGTAGCGGAGCGGTAATGCGTCACTATAGGATAGGGAGTCTAAAGAGTGTAGTGGATAGTGAGTGAGGTCAAGGGTATTGATTGCAAGGGTAAGGGAAAGTCAAGGTAAAGAGTGCGGGAATAGGGAAACCAATAGGGGCTATAGAGCGCAGCTAAAGGTGACTACTTCTAAGTAAAACCTAAGGAGAAGGAATTACAGTCAAAGGGAAATAATGTTGAAGTAATCACCATAGGCTTCTTATACTAGTAAACTATACTATCTTAGACTCAGAAGGGATAGGATATACATGTAATAAGACTGTAGCACTTGTTACAACTCGAGGCAAGGTAAATTACATACCAATGTGGTAGGATAGACAATGGATGGATTCCGATATTTCGGGTGGATCCTAGAGCATGAGAACAGCACACTGGATAAGCGCTAAGCGTGGGAACAAGCACTAGATAGAGTGGACATGCACTAATGCTCCTATAGACACATTGCTGGTAGTTCTGATAGTGCTATAAGCGTGGGAATAGTGTCGGATAAGTTGTGGGAGCATGAACAGTGCTGCAGGAATGTGCGCGCATAGTGCAGGAAAGTGCAGGAAAGTGCAGGAAAGTGCAGAATAGCGTTGGACAAGGGTTATGGCTGAGACAAGTGAAGACTGCTGATAGGGGACTAGTGAATAATATGAGGGATAACTTTGGTCCACCTATTGAAGGCTTATGCAGGTATACATGCCTAGCACCAATATGATTGTCACATCGGTTTCGAAGGAGGGCATGATAGCCTGGAGGTGACCGTTGATGATACAACAAATGAAATCAGCACTGTGAAGTAATAATCAGCATGTAATGTCTAAATCATAGGCTGGAATATTACATTTTGAGCTCCTAGTTGACAGGATATCATCAGGATCTAGTGCAAGAGTAGGATAGCCTGCCATGATGCTCAGAATGAAGTAGGCGAGACATTGTTTGAGCGGGCTCACCTGAAGTGGAAGATCTTAGACTGTAGATTCCGCAGCCAGCACAAGATTGCCAAGAGCCTCATGGAGCCAGCCATTAGATCAGAACAAATGCAGTGCCAGCTCTTCAAGAAGGTCAGTCTGAATCACCAATGAGACAACTCACCTTGAGATCCTTGACTTCCTCAGAATCATTTTCATCATCTTCACTCTGTTCTGACGATTCATTAGCGTCTTCATCATCGACATTGACATCTATACAGTCATCAGTCCGACGACGACCACATCGTCTCTGCTCCTCTTCCTCATGCTCATGATGATCTTCCTCAAGCCATCGCATCACTTTCACTTCCAATACACCCTTGACCCTCCACTCACATGTGCCCTCTACCCAGGTGAACCCATCAACAACTGTTGACAAGGAAACCACACAGCCATGGGAGTGGCCATCCTCTTCGTCATATTCATCTTCGATAATCCCATCGGTGAGTTGGCCACCTTCTTCCACATCCAGGATCTCCACCTCCATCCATCTCTCCTCTCTGTTCTTCCAGTATCCACACTCAAAGACTTTTTGACTGATCCACTCCATCCCATGAAGGCACCAGTCTTTGGAGAGAGGTGGGGCACAACCACTCGTCAGCATTGATCACCCCTCACGGCCAGCAGTTGGGATGACTAATCCCTGTGCAGTAAAGATGTTGTGGGGGTGAAAAACTGTGCAAGATCATGCCAAGGTATGGTATGGCTGAGATCTAAGGTTGAACAAGCAAAAGGTGAGGCCTTCTGCATTGGATTGTGGAGAATGAATGAGAGCATCAAAAATGCAAATTCCAATGCCAGTTTGAATGACACTGGCAACTCTGCAGGCGGGTTTGCGTCCGATAGAGCTGGAGATGCTTGTGAGGCGCCTTCATCATCCACGTCCATCTGTTTATCTTTTCTGTCTTTGTCGCAGAATGCGGGCACAACTTGACACTTCTTGGCAACTTTTACAGCTGGACCACCTGTGCCTGCCATCATAATCCACTTGTGTTCCTTGGCTCCCTCGATTTCAATGTGCTCAATGAAGCGAGCAAGGGTTGGCAAAAAGTTGTCAAGTTGGATGTTAGTGAATAGCATGCTGTGTAGAAGGACGAAGAATTCAGGTGCGCAGTTGATGATCAGATGGGGAGAGTTGACTCACAAGAGGTTGAGGAGTTTGTGGAATGCATGCATCCAGAGATGAATGATGATATTGTACTTGGTTTGGATTACCTGGAGGGAAGCTAGAATGCTCAGTGCAACAGAGATCTCCATCAGATTATGTATTATATCAGCAAGTCTGCACACATTCAATCAATGATATCATGATGAAAATCGGAGAGCAACTTGCCGTTAATGGTCTGAGATCAGCTTCGTCCATTTCACGCAAGATTGCCAAGAGCCTTGAGCCAGCCTGATCGGTGTGACAATCATATTGGTGCTAGGCATGTATACCTGCATAAGCCTTCAATAGGTGGACCAAAGTTATCCCTCATATTATTCACTAGTCCCCTATCAGCAGTCTTCACTTGTCTCAGCCATAACCCTTGTCCAACGCTATTCTGCACTTTCCTGCACTTTCCTGCACTTTCCTGCACTATGCGCGCACATTCCTGCAGCACTGTTCATGCTCCCACAACTTATCCGACACTATTCCCACGCTTATAGCACTATCAGAACTACCAGCAATGTGTCTATAGGAGCATTAGTGCATGTCCACTCTATCTAGTGCTTGTTCCCACGCTTAGCGCTTATCCAGTGTGCTGTTCTCATGCTCTAGGATCCACCCGAAACATCGGAATCCATCCATTGTTCATCCTACCTCATTGGTATGTAATTTGCCTTGCCTTGAGTTTGTAAAAAGTGCTACAGTCTTATTACATGTATATCCTATCCTTCCGAGTCTGAGATGGCATAGTTTACTAGTATAAGAAGCCTATGGTGACTACTTCGACATTACTTCCCTTCAACTGTATTTCCTTCTCCTTAGGTTTTACTTAGAAGTAGTCACCCTTTAGTTGCGCTCTATGGCCCCTATTTGACTTTCCTTGCTCTTGCAATCAATACCTTTGATCTCACTTGCTATCCATTACTCTCCTTTGACTCAGTGTCCGCTTTCTTGACTTCCACTCTTTCCCACGCGTTAGTGCTCTATCTTGTGATGTGCTATTCCCGCGCTTTAGCGCTCTTTTGGGTCTTTCAATCTTGAGTTTTCCTTAGTAGCTTTTCCCTTGAGTTGGATGTTCTTGCTTTATTGTTTGCAAGTATAGCAGCATAGGCAGAGCTTAGACATATACTGGCTGCAGTACTTTAACAGGTGCCTAGTCAGGTTGTGTTTTCACACTGATAGTCAGAGCATAGGCATGTTTTTCTTGACGCTGCTGATACAATGCTACAACTTCGGTTGCATCAAGCACAAGGCACAATAATTTACCTTATATATGGTGCTGTCATGCTGACCATTTTCTCATCTCCTTGTATCTATTTAGCACCTGGACCATGTCTCATTTCTCTCAAAATGCATCTGACTCAGATGATGAATGGGACGTGGAGCCTATCATTGAATCTGTTGCAATTCCGGGACCAAATGCCTCAAAGGGAGACTTCATGGATGTAAGTTTAGATGTCACTCAATTTACCTATCGAACTCTCCTCTTACTCTAGGCACTCCAGGTGCTGCAAATCCAGGTTCAGAAGCTCATTGAGGAAAATTGCACTCTTTGTGAGGAGAACAAGGTTCTCGTTGCCGAGAAGCCCAAATGCAAACATTGCACAGAAGCTTCCGACGAACTCCTGGCCCACGAGCAAACAATAACACTTTATGCCTGTAAATACGGCATGACTGTTGAAATGTTCCCTAACACCAACCTTTTCAGCAAACAACATCCTGAGAATCCAACTCCATTCAACAGCCAAGACCAGTACTTGACGGCAATGACCCAGGAATCAGCATTTTTAGATGAACTATTTCAGCACTTTCCTGATCGCTTACATGGCATCATGGAAAGTTCATACTTCAGTGATCTCATACGTATTACATGTTTCAATACTAATTGTTGAACTAACAATCATCCTCCAGGTAATGAAGTCCGTTTACGAGGCTCACTCATCGGAAATGAACAAACTATGTAGCGTTGCGGGCAATATATTCAACCTTCCAGGAGTATACTTCAGCAATACCCAGTACCGCAGAGCCGACATCACAGAAATACAGAAAATGCTTGGAGTGTCAGCGACGAATCCGAAGTACAAGACATTTCCGCTGGTCCTGTTCCTTGGAATGCAAGAGGACCCTACCTTGAAGACTGTGTTCGGAAACTGGAAACTTTTGGCTAAGGTATGTGTTTTTTTTCGGTCAATGAGTGTGTTATTGTGACATTGATGTATCTCTGAATAGATTCTGAAGGCTGCACTTCGCGGTGTTACTTTGCTTCACCAAAAGACCACTGGTGGACCAAAGACCAATGCCCAGTAGTGGAACCTTGAACACGTTACGCCAGGATCTATTGTGTGGGCTGCCATCATTGTAAGTTATTATCTATGCTATGTCGAATGTTCTTCCTCAGTCGATACTATTGCAGGCAATCTTTTTGCTATCACTCGATACTGAATTTCAGAAGTCAGGCACAGGAAAGTCCTCCAGCATTAATTACAAGGACCTGTTCTTTCACTACAAGAAACTCTTGCTCACCAAGTGGGATAGCCGCCACATCCAGACCATTGTGCAAAACATCAACTGAGAAATTTTTGGCTCTGTGAAATCTTCTGCTTTTGCAGCCACTCAAGAAGATCACTCCAGCGAAGTCATTCACATAATCAATATTGATAGCAATGAGTCAGACATATCTGAACCTATTCCATCTTCTGCAGTCCAGGGTACCACTGCCTTTCAGTCCAACACTGTCGAGGTGGCACAGCCTCCTGCTGCTCTCAGCACTGTTTCATCTCTTAGTACCACCTCCACTCTCAGTGCTACTTTCCGAGCTACTGTTCATGCTGATGCAGCAGTTCCAGCAGCTACTAATACAGTTGTAGTACAGGATGCAGATGTGGAACGGCCACCAGCTCAAGGGAGAGGGAAGAGGAAGGGCCAGGGCAAAGAAGCCTGCAGCTACAGGTGTTCGACGCAGTAATCGTGCTGCTTAGGATACTATTAGTAGATATACTAATCTTATTTCATTTCATTTGTAATGTTAATTCTAGCTTTGATTCACCTTTCGTGCACACCAAGTCTTATTAGTGATACTTGATATTGCCTTATAGGTAGCCAAAAACAATGGTTCAAATAGAATTAAGTTACCCTATATAAAAAGACCCTTTAGCCTAACAGTTTTGTCGTGGTAAGTCCTAAGTATCATGTGACCTTAAGCTTAAACTAATAACTACTACACAGTCGAGCGTTCGAAACCTGCCAAGTACAGACTATATAATAGACAAGGTAAGCATCAATACAAACTGGATAAGATATAGTAAACTAACAAACATAACATAACAGGACCTGATAAGCATAAGCTAAAAGATAAGATAGCAATGTAGCAAAGGTGATAGAAAAAGGGGCTTGTAAGATAAGGTCAGTATTCCAAGAAGTGGTGACATGGGGGCATCATTACAACTGATTGCTGTATAAACAGTCCATTACAATGACTAATATTGATTTGAACCCATTTCAATTACCATTACAATTGGCATTGCAACCATCATTGCAATGCCCATTACAAGACGCACTCTATTATTAAAATCTATTTCAAGCAGCAGTTTGTATTTAAAATTTTCAATGCTTTGTAATGCATTGAAAGCTAGATTAGAAATTTCTAACACACTGCATAGCCCAAAATCTAGTCCGCTTTTCCCAAAGGCTGATTATGCTGAAGCTTTCACTTGCATCTACCATGATAGCCCCCAAAGCTCTTCCCCACCCAGTAGCCTTTGTCCCTATCGCCCCAAGGTACTCATAATGTCATCCAAAATATCAGCAAAGACTCAAATGAGATTCTGGCAGCATCTGTCTCTTTCTCTTGGCACCATGACTTTTCACATACTAATTGAGCCAGTTCACCTATGAAAAGGTGGGAGCCTGGGCAACACCATTCAAGGTGGATTTCATAGTCCAGCTACCACCCTTATTTCCGCAAAACTCCCCCCACTCCACAGGCAGAGCGCAAGATAGCAAGTGTGATGGGAAGACTCATTAGATGACTGTAAGGTGGTGCTGCAAACATGTTTGTTTCAACTTTCGACTATTTGGTGTATTGATGTGTTTGTTTGTTGTCTGTACAGCTTGAACTATGATTACCTTGAATGTAGCACTTCATGAACTTTGTTTTTTGCCTTAAGAAGATTACTATTATGGACACAGTACTGAACTGATTATCAATTGATTGTCATTTCTGCTCTTGACCACAATGCCCTCAAGCTGGACTGTGCCCTCTAGATGAAGAGTTTTGCGGGTGAGTGCCTTGGCCTCTGTTGGTACTCTGGCTCATGGCAACATGACAGGATGTGCCTATCATTTGACAAGCAGGACTGAATATCACAGGACACTCATCAGCAGATAAACTCAGCTGTGTGTCAGAGACACCAGAGTCAATGAACACACCTGAATTGCCTCCTCACATCAATCCTCTCCCTGTTTTCTTGCACAATGGCTACAGCTCAATACCACCTAGTTATCAGCCTGAGGGTGGTATGCCTTTACCAAGACCATCACTTTTCACTGGGGAAGCCTCTTGCACTGCAGGACCTGATCGAGTCCATCAATCATTTGCACCTTCAGGTGACACTGCATCTTGGTATCATATGGTGTATACATATATGCCTCTTTGTGGTGCAAAAAAATCACGCCAAGAGTATACTGATGGTGTTGTATATGTATGTCTTATGTTTACATCTTTCAAGTTGCACTTAATCATACATTTAGAGAGATGAAATGACAGGGATCCAAAAATCATCTACTCAGTGGTACCAGCTCCCTCCTATTAGACCCCTGAGGGAGTCACTTGCAGCAGATTCAGAGAACACACTGAATGCTGCTACTAGTAGCACCCCCCAGTCCATTACTAGTACCCTTCAATCCTCTGCATCAACTGTTGCTGTGGCCCATACAGGTCGCTGGCAAGGCGAAGGGTGCTTGGGTACCACCATAGTGCCTGTGATTGACAAAGTGTGCATGAAAATTGTCGTAAAGGATGTGAAGGAGTCCATTATCACTGAAACACTGAATACATGCAGGCTCCATGACTCCTCCAGTCACTTAAGTGTAGTAACTACTGCACTTAGTGATGCATGCTCATCCATCATCGTTCAAGGTGAGTATCTCAGTTGCTATTTATATGAGATCAATAGTAAATGCTGATACAATGACGACTAGATCACTTAATTAAACTATGGGTCGGCAAAAACATATCTGCGCTCTACAAGAACATCATCACGCTGATGTCAACGATACTAAACCGCTTCAAGGAGTGCACACAAGACCTTGTTGAGAATCTTTACGAGCTTCAATTGACGATCTGGACTTACCCATTAGTCCAGGTCAATCATAACAAGTCAACCGTTGATTTCCTTACTGGAAACAATAGCATTAACTACATTTTTGGTGGTCTAGTAAGAGTACATATCTTTTGCGAGTGCTACCATTCAGAGTATAATACTAATAAGACAGTTAACAGCTTGAGGATGGTCGAGAGGTCCATTACCCATCCGAGCACAAAGCGGTTATTCAGATCACAAGCCGTGCATGCTTTTGTGATGGTTACAATAAGTTCATTCACTTGGACATGAGCCTCAACAATATCATGGCAATGTCTGCAACAGCTGCATGTTGCAGTTTGCTGGAGTTTGCAACTGGTATATTCAAACAAATCAATTTCACTTACGCCAGTTTTCACACTATGTATATGAAACTCATGAAATTCATCCACGAGAACATTAGGAGCTGTCCAACGATGTTAGCTAGGTGGAACACATTATTTCAACTTCTTCACACGGGAGCTCGTTGATTGTTAGATTATCTTGATGCGGCTACATACATCAGGAAAAGTGCACATGACTTAATCTTTTCTTAAACTGACTTAAACAAGGTTGAGAGCGATTCAAGAATCAATCAAGTTTGAATGTGCTAAGATGGACTCTCTTAAGATAATTAGATCCAAATTCTTGATTTTTGACTTAACTGTTTCTTAAATGCACTTGAAAATTCTCCAAAATGAAACACATAGATTGCAATGACTCAAAGCAATGGTTAAGGGGTGATTAAGAAGGTCATGAAAACAGGATTAAGGGTGATGAAAGGGTGATAAAAGGGTGATATAAGCGACAAAAACATTAAGATTGCGGTATGATGGAGAAAAAAATGTGGGATGACGCAGCAAAAACAGGCAGGAACAAAAAACAACAGGACAGAAAACAAGCAAGGAACTGCAGCGAGTGACAGTGGTAACACATAGACGGTCGAATAAAAAATGGCACTGATTGGGCTCATTTTGAAGGGATGAAGATATGTTGTATAGCCTTGTCAAAAAGGCTATATAGAATGAGCTGAACAGTGGTGCTTCTGAGGGAAATGATGTGCCAGGAGACCAATCTCAAAGACCGTGTTGTTCCTGTATAAAAAATTGTCAGTGGCACATACAGAATTGGTAATAAACTCACCGTCACTGAAAGGCAAAGATATCAGCATACTCTTCGTCAATGTCCTCATCTTGGGCTTCCTCAGCATCCATCTTCGACCGTCCACCGTGGGTGATGGTGGCCTTCATGTATTGCTGTGCTTGTTCAATGATAACTTTCATGTTGCTGGTGGGAATGCGATTGATGGCCTGCAAAAACATTGAAGTGTCATAACCCCACAATGGCTCTGAAAAAGTCACATTTTCGCTAATCACAGCGGTCCACTGCTCGCCATTGGTAGCTGGAGCCTTGCCCTTCTGTGGGATTTTCTTCTTGCCCTTGGTGATGGTGGACTTGACCTCAAAGCTCATCTGTTTGGTTGACAGAAGATGAAGAGCATGCTTAACCTGGGGTAAAAATAAGTGTGATGATTAAAATCAGTCCTGAAAATAATTACTGCCGCTCCAGAGAGCACAAGGGCTGTTTGACACAATTGTTCCTCACTCTGAAGTGACAGTACAGAGACACGGCCTTGAGTGTAGTTGAGGTGTGCTGCGAGGGTTTGCAGGACGAATAGGGACTGCCACATTCCTGTCCATAGCTCAATGTTGGAAGATATGTTAGAATATGTTCGCCACTGGATGACAGATGATACTAACCTTTTTGTCATCTGATTCAACATTTGCAAAAAGCCACCTATTGTCCTGGAGCCAGAAAGCAGCGAAATAAGCATGGCTATCCTCATTGTCATAAAGTGGGTCAGCTGCCATGAAAGATGTGATCATCATGACAGCTGCAGAACCAAATCCACCATGCCATTCACTTAAGCGCTGCTTCGTCTACATAAAATAATATTAATTAGTACCAGGAAGATAGTTTGTGAGACCTACAACTTGATAGACCACACTTCCTGGAACAATGGTTTGGCTCATCAACGACGGCTTCCCATTATAAACGACTGCCCAAGCTTCCTCAAGGATCAAAATGAGGACATCATCCTCAATGAGCCATGGATCAATGTTATCTCCCCCAGTAGTGTGAGCAACAGTAGGAATGAAAATGCTGCGCCACATATTGCTATTGAGGCAACTGGCTAGGAGGTCACTGTTCTTGTATTTTGCCTTCACAACTTCTCCAGTGGTGCCCTTTCCAGGCCTCTGTACAGTTTCTGTTTTGATGCACTTGGTGGGTGGAGCTGTGTCATCAGAATTGTTATCGGCAACGTCCACATTTGTCTAATGAGTCAATTAGTACCAGATAATGCGACATTTTTTCACATACTGTCATCGTTGTCCGCTTGCTTGCTTGAGCCAAGTTGGAGCTTTCTTCAATGACTAAGTGCTCATTACCATTGTCGCCTTTGCCTTTGCCTTCACCTTTACCTTTGCCTTCACCTTTACCTTTGCCTTCACCTTCACCTTCATCCTCCAAGAACATGAGGCCTTCATCAGAATTGCTGAAGTCCATGGTAATGTCCATGCACTCCATTTTGACAGGCGTATCACGGAAGTTGTATTGGGAAGGTGGGGGCCGTGGTGGTGTAAGCAAACTGCTCCTAACCTCAATGATGTCCTACAAAACCATTAAAAATTGATCAGAGACTAAGTAAAATACTAACCAGTGCCACAATATTTCACAAATCGCTAGGCTTCTTCATGCCTACAAGTGTATATGCTGCCATGCGCTCAGGATGATCCTCCTCATCAGGAAAGCATCCCTCTGAGAAGTTGTCACCAAAAACTGAGTTTGTTGTAGTTCCTGGTGGTGGAGTGGCACTGCTTGCAGCTGTTGTCACCCTAGTGAGTCACGAGAATGCTGTGCTGGTGGACTGGTTAAGAGATGATAACCCAAGGCTCTTGGGTATCTTCCCCGAGTGAGCATTTATTTTGATGTTGACTTTGTGAACTCTCTGGGCCCATGTCGTGACTGCGCCTGCGTATGCTTGCTTCAAATCACTGGTGAAATTGTTGAGTAGGTTCCAATAGAAGAGTGTGGGTTCGGTTAGTAACAATATGGTGGTTGATGAGGATTGAAACACTTACACTGCAGTTCATCCTTTTCTGATTAAGTCATGTGATGCATGCAGACTTGACTTGCCATCAGCATCTATGGCAACTCAGAAGCAAGGATCACCCATGCTGCATTGACAGCATCATGGTGTAATGTTTTCTGCACACATTTCCTCTTGCCCTGCATCACCCGAGGTCCTCCTCCTCCTCACCAACTTGAAGCTTTTCCACTGCAGCAATACCCTGACTTTGCAAAACTCCTCCACCATCCAGCACTAGTGCTTGACTCAATTGATCAGCAGCTGATGTGTGTCCAGCTTTAGAGGGAGTACTTGCTGTGTCTGCCTTCCTGCCATGTGGAATGGGATGAGGACGTGGTTTCTTTGGAGCCAAGGTGTTAGTCTGCTGAAGAGAGAGCTTTTCCTGTGCAATGGCGACTTGTTCAATGCCCTTCTGGGTTTTCTCTTCCTTCTCTTGCTGAGCTTGCTGGATGCAAGCTTTGTCAGCTTTGACCTGAGCTGGTGTGCATCATTTCTGCTTGGTGTCTAAGACAACCTGTGCAGGTCTTTTTGCAGTATTTGATGGACATGTCAAAACCATATTGATCAAGAAGAGCACAAGAAAATCAGTAGGTGCTGGAGTGCAGGTTTTTGGGGCAAGACTGGGTGAATGAAATTTGTTGTAGAGTGTTGTTTAATACTTTGTGGGTGGCGAACTATTATGTACTCTAGTACCGCAAACTTCGGGACGTCCATTCAGAAAAAATGTGCCTCAAGGTCTTCCAGCCAAACACTTCCTCACACAGTGGCTCCAGTCCAGGCTGCACCTCCCATACACCCTGCAGGTAGCAGCACTTATACTTCCCGCCATTCAAAATGCAGAACATTCAATATTAATTTAATTCTGTGCCCACATCCTGGTTGCTCCCGCGCTTTCAAGAATAGATCTGGGCTCACACAGCACCGGCACGCAATTCACAGCTTCTTGTTTGAAATGCCAAGAGAAGCTCCTTCAAATGAAATGCTAGAGGAAGGTCCCTGGCAACTTGGATGGGCTCAAGGATGAACTGTGTGGACGAGAAGCCACTGATACTCATTGTGAAGAGTTCGACTGTATGATGCTCTGGGAGGAATGAGGAATTATCAGTGACTTAGTGGTAAGCATGTTCAGCTTTCATTTCTCTCACTTTGTTCACACTTTTCAGCCTTTCACAAATGATTACCCCCATGCTGATATTCACAAACTCCTGTCACTGGACATCTTGCATCAAATCATCAAAGGCACGTTCAAAGACCATTTGGTCACATAGGTCGAACAGTACCTGCTGCAGGAACATGGGAAGACGCATGCAAAAGAGATTCTTGACAATATCGACTGTTGGTAAGTATTTTTTATCATTTATGACTTCAATTCTGCTACTAACTACTTGTCATCCATTAAGCATAGCTGCAGCACCCTCTTTTGCAGGACTTCACCGCTTTCCAGAGGGCCGTGGGTTTTCACAATGGACAGGTGACGACTTGAAAGCTCTCATGAAAGTCTACCTTCCAGCAATTGAGGGACTTGTCCCTCAAGACATTGTTCAATGTTTTCATGCCTTTCTTGAATTTTGCTACATTGTGAGGCAAGATATTATTACTGAAGACACCCTTGAGAAGCTTTCAGATGCACTCTGATGCTTTCATTAGTACCAGAAATTTTTTAAAGACATGGGAGTTTGGATAAACAGGTTTTCACTGCCACGTCAACACTCCCTCAGTCATTACATCTTACTCGTCCACATGTTTGGGGCACCAAATGGGTTATGCTCATCGATAACAGAATCAAAACATATCAAGGCTGTCAAGGAGCCCTGGCAACAGTCAAGCAAGTTCAATGCACTTGGGCAAATGCTACTCACCAACCAGTGCCTCGACAAGATTGCTGCATCGCGAGTAGACTTCACTGCACACAAAATGCTTACTGTTGGCCATCTTCATGCATCATTTTTCTACTCACATGATACTAGATATTTACAGTTAATTTCAGATACTACTCTACTTGACCAGAGCTCGAACATAACTCCAAATACCTCCAACGACACTCAGAATGTTGGGGATGACAACGGCGAGGATGAAAATGACAATGATGACATGAGGAGAGACCCACTGGATCCTATAGTGGTGGAGTATGACAAAGCTGGAGATGGTGTGGTGGAAGGGTCAAAAGCACAGAGTGATGTGAAATTGGCACGTACTCCCCATGAGTTTTATGTTCCTGCTTTAAATCAATCCACTCACTAAATCTGATTTTGCTTGAAGAACACTCTCGTGCTGGCAACATACGTGCTCTGGCAATTGAAATGGATATCCCCAATCTTCCCCACCTTGTCCGACTTTTCCTTTATGATCAATTTCTTGCCAGTGACACTCACACATTGGATGATGTTCCCCTGAGTGCCTGCCCACGATTCGAAGGACCTATCAAAGTCTTCAACTCTGCAGCCGCTACTTTTTTTGCTCCCAGTGACCCAAGCGGCATTGGTGGTATGCATCATGAGTACATTCATGTGGCACTATCATGGCAGAGAGGTCCTCCTCGTTATGACACTGTGTTTATCAACACTGCCAGCAAAGACTCAATCAATGGGATGGAAGTTGGACAGGTCCTATGTTTTTTCTTGTTTTCTCACAGTGGCGAGACCTTTCCCTGCACGCTGATACATTGGTTCAAGCTTATCGATAACAAACCAGATCCAGACACTGGCATGTGGATTAGTGCTGCTGCGGTCTGGTCCAGAACCACGGTTCAAACCGGTGTAGAGACTCACATTTCTGCAGGCTGTTATAGGCACATTTCGCACCTTTTCACAAACTCATGACAACTGGCCTTTACTGCACAACTTGCACCATCATCCATATGACTTCCACTATGTCTCTAGTTGACTCTGCACATCACACACAGCTTTCACGCGAAACGCGCCATAGGCGTGATACTTTCCCACACAACACACAGCATTCCCGCATGCGCGCCTTGCACGCTTTCTCGTGCTTAAGCGCACTACGTCGCACAGCATCCAGGAGCATCCATCCATCGTCCAACCAGTCCCTTGGTATGTCCCTTTTCGTTATCTGACCATATTTGGCATATTACATCTCCCATTTCATTATGGACCCTTACTTTACATCATTTACATACTTAGAGTGCTCCCTATTCGGCTCCGAGCCCTGGGAGAGCGCTTAGGTAGAACTTACATACTCTCATGTTCGTTTTACACCTTACTTTTCCACCTTAGCTTCTTACCACGAGCTTCCTACCATTCAGTATCTTTCTACCACCATGTTACTTGGCAGTTAGTCCATGCAATGCATGTATCCATCATCATCTTGAGACCCTAGCATCAGTCTATAGCTAGTGGCACTATCAGTATCCGTCTAGATCTGCACTTTTCCTCTTATCAGTCTCAGTGTACCTCTTTTCACTTGTGCACCGCTTGCACAACCTTCCCGTGCTTCGCGCTCTTTCGCACTTCGCTTTCCCGCACGCGCCTTCAGCACATTTCTCATGCTTTCATCACCATCCACCAGGGTTGATCAGCATCATTCCGTGGATCCTTGCTTTCTTTGCTTCCCCTTTAGGGTCGAACATTCTTGCATTCTGTGAGTATAGCAGCTAGGCAGAGCTGAGACTCACTTATACTGGTTGAGCACTTTTCTTATATGTGCCTGCCAGGTTGTGATACCCACACTGGACTTTTGGTCCGGTTCTCCGTGGTTCAGTCCGTGGTTCTCACATCAGCCAGAACTGGACCAGAAAATGGTGTGGGTATCACAACCTGGCAGGCACATATAAGAAAAGTGCTCAGCCAGTATAAGTGAGTCTCAGCTCTGCCTAGCTGCTATACTCGCAGAATGCAAGAACATTTGACCCTAAAGGGGAAGCAAGGAAAGCAAGGATCCACGGAAGGATGCTAATCAATCCCGGTGAATGGCGGTGAAAGCGCGAGAAATGCGCTGCAGGCGCGCGTGGGAAAGCGAAGTGCGAAAGTGCGCGAAGCGCGGGAAGGTGGTGCAAGTGGTGCACAAGTGTAGAAGATGTATACTGTGACTGATAAGAGGAAAGGCGCGGATCTAGACGGATACTGATAGTGCCCACTAGCTATAGACTGATGCTAGGGCCTCAAGACAATGATGGACACATGCATTGCATGGAACTAACTGGTGATAGATACTGAGTGGTAGGAAGCCAAGGTGGTAAAGTTTAGGTGGGGTGTAAAATGAACATGAGTGTATGTAAGTTCTACCTAAGCGCTCTCCCAGGGCTTGGAGCCGAATAGGGAGCGCTCTAGGTATGTAAGTGATGTAAAGTGATGTAAAGTAAGGGTCCATGACGAAATAGGAAGTGTAATATGCCAAATATAGTCAGATAACGAAAAGGGACATACCAAGGGACTGGTTGGACGATGGATGGATGCTCCTGGATGATGCGCAATGCAGTGCGCTTAAGCGCGAGAAAGCGCGCAAGGCGCGCACACAGGAATACTGCACATGGTGCGGGAAAGTAGTGCGCCTATGGCGCGTTTTGCGGGAAGGTGGTGTGCTCTATAGGGAAGTCATAGTGGATGATAGTGCGAGTCGTGCCATGAAATGCCAGTTGTCAGAATTCGTAAAATGAGCCCATATGTGCCTGCAGAAACGCGAGTCTCTACAACAGTTCTCGGTTCTAGGTCCTCCCTAACAGTTTGGTTCTGGTTCAGCCTTCCCGATATCCTCTTACTTAAGGGTCTTATGTACGCCGCTTGTATAGTGACAACACAACTATACAGGATAAGACTTATTGCCAGTCCTTAAGTACACAGTCTACAACTTTTCTAGTTTTTGTGGTAGATAATGTGTGAGTTCTTGGGAGGATTTATTTCAATATACCTTCTTTCCTTGTTCCTTGGTTAGTTTAAAACAATTGAATTCTGTATACTGAGTCTACGGTATGAAATATGTCTGAGAGTTAGCGTGCTCGTGAATCATGTAGCGTGGAATGTGTGGTGTGAATCATGTCTCCCTTCCTGTAAAAGAGAGAGGAAAATAGTATGGGTTAAACTGAGTTAGATTAGCTGATAGATTATATAATCAACCTGTGTAAGGTAGCATAAAAATTGAATAAATGTTTCTTAGTCTTACTTTGAGGCTAATGATTTGCCTGTACTTTGGTTCTTACTTAATCTCACACTGTTTGAGATGAGTGAAGGTGGGAAGTGCTCCATTTATTACATGGCAAAATTGGGCTCCTTATATACCTTTTGGAGGCCCTGATTACAAAGCATGAATCATCACATGGATTGGTAAGAATATACTTACTAACAATGCCATTTGGTGTGTTGAGTCAGCCTGTTTACTAATTTACATTATAAATACAGTGTAGTTTACAAAGCATGACGAATCATGGCATGAGTCATCACATGGATTGGTAAGGATGTGCTTACTAACAATGCCATTTGGTGTGCTGAATCAGCCTTCTTACTAAGTAGCTTATAAATACAGTTAGAAATCTTACAAAGCATGACAAATCATGACAAATCATGATGTTTACCAGTCACATGACATGCTTACAAACATGTTTGGTGGCTGAAAAGAAAGTCTGTTGGCTGAACATGCCTAGGAAAAATAGAAAGAGATGGAATGTCATGGAACAAAATAGAAATACATGAAAAAATGGAAGTGAAGTTTGAAAGTGAAAATACTGGCTAATAACTAGGGGGAAAATGATGGGGTAACTTGGTGATAGGATACAGTAGGATCTATTATACCTTCCTTATCACACTTCTTGTGTATGTATCTGTCATGGTATGAGTTGCATACCATGCATGACACTGAACCATTCCAAACCCTTGTCAATTTGCCTTCCTGACTGACCTTCAGGATTTTCACTACCTTCAGCTGGGATTTGCACTATCGGACAATCAGGCTGCCTTTAGCCTTTTTGATTTAAGTACTAACTGCTGACACATTTTAGTACATATACATTACACTCATTCTGGCCTGGCATTAGATTACGTGATATCTTTGTGAGTGATTCCCCAGTTTCTCCGTGCCATACAATGACCTCTCCGCCTTTATTAATATCACCGCTTGCTATCAATTGCCCATCTTGTGATACCACCAATGTCCACACATGTCCCTTCATCTTCTTTAACACAACACATGTCTTCAAGTCCCATAGACGAAGCACCTTGTCAAGTGAGGCTTTAATTATCTGCCATCTATTGGGGAAAACTGCAACTGCCCTTACCCAGTCTTCATGACATTTGAACTCTTGCAGGTGAATGGTATTAGGCGCGGTCAAGGTGGACATTGGAGGGATTGTGGGTGTCTTTCTCTAAGCTACACTCTGAGGTGCGTGTTTTGTACACTTTATGCTTCACTGCATCAACCCATTCATTTCCATAATTACTGGTTCAAGTTACACAACGATGAAGATGTGGAATACCAAAACCTGGCAGCTACAAGGAAATCCGATACAGTGCGGTAGTCAGGTCTACTGTTGTCGGTAGTATTCACCATCAGGTGAACTTCTTGCCGTCGCAACATACAACAATGTTGTAGCCGTCACCGAACAGCATATAACAGTCTCAACTTCCCCGCATGTGTCCCTCTCCTGCTTTTAAGCTCAGCCTTGTCGGTTCGATCTTCTCCTCATCACGTCTTTGACATGTTAACTTTTGCATTTTAAGTGTATTAGCTCTCCTCTATTAACACTTTGTATCAAATGCAGACAAATGGAAGCAACACAGACCACTGCTGAACTTGGAGCACCACAATAACCTTCGACGTACGGGAAAGGCTTGAAAGGACGGCTTTTCACAATCGAGCAGCGCAGAGCATTGGATATTCATGTGTCACTGGGCGTCGGCACTCATGATCATGATTCCACTCATACCTACCTTGTGCATCGAGAAGTATCACTCGTCAAGGTATGCATCTTCACTCACACCGAGTTCAGAACAGAGAGGTGTGCTTGCTGGTATGCGAGATACCAGTGAAAACTTCTGGGGAGGGCGTTGCTACCATCATCTCGCTTGATAGCGCCAATGTTGACAAAGATATCTATATTTTCTTGCAGCATTCCTTTGCAGAGCTGGCAAGTCACCATACCAATTTTCCTCAGCCATTGAAAGATGATCTTGCAAAGCTGGTGAGCCAAGCGGGGTCTCGCAACTCTCGTCACTTTCTTGGCCCTGGTTTGGACAGGGGTGTACAGACAACGCTGATACAGCTATGATCTGTCATGGATATCCCTACAGACAGCACTCACCTGTGAATATCTATCACTCATCCATTCGTGACTATGTTTCTGACCCCTCCAACTGCGACCCTCCCTCAAGTATGCAACATCACATCGCCCCACTCCTTACTCACACATCCATCTCTCCACTTGATGACAGAGATTACAGAAAGCACGGCTCTCTTGGATGCACTCTCAGAGCTGGAGAAACAGATCGGCCACCAGAGCCACTGTCAGTTCTCATTTGTATGCTATGGCTTCGAGGAGATCGTGCTTCAGATATTGGCTGGGGACTGTGGATGGGTGTGCCAACCACAAATGGGCGAGACTGGTTGCAGACCATTACCTAACGACCTACCTTATAATCTTGCTCAATGACATAACCACGCTAACAATCACGCGTACAAGCTTTGTGTAGCACAGGGTTGTGGAGATACGTCGAGAAGGTATTTTTTAAGGTATACATATAATTGTATACCATGTGTCAGCTGTCTATGTGTACATGTGTATTGTCTGGATCTACGAAGCTCAACGTGTGTGATCTACAGATGGTCGACTTTAGGTTTGTCCAGCTAAGAAGACATGACACCTACATATCATAACTTACATCATCTCTCCCAGTGATGCGGAGGTGTTCCAGAATCAGGTATGCCACTGCCAATCAGGCAAATAGATCTTCTGTACCTCCCAAATAGATTAATTGCAGGAATATACTGAAATGTAATCAAAGCTGCGCTCAGGCCTGCCCTTCTGCCCTTCCGCGCTTCTATCCTTCTGCCCTCTTGCTCGTCTACTCGTCTACTCGTCTGCTACCATGTGTTGTCCTCAAGCTCGCCCTCACACTACTGATCCAACTGCATTTAACCAGCAACTGTTATTGTCTGGACCATCCGAGATGAATCAGCCTGCTGGACTATCGATGTTGCAACAACAGCTGTTGTCACTCACCCCCGACAGGCAAGGCAATCTGTCCCTCCTCCTGTACCAGTGTCCGGACCCCTTGCCCCTGCTATCCAGCCAAACCTGGAAATTGCAGTGTCTGTGGACAAACCTTGCACGGAGAATGGAAGGCCTCGAAAAAGAGCTGTCGACACTGAAGCGGCCAAGGAATGACGGCGAGGATGACAGCGATGATGGTGACGTAGAACCAGATGATGAGAACCGACTCGTCCACATCCTACACACCGACGTGCAACTTGAAAGAAGCAGAAGAAGGAGCCAAAATATATCCTGAACGTCCCCAAAGGAGAGCTGTCAGCAAAACAGCTGACTACACGATCTGAACTGCAGGTGTGCACCATGTTTCACAATTTGCGTTGTATTTTATCTGCTATATATGTCAGAGCTGATTGAAAGAGACTATATATTATCTTACCGGACTTATTGCTAGTGAGATTGGCAAAGAGCAGGATCAAGACATAGACGAGGATGATGCAGCCGAACCTCCAAAGATGGCATTCAACTTCCAAGGTAATGCTTCGAGTGAAGCTAACTCAGCTGTCTTCACGCAAGCTGTGAATGTAGTCTGGAAGGAACAGCAAGCAAGTCAATGCCTGACATGACAAGACGAGCTCTTATATGCACCTTAAAGGACAAGGAAACTTGTGCGCTGTGATACAAAGATGTGCGCTATACTCATGGCAATCTTGTGGCATTCGCAAAGTCCAAGTTCAGGTCCTACAAGCGCAAGTACATTGAAAAGATTGACGAAGAGAAAGCTGCAAAATGTCGCCAGTTCAACACCGCTAACAAGCATCTACGTCGTCAAGAGCATGTAAGACATGTTTCATATATTCACCATATGAGCTGACACACCAATTGAATAAGCTTGCTGAAGATCGAGAAAAGGCAGTCGAAGAGTACAAAGCCCGGAATGAAAAAGACCCCACAGATCTTCTACGACCTGAGTATATGTCAGAACAAGCATCGGAGGTCAATACAGATGACGAGGAAAAGAGGAAAGATAGGCAGAAGAAGCTATACCAAGCAGCCAAACTGACTGAGCGTGAAGTTCACGCAGGTATTCCTGTATGGGAAATTATCAGACCGGTGTGGCGAGCAGACGAGGTATAAAACTGCCCAATAAACCTAGGCTGCTGATTTTTTATCGATGACAGGTGACAAAAATCTTGGAGGAGCTAGATTCAATTAGGGACGAACAGCGCAAAGAATCCAAACGCAAAACGGCACTCACCAGATGTGTCAATCTTGGCAACAAAAGCAACACCCCGCCGTCACTTGCTATCTTTCCTTTCATGTTGGACGTCAGGTGGCACAAAGAATACCAGGCTGAAAATCTAGGTTCGGGACCAGTCGAGATCTACGAGAACAACCCAGATAGTTTCGGACAACTTGATGCTATGATCCAACCTGGAGGCAACAGCAATGATCGTGGTCAGGTCCCAAACGATGACAATCAAAGCGAGAGCAGTAATAGCAATGATGATTGAATCATGCGCAATCCTGCGCAGCGTGAGGGAAATTGTATTATATAAAACATCGACTGATTAGAAAATTTGTACATCCTGTGATTCACGTTGCTGGTCAAATTAACTCTGGAGTTCAAATAGAAAACTTACATGACTGAGACCGATCGTCGCCCAAACCTTCACGTTCTGTCCAGCCACATTTTTAATATCAGTGTAACACGAGAAGCTTGAGAGACGAGCAACTCTGGGGAAATTAGCTGGGTAGGACCTTCCACTGCGGCGTCAAGAAATTTCTCGTGTTCCCAGAAGAAGACTTCAAGTTCGGGGCTAATCAATTATCTCAGTAGATGTCTGATGTTAAATGCACCTGCGAAACTCACTAGCGAATCCAGTGGCGAAGATCAACATCCATTTTCACTGAAACCATTGAACATCAAGAAGAATTGATTCGTTCTTGACTCCACGTTGTTTTATGAGACATGATGGCAAATACTTGCCCGACAAAGCATGTACCATTAAGGTGAACCTGACGCATTTCACCATCAACCTCATTGACAAGGGCACCGAATTCTATTATTCAGGTTCACCTTAATAATAGAATTCGGTGCCCTTGTCAATGAGGTTGATGGTGAAATGCGTCGCCCATCAACAATAAGATGACTATGAAAATCTGCTCATGCAAGAAGATAGTTCGGATTGGGGTTTTCAGCAGTTGCACATGTGAGTACGCTCACAACGCTGGCCTGGGATATGTGTTCTGGTAATGCTGAACGAGCTGATGTTGCTGTTCACAGGAAAAATGAGGCTTTCACAGGTGTTCCGAGAGAGAAACGAGCCGTTGCTAGCTCACATCAACTGACTGTAACATGCAGTGAAACTAAGACTTACCATCTGTACTCGACTCTTCAGCTTCACGTGCAAGTGAGGCTACAGTTCCTTGAGTGTCCCCATCAGTTGCAAGCATCAAACGGATAGTATGAAGGAGAAGTCCAGACTTGCTGTTGTCTTCGGTGTTCGTGGTTGCCAACAGGTTGATGAGCTGCATGCATGAGATGATTTTAGATCAGTCTTCATATATGCATGTGCTGAAATTTTTCACCAGTGTACAGAGCTCACGGTCCTTTCAAACGCATGAAAAAAAGTAACCTCAAGTTCTCCACCTCCATGGTTGTTGTGGAATAGCTCTTTAGCACCTTGTTGAGGGGCTCGAAACGCCGGCATGAGAGATGATCCACCACAATTGGTCCGAAGACAAGGGCTAGGCCCTTCCATTCATCAGAAGTCAAAGAGCCTCCTGCAGGGTAGCCTACCTTCTCAGGAAGACGTGCTACCCATGAGGGCATTTCAAACTGTAACCGTCATTCAACAACGTGGATTTATATGGAAACTCGTGCTTACCACCAACAAATAAGCATGAATTTGATCCAGCTCACGAACAACTTCTGCAGTCCTAGTGCGCTGATGGAAATTCTTTCCATTAATCCAGGCATTGAACCATTGAGTCCGAATTATACCTAAGATCATTAGAGCTTCATACACGTGAGGTCAGGCAGGATCCACTCACCAAGCAGGAAGCTATGCATAGGATCTATTACTGTCATTCAGACTGGCTCAAAATATGGCAATCGTGCAAGCTCAAACCACCGCACACTATGCTTCTTGAAATATGCTTCACACTCACTTGATGGTAGATCGTGGTATTCCTTGGCACATTGCTTATGCTCTTGACCGTCGCGCGCAGTAAATTCTAGGCATGTCAGCAACACCATCACAACATGAACTTAAAAACTGACTATCGTAGTCCATGGCATCTTCTGTAGATAGCTTACTCTTTGGGATGTGACATTGCGTGCAGAATCCCTCTTCCTTCGAGTGTCCTCCAAAGCCGCACACCTTACACATCGTGGGATGGTCGCAGCAGACAGCGACAAGAATGACACGAATCCGTCGACCACTTGGATACCCTGGTGTCTTGATGAGAATACCATCGTCATAGAGCTTGAGGAGGTCATCGATATAGTTCTTCATGAAGTGCTGTAGTTGGTCCGAGTTAAATTCCTTTGGCCCTGGAGTGATACTGAAAATCATCAAATTCCGTGGTCAATATCTGAGGCATGCTGAGTCCTGACGAGCTTATTCTAGTTGATACGTAAATATATCACGCACTGTAAATATGTTGGGAGATTGGCGATGCAGCTAGACATCACTCCTGAACTGTGAGAGCTTGAGGTGGTGCTTCTTTCATAGCTATATCTGTGGACAATAATTAGTGATGATTTTAATGAGGTACAACTACTTACCCATCGAAGCCGAGAGTGATTCCAATTCTCAATTCATCGCAGCTGCTACGCTCAGAACTGTTGTCGAAAAAGAACTCGCCGTCTGATCCACGTAGAGTCTGCCATATGTCGCCATCCTGAATTCTTGTCCTCTTGCCGGCAGGATTCTCCTGCTTTCGCCACACATCCATCTCTTTCTCCATGCCATCCTGCCAAAGAAGACGAAGCAAGGCATTAGAAAGTGGATGTTGTGCGCACTGTAACTTTGGTCTCGGCTTGGAAGATCCGTGTTTCGACTCCGCATCCTTTGATGATTGTTCTGTTGGATGTTGAGAGGTGTTGTCAGTGGGTGGGGGAGGTGGAGGTGTGTCCATGTCATCATCTGATGCAGGTGCCATGTGTTGAATTGGCTTCGTTAGCTGCCCCTGCAATGCCTCGATAGAGATAGATTTTGCAGTTGCGTGCAGCGTGCCTCTTTGTCAGAGTCGGGAGGATAAACTCGGCAACAGTTTGGACACAAAGGGTGAACATCAAAATGATCGGTAAGTTCAAGCCTCGCATAAACAGTTTTCAATGTTTGCTCAGGCTTATCTTGCACCCCGAAAGCACCGAGACCATGAAATATGATGGCAAGCACTTTTAAAATCAAATTATTAGCACGGTGGGGAAGGTGATAATGGAGGTGGAGCCACGGTACTAGAAGTAAGATGATCTTCCAGAACCAATAAGGCGAGGCATCATCATGAACTTCGCAAGCAGGCTGTGATGGTCTTTCTGCTGGCTGGACATCATCCACGGGGGTGTTCTCGTGCTGCAACACATCAGGAACAGAGGCGACTGGCACAATACTTGGCGCTGAGCTCTCTTCATCCATGCTTGACAGAAATGTGTCATCCAGGAGATCAAGCAGCAACCTTGACTTCACATGCCCATCTTCATGCAGAGGGTCCCCCTCCTCTCCTTCATCATCCGAAAAGTCCTGAAGTAGTGGGGGCATATCAGAAAATTGGTCTCGGTCATCGGCCTCAAGGAACAGGTCATGCAGTGAGCTGTCATCGAAAATCTCATCGACATCCATTTCCGAGTTGAAATCAGAGCCCGTGACAGAAATAGCCATATCACTTGCCGGTGAAGGAGCTCTGGATGTAAGTGTATCGAGAGAAAAGGCTTCAGGTAGTAAGTCGATATCTGGAATGTTGAATTGAGAAGCAAGAGTCGGAGATGAGGGGGTGAGATCATTGAAAGCTTGGATATCGTCGTCAGAGGATTGCGCATGTGCTACATAGTCATTAAAAGATACATGAGAGCAAATCTCAGTTGCTTGACAGACGAAGACAAACCAAATCAGACGAACTGCCTGCTGCTATCTCGAAGTCAGCAGAAGGACCTGCCGATGCCACAGTTACCTTGAAGGTCCATTGCTGTGTGGATAACGTAGTTGCCTTCAATCTTTTTACCTTTTGCTCCCTCTGGCGATGCCTTCACTCATCATATTTTGGGATTTTCTTGCCTTTTGGACATTCCTTAATGCACTCCGTGCAGTTGCAAGTCACAGGGCGCTTCTCGGTATCGTACTGGGTTTATTTGCTTTGCATCAGTAGACTAAAGCTGTGAAATAACAGATGACTCACTTTGCTCTTCTGCTTCCCCAGCGTTCCGGACATTTAGTAATAGTTGTGTGGTCAGAGTCAAGGGTGGTGGGGACTTAGAGGAAATTTGGGCAAGTTGTGAGGGCAAAGGTGGACTGGGTGTCCGTTGATTGAACTGTCTATCAAGCTACCATAGGTAAACTACTGGTTCATATTCAGCAGATCTGCCAGGTGAAACAAGGGTGTGGGGACAAGTTTTGAGCACATGTCGACAAGCGGAAGTTTGAAGGCTAATACAGATGTGTAGTGTGGATCAGTCGAGGAAGAGTTTATGAAGTTATACATGATGTTGCTGCCGATTTGTATGTGAATGGGCAGTTGAGATTAGCTTTATCAATATATACAAAGCTAGACACGTGGCGTACAGAATGATAGGGAACGCAGTGAATCTCCACTCAATGAGACACTTGGGTGGTTTGAGACAGCAGCAGCAGAAGCAGAGGAGCATGCAGCTGCTATGTTGGACTAGTTACTCAATGTTGCGTAGATCTACTGTGTCAATTTTTATTGTGCTCGAAAATTTTCAGTTCAGTTCGCATTCAGACCACAAAAAAACCAAACCAGACTATTGAGAACAGTTCTTGATGGTCCAGTTCTGGGTTCGACAATTTTGCAGAACCAGACCATGGTTTGGTTCTCAGTTCTCGTCCAGGGCCCTCTGAACCGGACCAAACCGGACCACAGCAGCACTAATGTGGATGGTACAATGTTCTTTCCACCTGGATGGCTCACAAGAGCTCTCTGTGATACATCTTGACACGATCATTTGTGCATTGCACCTGCTACCAATGTTCAGTGATCAATTTATTGACAATGATGTGTTATTTCACAACTCATTGGATTTGTTCACTAGTTTCTATGTAAACCAATTTGTAGATCATAACTCGTTCGATATACTATCTTGAGTTTCAGCTTACCTGCATTAGTTGACTTGATTTCTTCCTGTCTTAGCTCCCTTAATCTCAAACCAGCTGGTATCTGCCAAAGGACATAAAGTCTGCATCAGTGAAAATGTCCAATCTTAAGCTCAGCTTAACCAGCTTACTCGACTTCACACAAAATTTCAAAATTGTAAGTGTGATTAAGTAACATGCACATTTCCTGATGCTAGTTATCTAGACATGATAATCTTGATCAAAATGGACACTCAACGAGTAGGCGAGCTCGCGAGCCAATGAAACATTGAGTTAGGGCTTTTTAAGTGCACGTGTTTTTGACATATAGGTGCACAATCTTCAAAAGATTCTCAGATTCCTTCTGCCTCGTGCCCTCACCTTCCAGTTCTCAGCACAAGTCTGTTGTCCATATTTTTCATCGGTTTTCCATCTGATTCAGTTTCATTGTAAATATGACTACGTCTAACCCTCCTGCTGGCAAAACTACCCATACCTGCGATCAAATCATCGCGGAAAATGCGGCCATCATGGCCAGAAATGACATATGCCTTGCCCATTGCAACAAAGGTGAAGCTAATGTCGACAACAATGAGCCTCTCATCCCTTCTGTGATATTCTCAAATGCTAACAAGGCCAATGCTAACACTTCATCGTCATCCCCCTCCAACCCTACCCCATCCTCCTCCAATCCTACCGCATCATCCTTGCAATCTACAGCCCCCCCTCCAGCTCCCAACCCCACCAATACGAACATCAACACTATGATTTCTGCTCTGGCCAATCTTTTCCCCAACCAAGCTCACCAAAATTCACACTTCTATTTTTAATACTACTTCTCCTTCATCTATCACAACTGCTTCTTCTTCATTGTCTTCCACTGCCCCTTCTGTCCCATCCATTACTGCACCTACCTCTAACAAACACCCCCACCCTCCTTCCACCCTCCTTTTGACATCGACAACAAATGTACCTCATCAACCTCCATTTCAGATACATATGGCGTACATACTTACATTGTAGAAACTGGCCAGGTGCCATCAGCACATTCCCCTTTCAATCTAAACTACAAAAATCACGACTCGCTATTTCTAGAACCATCAATGCTTAAATTTGTTACGCACTATACTTCCCACCGCAACTCCACACACACGAAATGTCATATCCTCGATGTCTCCCCAGTTTCCTGCAGAATCCTCCATCTCCATTGGAGAATGGCATGAGGCCTGGGCACACTTTCTCAAACTACTTGCAGACTATGCCTCTCCTGAGATTCATGAGCAATGGGCATGTCACCACAAGGACTTATGTGAACACCCCGATTTTGAAGAACACTGGCTGGCCATCCTGGCCTTTGATATGGCCCAATGGGCTTCATATACTGCAGATTCGCAACCTCTCAATGAAGCTAAGTACCATTGCCAGTTTGAGAGCATTAAAACTTGTGTCCTTAGAGAAGCATGCCTCAAAGAGGTCTGCCAAGCAGTTTCAAAGTTTTACCATTACAAACCTTACTCCCATGACCTCAGCACACACAAACCTCCCACTGTTGACAAGTCCTTTCGGGGCTCCTCAAAGTCAGAAGGGGACTGTCTTCCCCCCATCTGCCTCTGTTGTGGAAAACCTTGGTCATACCTTTCCAAACTGCACTACCAGTGCCACGCTGTCAGGTTCGACACCCACACTTGAAGGTCATCAAGAAGCAGATCACTTGCTGTGGCCTCCCCAGACACCAAATACTGTGTCGACTTCAACATTTACTGCAATGGAAAGCGAGCCTGCACCAGACACACTCACCGAGGAGGTGAAATCCACGCATGCTCCCTATGTGGATCCCAAGACCACGGTGCTTGCAGCTGAAAGTGTCTGGACAACAGATCCTGATTCTATTCCCTACTCTACATGGGACACAGTCTATGCGTTCCATTCTCTTTTCCGGTCAGAGAAAGATCCGATTGATTGTGACGCTAACTCAATCTGTTCTACAATTAGTGACAGTGGTAGCTGCATGTAAGTATTTGGGCAAGGCCCCGCAGGGGCTTTTGCCAGAAACATTGCTTTGAATCTAAGAGGTCAAGATGAGCTGTGGTTCCCAAACACATAAGCAGCCCAGCGACGTGTCATGGCGCAGCTTGGACTCCCTATTACAAGGAGCGGGGCGAGACATACCTCCAATCAGCGCAGCTGTGGCATAGTATAACGAGTGAAGGGTTCAATAATTGGGGTATCTTGAAGGTATGGTGCCATTATCATGGCATGATTGCGCAGATAAATGGTGAAGGCTTCACTGGACCATCTTCCCATAGACTTGACGACATCAAAGGGAATCCCATGCAGCAAATATTCGAGTGTCCCTCCGATCCGAATGCTGTGACCGTTCAGCTCCGGGCATCCTCCCTGCTTAGCAATCACTCCAATTCTCTTTAAGAATGCACCTTGCGTTAAAGGATGCATTCCGTTGGGGTGTTTCCATGTGAATAGATGTTGTTCGTATGATGGATTATTGATTGCGAAGTGATTCGTGAGTGCTGCTTTAGGGTCTGATGCGTCTGATTGCTCTGCCCAGTAGATATCTTCACCATTCATAGAGGTTTTGGTGCATGGTATGTGTATCTTGGAGACTCGTATTCCATGCCTATCTTCCCTGTCTAAGCTTACATCTCCACATTTGACGTGTTGCCCTGGTTCAAAAGTCTTAATCAACTTGATTGTTAATTCTCCCAGCCAGGCGAGTGAATAAAACGAGCTTGTTAAACATGCAAAAATGGCTGCATCAAGAGGTGATTCCAGGTTAAGGTGCATCCGAATCTTTATGATTGATGTAACTGTGAACGGCTCTCTCTTTGGATGTTTGAATCCTGCAGGAGCTTCATTAGTTGCTCCATCTAACACCAATTTCAGTTTGCCATGCTCAATTCTCCATGGTTGTCCATGTAGAACATGCCAGGCACAAATGCCAAAGACATAATTGGCCAATGTCTTTCCTGCATATGCCCCTGCACAGCTTGCAACGAAGGTGAGTAGCATGCATGTATCAGTAGGACAGCACTCATGTTCGGGAATACTCCATGTGTCACAGAATACATGGAAAACTAAGAGGCTGGCTCCATACAATTCTCTGGTGCCTTGCGACCACGACAAGTTCATTACTGTGAGTACTCATTCGAGGTCTTGATCTGTGATGGTGAGGACACTTCCATTTGCACTCCAAAAGGACCAACTTTCTACTGGGTGCCAAAACCTGAGCCGGTCACAGGCCAAGCAATGTGGCCTCAGTGAGGATGCCACTGGGGTTAGCCCTGCTTTGTATGGGGGTGGCTTGGCCAGCGAGACTGTAGTTGTCAGTGGTGTTGTGAACCGAGAGTGTTCTCTCTGAATCAGTTGTCCACGTCCTGTGTTACCATTTGAGGTATTATTTGGTGCTACTAATGAACTGATTAAGATATTGGAAAGTAGACGCGCTGCAGGTAACGACAATTCAGTGATGTTGTGGTGTGCTGGGTGTGAAGTCGAAGGGGTCATAGAGAAAGGGATGGAGAGGGTCAGGGATGGGGATGGGCAGGAGGAGTATGTTCGTGTCGCCGTATATGCCTCTGGAAGGAGGGTTTGCTGGGTTGGAGCTACTGGTGACGTATGAGGGATGGAATGAGTGTGGAGTTGGTAAGAGGAATAAAAACTCAAAGGTCCGTCTAAAGACTTGGTTGACAACTGCATTGTGGCTGCGCCCATTCTTCCAGCCCTTGATGACTCCTTGATTGTCCCCGTAGACATGGAAGTGCTGTTCTGGTCTATCCAAGGCAATAATGTGTCAAACAAGAAGTTTGAAACTGACGGCCTCGGCCCACCCGATATCCCTTTGTCCATCAAGAGTTGCCCAGCCTGGGTTCAATCTCCAAGCTCTCCACTGTTCTCCACTGATAATTCCGATTCCAAAGCCTGCACTAGCATCTGAGAATGCTGCTGGATTATGTAGGGTAAGTGGCCTGGGGATTTCCCGTCCAACAAATGCGCTTTGCAAGATGCTTGCCCACCACTCAATATCCTTGGCAAGGCCTTTAACTGGCCTGTGAGGTAAGAAAGGGCATTGATGACAAACCCACAGCATGCTTTCGAGACTTGTGAGATAAGCCCTTCCTTGTGGATATACCAATGACACATGTAGAAGCTTGCCATGCAGCTTTTGTACATCATTGAGAACATGCAATGTGTGACCCTGCCACTCTTGTAATGCCAGAAGATACTTCGACTTCTTTTCCTCTTCCAGATATACCAGATTACCTGCAAGGTCCCAAGCTAGACCGATGTAAGGGTTAGAATATGCGAAGTAAGCGTCTTTGGCCAGTTCCCAAGGAGTTCGCGTGGTGCAAGACGATCAATTGATGTCATCGAAATTATAAGTAAACATCTCGTCTTCAGGTGACCGTGGCGATGCTTTTGACAAATCAAAGACTGGGAATCTGCAATCCTCATCAAATTCTTCAATAGTCCCATCATTGAATACGTGTCCGCCAAACCATATGCGGCTACCATCTTGGTGACTGCCTCTCTTGATGATGTCTTTGTGCCATTGTCGCCGTTGCTCATTGTAGCTTTCGAGGAACTCTTTCATATACAGAAAAATAAGTGGTCATTGACCCATCGTGATGCGGGACTGATACCTTGTGACCTGAAAATGTCCAGTCTCGCATCTGCAACACAACCATAAGCTCCTGCAGAAGGCAAGACACCAAATGAAGTGCATGTGTCAATGCAGAACCAATCATCAGCAATACGCACCACAGCCGCTGGCCATTGCGAGTGATTGTAGCAGGATTGTGCAGTATGCTTCCGACACATCCCTTGTTGCGATCTGCGATCTGGGAGGCAACCTGCTGATAATGAGTGCGACTGTATAGAAAGTTCCCCAGGTACTGGGAAATTGATCTGTGTCAATATACAAATTGATGGATGGATTAGGGAATTCATTAGAAGGCGCATGGGGAAAAGAGTAATCTTGGATGACATGAAAACATCCTGGTCAACCTGGTTTTGGAATGATTGATATCGGTGACATTTGGAATGGGCCGATGAGACTCTCAATTTTGGCTAGAATGTAATCTTTGTTTGGGGGTGACTGAGTGGTTTTAATGACGGGAAAATTAAGATGAAAACCTTGACGGAGACCTTCAGGAATATGGGGATATCTATCAATAAGGCTGGCTCGCATAAGCCAAGCTTCCCAAGCTTCTGGGTCATAAGGGGTAAGCACTTTAAGTTTTCTGCGCTCGAGAGCAAGCCTGGACTCCATGAGAGGAGGCCGCACATCCAGAACAGAAGTGTTGGCAATCATGAGAGGTCTCCCTGCATCCTGAGACCCTTTGCCAGTCACTGCAGATTGGGCAACTGTCTCGCATGGTAAGGACTTTTCCAACTCGAATGCAGAGGGTGTCCGAGACATTGTCCCAGGTCTTGGTTGCTTTGCATTCAATAATCTTGTAGGGGTGTCTTCCCAGGCAGACAGCGCAAGCGGATAGGGGACCTCCACTTGCGCCCCCTCAAAAATCCTGGTGTGACCTCTTATAGTGTTCCGGAGATGGTGACCGATGATGATAGTCTCGTCACTTTGGTCACCCCCTTACAGACACCTCTTAGGTTGATTGTCACCTACAGAGGTTTTCACCTAAGAGGTGCATTTCTGCTGGTCTGCCCGGTGTTCTGTGGTCTTTCCCTGTTGTGCTTGGGGACCAAGGCCATGGACCATACATGAACCAAAGACCATTGGGAATTATGTTATGGGAGTACCACAGGATGATTTGGACCACTTGAATTCTATATGATGCAGGGGTTGTCTGGGGTCCTCAAATGCCAATTTCTTTGGAAAATTCTCACTATATGTATTGATCTATGCTCTGCACCCTCCATAAACCTAACAAATATTCTTATATATAATTGAACAATATATCTGGTGGGTATATGGAAAAATGAAAGTCATTACTTTAATTGAACTTCTTAATGAAAGTTGTAGTATGTGTTAAGGCGAGTCTATATGTGATCATACCTTATCAAAATTTTGAAGGGAAGGTGAGATATGGCCATAACAAAAATCGTTGTCGGGCTTGTTTACCAAAACAAAAGTCATTATCCTTGATGAAAGTTGTAGTCCTAGTGAGGGTAGGTCTATACCTGCACATATTTGTCAATTTGCTATCATTGGAAAAGATATAACCTTTGTGCAAAAACAATAAACAGGGAAGACCACATGCTTAATGGGAAAGACCATAGGCATAATATTCATCTAATAGGGAAGACCATAGGTGCAATATTCATCCAATAGGGAAGACCACAGGTGTGATATTCATCTAATAGGGAAGACCATAGGTGCAATATTCATCCAATAGGGAAGACCACAGGTGTGATATTCATCCAATAGGGAAGACCATAGGTGTGATATCCATCCAATAGGGAAGACCACAGGTGCAATATTCATTTAATAGGGAAGACCACATTTTTAATGGGAAAGACCACACTTTGGTTAAAGACCACAGTAACTCACTTGTGGTCTAAAAGACAAGCCGACAACGATTTTTTGTATTGCTTATAACTTGCTGAAATCACATGCAATTGCTTAGATAATACAACATACATTCCCGCCCCAAGTAGTACTACATATTTTATCAAAGCATCGGACCATGGGAAATTATTATGTTATGAACACATAGTCTATTTTTGCCATTCTTATGAGTCACCTCACAGTCAGGGGCATTACCACACAGCAGATTTCGAAATTTCAGGCACCTGTGGGAATTTCTCCTTAATTTGTCATTCCCCATAGTTTCATAAGTCACCCCACAGTCAGGGACATTACCACACAGCATGATTATGCAATTTCAGGAATTACATCAGATTTCATCAGGGGGATCTACATAGTTATAGCTATATGTAGTTGCAAATACTGTCCCCAGCATCAGTTCAACATTATGAACAATGTATCAGCAGCTCATGACAGCAGGTGAAGCCTTTGTGGTGCTGTGTGACCACCCTCTCCTGATGGTTCACTCCCTGGGAAAAATCAAAATTGCGAAATGGTCTTCCCTGTTTATTGTTTTTGCACAAAGGTTATATCTTTTCCAAATGATAGCAAATTGACAAAATATGTGCAGGTATAGACCTACCCTCACTAGGACTACAACTTTCATCAAGGATAATGACTTTTGTTTTTTGTAAACAAGCCTGACAACAATTTTTGTTATGGCCATATCTCACCTTCCCTTCAAAATTTTGATAAGGTATGATCACATATAGACTCGCCTTAACACATACTACAACTTTCATTAAGAAGTTCAATTAAAGTAATGACTTTCATTTTTTCCATATACCCACCAGATATATTGTTCATATATAAGAATATTTGTTAGGTTTATGGAGGGTGCAGAGCATAGATGCAATACATATAGTGAGAATTTTCCAAAGAAATTGGCATTTGAGGACCCCAGACACCCCTGTATCATATAGAATTCAAGTGGTCCAAATCATCCTGTGGTACTCCCATAACATAATTCCCAATGGTCTTTGGTTCATGTATGGTCCATGGCCTTTGGTCCCCAAGCACAACAGGGAAAGACCACAGAACACCGGCAGACCAGCAGAAAAGCACCTCTTAGGTGAAAACCTCTAGGTGACAATCAACCTAAGAGGTGTCTGTAAGGGGGTGACCAAAGTGTTGGGGTGACCAAAGTGTTGGGGTGACCAAAGTGTTGGGGTGACCAAAGTGTTGATATTGACGTTGTGTACTCCAAACATTGAGTCTACTAATCTACAATAGTTGATATATGTATAATCTGCAATGGCCTGGGTAGTCTGTATTTGCTCCTCATATTTCATGAGTTCTGTAGCATGCTTTGAAGCGGTGGCATCAGTGTCATTGTGATCTGGGATTGATTTGATCAAAATATATTCAATACCTGAAAGACAAACACTCTGAATGGATGATTCAAACAGTCTACTGCACCGGACTCATCCTCCACCAAGGAGCCAATCCATTGTCCATGACCTCGAATACCTGAAAAAACCAGATTGCAACTTAATTTCATCTAGCCAGAACAAATGTACTGAGTTAACTGCAGAGTGCAGTTTCCAGTGCTTCTGCAGCTCCCTACCCAGTGGAGGATTTGAGTGAAGGAGTTTACTGATGGTTGTAGACATTTGTGCGCTTTCATCATGAATGGCAGTCCACAGACAACAAACTTTGATGTTGAGGTGCTTAACCTCTTCATGCACACCATGAAGCTTGAAGAATTTGACCAGGGCTTCTCTATGCATCAGCTTGGTCCAGTCAAGTTCACGAGTGTCAGTGCATGAATATCGGAGAACATCAAATTCTCCTAGGAAGCTATACTCGGTGATATCCTCCTGATAAGTGTGGTCGGAGGATTAAAGGCAGTAGCCTGTGCATTGTACTTGTTGATGGCATTCCGAATTGCATCCTAGTGTCTCTGTAACACCTTTCCTATTTGTTGTTGTAGCTTGCACCCTGCCAACAGTGATCAGCTTCCCTCAAACACAATATCATTTACTTACTCATCAATGAAAGTGAGAGCTTGGATAGCTCGAATAAGTGCATGACAACAAGATGTTCTAACTCATCAAGAGCTACACGATACTTCTGGAGCAATGACTTTGGATGTCGTTACCTACATGGATACCTAGAAGTCCGAGATTGTTTTGAAAGAACAATCTGCTGTATTCCTTATTTGCTCATAGGGGCTAAAGGCTCTGGGCTCAAGATCTCAAGCTTGTGAATAAATATATCCCATCAGCTGGACCTTTCCACAGGTGGGTCATGAGTTCGGATGGCAGATTGCTTTGCCTACACCATGCTAGGAAGGTATATCGTGCATGGACCATTTACTCCCACTCGACAGGCTTAAAAGGGAGCTTCCTACATAGAACTAGAAGTACAAGCAGTCGGAGCAGTGGTAGCCCCCTGACGAGAGCTTTCGCAGGCTCGAAACTGCTGCCCTACTGCTTTACTAGCTTCTCGATGCCCTACCTACCAGCGCTTTATCTTAGGAGACAGTGGTCTGCAGCACTGGGTGCTGGAAGTGGTCTGCCTAGTACACTAATTCAAAGTCAATATTCTTTGCCCTCGCTGTGCTTCAGGCCGAGAATTGCCACTTCATCCCTGTACTTGTTATATTCATCGCCTCCGATTGTCCACTACTCTTCAATTCTAAGCCGACCCTCAATATGGGCAGTGAAAGTTTCAGTGTGCTATTAATTTGGTGTAAGTCACCAACAGGGATACACGTCAGCACCTGATTGGCAGCTTCTTAGGCCTTCTCCCATTCTAACCTAAAATTTATGAATCTAGTAAAGGAGGAAGAATATGCGATGACTACTAGAGTCAAACTCACCGCTGTTCAGCCAGATCATCAAGAACCTTGACATAGCGAATTTGAAGTCTGTCATTGAGAGGCTGCTCTTTCAGAGATTTGAGGTAGGATCTTTCATCAGTATGGAACTGAGCAAAGTCAGCATCAGTCAGGTTGAGAGCTTGTTTAACAGCCGACACTTCAGTGGAGACTTCATGTATGAGAGTTAGCGCTTCTCTGTAATGATTTCGTAAAAGGATGCCTATCAACACTATTAGTTGACCAAATGTTTGGCAGTGTGTGAAATGAGATGTACTTAACGCTGCATATTTATCCTGGTCCCAGAAGGTGAAATGCTCCTCGATTATTTGATGGAGATGAAATGGAGACACATGTCTGGTGCTCCATGCAAGGTTTGAAGATGAAAATATATGTTCACATCCCTCACCCTTGGTCGGTCCGGTCCCTTCAATGTACATAGGGTGCCAATCTAGTTGGCACATTCAGTTATGAGCATGACCGTGAAATGTGCCAACCATCATGCGCAAATTGAGGTTTGGGGCAAGGGGACCAACACTGCTGTTAGCTAGAGTCTTTGTGAACATACACCCAATATTGTAAGCACATCCACCATTCGTACCAAAATGGATAGCAACTGGTTTATCAAAGCTAAGGGGTATTTTGCACTAAGGTTAAATTTAGCATAATGCATGGATAACGAAACTGGAACCTACAGTTCACCACTCTGCACCATATCGCAAGCAAGAAGTACAAACCAATGCCAACATGCTGCAATGAAGATGCCAGACTCATCAAAAACAGAAAACATTTTCTTGCGCTGCTTGGGCCCAGCATTTCGCCACTGCTGTGTGCAATTGAAAGTACCCTCAGACTCCACTGTCTCAGTTACTGAATCTTCCCAGTCATCTTGTAGATCTGAGTTTGATTGGCTCAGCTACTTGAGTTAGCTTACCATTGCTACACATATGAATAATACATACTGCCGATCTTCAACCTTCATCCTTGAATATATCAACACTTGTGCGATCAACCCAGTAGTCAGAACAAGGCTTTCGAGAATCTTGCAGTGGAGTAACACCATATGTTGAAGATGCCCATCTTTTGAGGCTGTTGTTGCCATCAATAGAGACAAGCCACTGAAGTGCTAGCGGAGGCTCATCTTTGAGTTTGTAAGTACAACATGGACATCCATTGAGTAGACGCCAATTGGGCGTGTTGCGATGGAGTGCTTCATTCAAGTGGTGGTCAACGTGATGCAAAATTTCAAGATAAATGTTGTATGCATTGGAGAACTGAGAATTTAGGTATGGGTCGATATGGCATCTATAATACAAATATTGGTTCGGATGTAAATAATGACACATACAAGCGCATACATTATGAAGATGGCATAGCGCCTTGCATTGTGCCTCAATACTGAATTAAGGACAAGTTCGGTGGCATTGACAATAGTTTGCAAGGGTACAAATCGAAATTGCAATCATCAGATATAGAGGGGAGCACCCCAGGTAACCATGGTAGATGAGCATCTTGTTGGGATAGCAATGGCATGGTTGAGGTTCCAATGACATCCATTGATGACCTGCAGAAGGTCAGGTGAGCATACCAGAATAAACAAATACATACCAAACAAATCAACGAGGTCAATACCAGTCAGTGACAGCCAATCACTACCCTCAACAGCTGGGGCAGCATCTGCAATGCTTGGCATTCCATCACTACAATTGCATAAACAGTAGTCCAGATAGGAATCAACCAATCAGTTGATTTGGTTGTGCCATTGCTCAGTTTGAAGTTCGATGTGATCATGCCTTGTGCGAGGATCAACATAGCGACTGAAAATGAAAATGAGAAGTAAAATTGATTGCCTACTGACAATACTCACACATGTGATAAGGAAGCAACTTGCATTGATAGACCTTCAAAAGCTTCATACTCACCAGAGACAGGACTGTTGAATGATACTAAGTCAGTAGATAGGTAGGTATAGGCCCTAGAGTAGCGACATACCAATAGTGCTGATATAACTCTCAGTGTAGGTGTCGTCTGCGAAGCGGGAGAGGAGAAAGGACTGTTGAACAATACAAAGTCAGTAGATAGCTAGATATAGGCTTCACAGTAGCGACGTACCTTGCCAGCACCAGGTTTGAAGGATGGTTCAACAACGGTGAGCTCCAGGTTGAGGAATGGGCGTTGAAGGGAGACAAGTCCACAAATGATGGTAAGCCCATCAAGGGCAATGTCCGGGACCAAGCCTACATATCAGTGGAGAGCTCTGACTGCCTCGAGATCACAGACAACGATGAGGGAGGGGAGGGGAAAACCATGAGAACAGTTCATATAATGGAGCAGAAGGATTAGTGACGAAACCGGCACAGAACAGAACTTTCCCGCACCTTATGCATAGATATACCTAAGGACGTGCAGGGTTTGGGGCAAGGTTTATGGCTGGCATTGGCATTTGAGGAGACTGATGGTTGGTCTTCATGACCTCTGGTGCGCTTGCCAAAGCTTTTGGCACCGGTCGATCATCAAACCGGTCAGTGTCTTCAGCATTTGTGCGGCCATGCAGGTGTTGTTCAACTGCAGGCAGAGATGCCCCTGCTTTGGTCTTGTCAGATTTGTCCTCAGTTGAACTGATGTAGGGTCGCTTGGTGGAACTCAGCTACCCTTTGGGAATTGAGGTTAGTGACAATGTTGTGGTTGCCAATGGCTTTCTTGTCGGCCTTGCACTGGTACTCACATCATCAGCATCGCCATAAGATTCATCCTTGGCAACAGGAGAACGCATTCAGCCCTTTTCATCCATCCAGGCTTTGAATTTGAAGGTTGGTCCAACCTGGGTTTCCTGTCGGTCCCACCAAAAGTCCAAGATTGCATTGGCATCAGTGTGGAGCATTTTGGATGGCTCCAAGATCTTGGTATCATCAGGTAGGTATATGCTGGAGATAAATTTGAACTGCCCCTTCATGATGTTGCTCCAGGGCACTGGGACCTTGGGCTTTCCACAATATGTTCCTGTTCCAGCCAGCATCAGATGATGAAATGGGTATTGGTCATCTGGCTTACTGAATGGTAAGGAATGACCAAATTATTGCCTTCTTGGTCTCGAGGAATAAATCTTCCATCTCAGGCAACATTGGTGGAACCGAACAGTCCAGCTCAAATTTATGGTATGGTTTTGGGACCCGCCAAGTGCCTCTGAGCAGTGTGGTGTCCTGGTCTTGATCTTGGCCTTGGAGACATGGATTGAATACAAGTCCTTCTGAAAGGACTGGAGAGACTCACCAAATGCATCACCAATGAAATCTTCCCATACTGGTAGGATGGCCTGCTAGTCCTTGCCTTTCATGAAGCTGGATCCCTTACTAAGCTGCTCATTGAAGTCAAACCTGCAACAAACAAAGTTAGCACAATGACCAACAAACCAACCAACCAACCAACCAACCAACCAACCAACCAACCAACGAGTGACTGGAAGAACTCACCCAGATGTAAGCAGCCCCCCCTTCTCATCCTTCCAGGAACCCAAAACAAAGACTCTCATACCGGCCTGAGTAAACATTTCTTTGGCAAAGTTCTTGACCATTTTTTCACCCTTCTTCCTAGCTGTCTTGGCCTGGACAGCAGCATTGGGGGCTTGATTTGTCCACTTATCAGCCTTTGCCTCAGCTTCCTGCAACTCCTTTTTGTCCAGCTGGTACATGATTGCTGTCATGGTCGGCTGATACCTCCTCAGTACTTCCTTGTGAGCAGGCTTCTCTCCAGTCTCTTCCTCAATTTCTTCCTGAATTTGCTGAAGAATCTTGGCCTTGCACTCTTCCTCAATGACTCACCGTGCCGTCCATTTCTTTTGGCTTGGTGGGTGCTTTGGAATCGGTCTGGACCTTCTTGTGATTGTGGAACCACTGTCGGTATCTCTGTCAAGGGTGACTGAAATGCAGCATGACTCGGTATCAAAGACTAAACACTTACATATTTCCTTTCCTTCAACAGCTCTTTGTCCATCTTTGGAGCCAAGACCTTGGCCTCCCTGGCGGCTGCTTTGAATATCAGTTGTTGTTCCTTCCCACTTGCCTTCTCCCAATCCTCAATATGGACTGCAGAGTGGTGGTCTCTCGGTCATTCAACTGAGGCTGAACACCTGTGCTCATCTTTGTCCGAGTCATGTCACAGCAGGTATGTAGGAGGAAAGGACCTGAAAAAAGGAGACCATTGATATGGTGGATGGAATGAATCAAAAAAATGCAGATGTGTCATGTGAGTAATAAGTGACATACCCAATGTCATAAGTGCACGTAAGGGTTAGATTGTGCCGACAATAGATGAGTCTGAGTCAGACATGAGCATCTCTCAAGGATATAGGATATGAGTGGCTAATATCAGAGATAAGAGGTGTGCTGGCATTCCTTGCCAAAGGTCATGTGAGTAGGTCACCTGACACATAAATTGAATTCTCATTGCGAATTTCTTTTTGAATTCAATGTCCAAACAGACTCCAGAGCCTTAACAAGTTGTTAACAAACATGTGACCCAAAATTCAAAATTTTCTCTGAGCCTCTTCTCTACCAGTTGGCCCACTCGGTGTCTGCATCCTCCAAGTCACTAGTGCTGTCAGTACTACAGCCATCATTCTCTAGAGCCTGGTCAGGTACACTCTCACATTCATCTGACAAGATCCTTGTCACAATTGGTGCATGGATATCCACTTCGGCCTCAACCTCGAAGGCTGAATCTTGAGCTTGCACAGATGCAACTACCTCATCCAGCCAAGTGTATTCTTCATCAAGCACCTCTTCCTCTCCATCAGCGGTGTCCACGGATAAAGAGCTCCCTATTGATCTCCATGCTTTTCTGTCCGGTCCACAGGGGACCTTAGTAGGTGCAGAAATTAAAGACTGATGTCACAGAATGCAACATCAGGTCACCGTCTTTCTGCGATTTTCTGTGTATGGTTGGTTCCAGCCTTGAATTAGCTCAACACAAGACTAACCTCAGGATCATACATGTGCCACTGCCGAAATGTGTCATATCAATGAGGGTGCGGACTTGTTGACGATTTCTTGCAGGCGTGTTCATCTTGTGAACACAGACATGGTACATTTTTCTGCCGTCCAGGGACTGTTGTTGATGTTGCCAGGAGTGCAAGAGTTTCATGCTGGCAATCCTGGAATAACCCCTCTGCAGCATTGCGAAGGCACTGTGTCTCCCGTGAGGGATAGATGGTGCCCTGGGCACGGTCCATGGTATGCCATCAACAGCATGGAGACAAAATATGTCTGCTCAAAGGTAATCTTCTATACTGCGTCCTAGCCTGCATAGATAATATATCAAGCATCATATTTAGATTAGTATCACTTAACCATTCCCTGCTGGCAAAGTTGCGAAAGTTGGAAAAATGATATTGCAATACTTTTTCACTTGCTCTCGCGTTTTCTTAATACAAATCATTGTGAGTTTTCTTGGCCCCATCTTCTCTATATCTTTTATATCGTCCACGGGGCTGGAGACAAAGAATACTTCAACCTACCTTTCTTTATGGAACTCATATATCACTCCACTCAACACATTTAGTGCTGCTGCGTCTGGTTTGATCTGTTCATATGAGGGTTGAGCAAGAACTGAGAACTGAACCTAGGTCTGGTTCTAATAGACTCGCCGAACCTCGAACTGGACCTTTGTGAATGGTTCAAAACGGTCAGGTTCGTTTTTTTTCAGTTCGAACGTGAACCAAACCCAATTTTTTTTACAGCTACCAGAAAAAACTAGACAGAGTATTTGTACGAAATAGCTACATGTCCAACAAAGCTGCGTTGTCCCTCAGCCTCTACTGCTGCAGAAAGGTGCCCATTCCTATTATGCTCCCTTCAACACCTGTTACACCATGAATGGTGGAGGTCGCGAGTTGCATTGTGTCACACAGTGGAAGTGATTCCTCCACTTGAGAATGCCTGCTCGGAGAGAACGGAGCTGCCTTGAATAGGTAGATAGTCTCGTGCGATGCATGCAAGTGTAGGGTACTGTAGCGAGTGAAGCTAATAAATAGAAGTTGAAAATGGCCTTTATTACTGATAGATATATCATATCAGTGATCAGTGAGAGAAAAGAAGACATAAACTTACCGACAAATGTGCGTGCGTAGTGTAGAGATACCTCTGTGAAAGGTGTATTTGCTTTCAAGTTCACCAGCATCCCCACCGAACATCAGCAAGTAACCACATGTAGTACTAAATACGTACTTGCAAGGTTTGTATACCCAATGTTTGCTGTCGCAAGTGAAGATGGTGCGAACATCAGCGGTACGCTCAGTCTTTGACAATGCGGCTCGGAGAGTGGTGTCTAGAAGATCTTCAGGTTTGTCCTCAGGTTTATCTGGTGCATCTTCATCTTCGGCCTCATCTGATTGACCAGCACCAGGAGCACCAAGATCAGTATCAATATCCGTGTCGGCACCAGCCAATTCATTGTCAGATAATGGAGCTGAGAGCTGTAACACAACCTTTTTCCTAACTAGCTGCTCAGTTGCACTAGATAACGCGCACTTGCGGCTTGTTGAAGAACAAGCATTGTCGGCATCACAGAGGCAAGCAGAAGGTTTGGAGGTGCAAATAGAGCATCGAGAACCTGCAGTAAGTGGCGCCGGTTTGCGCCCAGTCTGCAGTAGCACAGAGAAGGTGTCTAAGCCTGTGGGAGTAGTACTAGTAGATGAGGCTGGCTGGGCAGAGGAGGGAGCGCTAAGTGGGACAGTATCGTCAGGATCGTTGTAAAAGACCATATCCTTGGCATCCTTAAGAGAGCCGTCCACATTGAGGGCACACTGTGCATCAGATTCAGACATTGTATGAGTAGTCGAAATATCACTCACAGGTAGTGATGTTCTGGCCTGGCTTGGCCTAAAAGTCACGGCTTTGGCCTGGCTTCAGACGGCTTTGGCTTTGAAGAACTGCAGGCCAGGCCAAAGCCATCAATGGCGGCTTGGCTTTGGCCTGGCTCGGCCTGAGCCGCAGCCCAATACAAGTAAACAAGAACATAATGGGTAGCAATGAGTAGTGGCAGGTAGCGGGAACATGAAGCACGAGACTTTCAAGGGATCAGCAATGTGTTTGGTCAGCAAGGCCCGAGTTCGTCAGAAGATCAACACACTCACTTTCTGTCAAGGGATCAGCAATTCGTTTGGTCAGCGAGGCCTGAGCACAGAGGATCAATACACTCACATCCTGTCAAGGGATCTGCGACACATTCAGTCAGCGAGGCTTGAGCTCAACAGAGATCATACGCCAATATGCACGAACACTATGTGCTGGTCCAGGGGCATGTCCTTGTCATGAGTCAATGAGTGGACCACTTGGTACAGCACTTGGGCAGCTCCTTTGGGATTCATTTTGCCATCCCCGCACAACTTTCTGTAGAATGCCTCGACTAAGCGCTGGACAGTACTATTGTTGACCACCCATAATGTTCCAACGACACTCTTAACCCCAGCGAATTGCAGGCCAGCCGCAAGGTGTATCACTTCGTCGGGCGTCTTAAAGTCACCGACTGCAGTTTCACAGGCAGAAAGAAATGCAAATTGATGGCGAGAGAGATCCATTTGGGCGATATCAAGGGGTGAAAGTGGTTGGTTGCGCATGAGAAAGGCTGGCTCAAAGGAGGATCAACATGTTACGGTCATCCATCATAGTCGTTCAAGTCCCGGGGTACATTCAAAGTGGGTGAAAAATCCGAGATAATATTAGGGTATGATGAAACATGTAGTTCATTGCAAGTGTTCACTGTACAGTACAGCATGTAATTGTGACATCCATGATGAAAGCGGGAGAATGGTATGGGCAAGATTTATATGAAATAAGCTGCTGCCTGAGCTGGCAGCTTCGGCTTTTCATAACATCAAGCCAGGCCAAAGCTGTCACAAGGCCGTGACTTTGGCCTGGCTTGGCTTTGCCTATTCAGACCCGGCTTGGGCTGGCCCATGGCCTGAGGCCGGGCCATGCACATCACTACTCACAGGCTGGTGGGGCTTGCTCCTTTTATGTGCAAACAAAGCAAACAACCAATCTCTAAAGCCATATGCATTGAAGCATCCTAAAAAATATATCAATGTAATATATCAATCAGTTTATTGAGTTTATTGCGGTTGATTTGATGGTTAATTCATACCTGGAGCTTTATTGGACAGCAGGAGGTGTGGGATGCAAGCCTCCGGACAGAATTCAAAGTCAATACAAATCTCGAGGATCCCAGAAGTCAAAGTGACCATGGGGAACCAGACAGAATTCAAAGTCAGTGCAAATCTCGAGGATCCAGAAGTCAAAATGACCATAAGTGTGTGCCTCACCAATGTCACAAGGAAGCTTCGGTTCGCGGTTCAGAACGGTTCGGGAAAGTCTGAACCTACATCCGAACTGTCCGAGAGACAGCAGACCACCAACCTCACTCCAGTTCGGTCCACACAAAATGCAGAACTGTGGACCAAACCAAGGACAAACCTGACCATTGGTCAGGTTCAAACCGCAGTTCGGGACTGGACCACAGCAGCACTAAACACATTGGAACGCTTGTCAGAGGCATTTTTGCTGTGTTTTCAGTTGTTCACCATCCATATACTCACAATTCCTCTTCTTCCAAATCAAATCCTGATCTCGTCACTCACAGCCCTTTCAGAATGTCTGTGATCTGGCCACTCGGGGGCCAAAGTTTGGGGCCCTTCGGCCAGTGCGGCTGACCTAAGCGGAGCTTTAACTTATTCGGACATACCTTTGCAATGCCACCACTACCATCCTGCCTCCCACCAGTATTCCTCCCACTGCGGATGCCTGCTGATGCACTCGTCATCCCGCCCACTACATGTAGATGGCACACTATATTCGTGCTCTGATCAAAATGCACCACCATATTGTGGTTGCTCATTGCCCATCCCACCTCATCTTTCCTGCCGGCCTACTTTGTCTCTTGCCCGCCCACCTACTCTTCTCTCTGGCCCCCTCTGTGCACATCATATCTCTCGTTATGGCCATGTCTTCCTTGCAGCAAGCGGACATCGTGTTTCTGGCCAGCTTACATAGCTGTGCGTGAATCCCTGAGTGGTCTCACCTTCAATTGTGCAGTCTGTGGAGGTACTCTTCCGCTCACCATCTGTCGGAGTGATAAGAATGGGAACTCAGGGAAGCCAATGGTCAGGGTATGTGATATGTATATTGTGCTATCGGCCATCATGTTAACCTTCCTTGTCAGCATCCATCCTGTTCCTTCTTCCACTGGTTTCCTCAGATTCTATCGCATCCAGATATCATGGCTCTCATCCCAGGAGGTTCTCCGACTCTTGGCGCAGCCTCTGCAGCTCCTTTCCCTTCAACACAGCCTCTAGCCTTGGGTTCTCAGCTACAACCCAACAGCAAGAAGTTACGCAAGTGAGGTGCCCCATGCATCAGTGCCTTTTATCGCCGAGCTCGTGCGCTGCGATACCCACATGGAAAGTGTCTTACCCATTGCACTACTGAGGATGGGGGATGTCCGGTGCATGTCGCTGATAGCGCAGACAACCAGCACCCTCAGGCTGATATGCAGCAGGAGTGGGATTGGGGATTTGATCAGGAGAGTTTTGCTGACTTGGAGACCAACTGGCACGATTCGTCACTCGACACTGGAGTTGAGATGAATGATGGGTTGAGGGCGCTTCAACATGCACTTCAGTCTGCTGGCACTGAACAGCCTATGTTCCCATCATTCCATTACATCTTGACAGCTCCTGCGCAACCACCTGCACCATCACAGCAGTCTGGTTTACCCTCACTGTCGCAACCCCCTCATCTGCCCCCACTGTCACAACCCCTTTGTCTGCCCCCACTGTCACAACCCCCTCGTCTGCCCCCACTGTCACAACCCCCTCATCTTCCGATGCTCTCTCAGAACGACAATGCCTCTGCCATGCACGCCTTCCCGGTTCATAAGGTATCAAAGGCCCCCCACATAACGGATCAACTTGATCTGCTATGGGCAGGTGATCTAAATACACGCGCACGAGAGGAGATTGAGAGTAAGAGGGTGGCAGATCGTCGCAAGGAGATGGAACAGGCAGCTAAACAGCACTTTGTCTTGTACTGGTTTGATGCTGTAAGTCAGTTCTTAGGTTTGCTTTTATGGCACTTACTCAGTTGATATCTAGGACGATACGCCAGTGTTGATGCAGTGGGTTGTGCACTGCCCATACTTCCTGCAATACCAGCTCTCAGACGATCCCACCCTCATCGCATCCCTTGGCACCGACATCCAGAAGATTGATATTTTTGAGGAAAGCTTTATGCGGTGGATTCTATCAGCACTCACCCACCCCTTCACTCTTGACTCAGGATGTCATGTTTTCATCCGATGCCACAGCATCACTGACTGCAACGACTTTGACGACCTATTCAAGTCTTCCAAGCTGTTGGCTCGCCCCTCCCACATGTGCTTCAACATGAAAGGCAAGCATGATAGTTTGCGCAAGATGAAAAAGCAGCGACAAGCATCTGCTACTGCTTCCTCATCAGACATTGAGATCATTGACGACACACAGCTCACACCAAAACCCTCCTTGGGAAAGCGCCACTGGGTGTTACGAACTAGGATGATTCTGACGTATGGCTACTCGATAAGAGTAATCAGCCAAGGTCGGTTCATGGCTCTGGCGTATACCAGAGTTTGATATTCAAATAAGACAAGACAAGGAGAGTGTCCTCAACTTGAATCAAGTTCAATACGACTTAATATTGGAGGTCTTAAGCGAAGGAAGTTCCAGGTAAAACCTAGTAAGATTAAAGTAAAGAACTACATAGTACAAAGCGAGTTTATATAGTGAACAATAACTGCTTTAGGGCCGGTACAGTGAAGTCGGAATGAGTCAGAGATAAGACAGAGTCAGAGATAACAAGAATAGATCATCTAGCGACGGCATGATGCGATCGTGATGGAATACAATGATGATAAGAGACGAGTCTAGCGATGGCTTTGATAGGGATCATGACGTAATACAATGTGAAGAGAAAATGAATAGGGGCGTACTTGATTGTAACACTGGGTTCAAAGCCCCAGCCGAGAGCAAGGGACACACATTGCTGGGCACGACTGGCACAAGATGATTTCAATGCTCATCTTGCTACCTCGATGTCACCAACACCATCACTACTACCCACTCAACTATCAGACTCAGAAGACAGTTTTGATGCCTGTCAACTGCCAGAGGATGATTTCAATGCTCATTGTGCTAACTCAATGTCACCAACGCCACCACTCACCATGTCAGCGTCGTCTCATCCTCATCCATTGAGTCTATGCCCATTCGTCGGCAATCAGCACCACCTTCAAAAACCCTCCATTTGGCTCAGGCTGCTCCATGCATCATTCCCATGCATATACTGATATATGATCTGGCCAAGCCACAGCGAAGGTGGCCACATGGGATGTACACAATTGATATGGCCATTGGCTTTCAGCAGATGGTCATCACAAAGCTTTGTGGTTTCTATGGTCAGGAGCAGCTCTTTCATCTAATCTTTGGTGATACCCCATTTGTCAAGACCACATATCATGATAATCACAAGGCATGGCGCGAGACGGAACTGACCATCCTTGAGACACACAAGCAAGCCAGACGCACTGAAGATGGCCTCTGGGCAAACTACCTTGCAGCACGGTGCACTGCCTTGGGTCTGGGCAGCAAGAAGCATAGTGGGCGGAAGTAATTTTCGTTATGTCAGTCACTTGTTACTCATTATCACTCATCCATTCCTCAATGTGCATCTTGGTTTGTCCGATTGCCTTAGCCACCTACTAATACTACACTTCTCATATGTACCAGCTTGTCACAACCCTTTTAACGAATTAACACAGGGGCAGAGACTAGGACTCAACGAAAGGTATCACAACAAAAAGATGATAGTGAGCAGGGACGTCCTAGGATTGCTAGCAGTGAGCTAATACAAAAGAGGTTTGAACTAAAGAACTACTGACTACAACGGGC